TTTTTATTATTTATGTTACTTTTTGAATATTCGGTAACTCCGAAACGGTAATAGATATCGATGTACAGTTTTTACCATCATGTTTTTCATAAAAATTGAGCTCCAGACACCAATATTCGTTTTCGTCTATCTTCTATAGAAAAGGGTGTTTCCCTTTAAAAGTGTCCATCCTGTACGTATTAATACGTTTGTCACTGTGTATACATAATTTGAACGTGAATTGCTTATTTTTAAAATATGATGTGCAATATGTGCAATATTTCGAAAACAACATTTTAATATGAAAAAACAACTACTTTTTAAATACCTGTAATCGATTCATAGATTGGTTTTTAATTTCAGTATTTTGTATGAAAATCGTTATAGTATGCTATTAACCACAGAAAAAAAATAAGTATGAATAGTTTCGATTTAAGTTATTAAAGTTATGTTAATAATGACGTAAAAATACACAAATTTGCTACAGTACACCAATACATTTTCTTTTAGGCTTTTTCGCATCCGCAGATGATTAAAACTGAGTGTTGATCATCTGCTGATGACACTTAATCTGAACATGCATTCAGAGACTCCAACATTTAAAGTAATATTTCTCTAAACCACTTAAAATACAAACTAAAAATTTAGGTACTTACTTCTGAATCCATGTACAGCCTCTATAAGTTTTATCGATGTATCCACTAAACCACTAGTTATTGTCACACACTTCTTTAAGAACCACATACTTCGGCTTTTAACTTCAACCAGTCCATCAACGTTTTTAATAATTTTCATCTAGTGTCCCTTGGTTTAGACAATCGCGAAAGCTCCAAATTGTTGCTGAGCGAGACTCAATTAAACTGACTATAATTTTATTCGGTGTTGATATTATTAAGATGGTTTTTTAATATATTCCTAGTAAGAAGATAAGATTTTCAATATTTATTCATAATTAGGTCAATCTGACCTATGCATGACCTCAGATAGTGACGTTTCGTGTCGGAACATACACTGCTGCATATGTTTTCAATTTTGAGAATATTAGATATACTGTCTGATTTATTAATATCGTGTTTAGTATTTATTCACTTATTCAGAAATTCTTGTTCTTTAATTACAGACAATCAATAAAACATATTTTTTTTAATTGCAGCTTCATAAGAGGTAACTTTAATGTGCAAGTTTTAAGAAATAATATGTTAATATTGTATAATCTTTGTTTTATATTAAATATAAAGCTCCAATCGAGTGTCCCCTATCTTCGGATTGTGTGGATACTTTTCGGATATATCTTCAAATTCGCACCTTGAGTATAGTTCGTTCTTATCTAGGTACCGCTTTGGTTCTTCTGTCGCAACTCCACATTAAGTACCCCATTACCCTTCCCGTGTTCTTCTGAAAGGTTCGCGTATATATTTGATATCAATTAAACTTTTAATTTACCTTGTTCATAAAACGTGACCACCCCAAAAAAAAAAGAAAAAAAGCAGAAAAGTACTTTGCGAGAATGTTCCTGGCAGCCTAAGCAACGCAACTCTCTCCTGAAAAGGAGAGTTTGAGAAGAAAGAAGAAGAATTAAACTTTTAGTTACGTAATCGAGGGCGCAATTTTTAAATTCATTGTTGCCAGCTGTGGACATAGTCGGCTCCGTGCTGACGAACTGGAACTTCAATTTCACTCTGGGAATTCAGGTGGTAGCTCTGCTGTAAAAAATGTCAAGTTTCCGCCGCATTTATTTATTTATTTCGTGACATTGTTATTCGTTTTGGCATTTTAGTTTTGTATTACGAGTTTTTGGTTTAAATAAATAGTGTTGTGATACCTTAAGATTAAAAATGTTTACTAGAAAACCTTACAGTAGAACATTGTTCTTTTTAGAACCTCTTTTAGTGCGAAGTGTACAAGATATCTTAATAGCCGTAAAAAACTCATCGCAAATTTATTAGAATATTTTGAAGGGGAAAGCGGTAGTAATGGCCCTTTATGTCCCTTAAGTGCTGTTAAGAAGGTGAGTTTTGTTGATGTAAATAATAACTGTTTATATATTTATAATTAATTTATTTTTGTTTTCTAAAATATTTTGATTAAAAGAAAATATGCAAAAGTGGGCAACGCTGTGGTCAAGCTTAATCACGTGACTAAAAGTTTATTTGATATGAACTATACTGGAGAGTAATTCTTATAATTTTATAGGGTTTTTATAATGGTCTAATAGCTAAAAGAGTTATGAAGCCGTCAGAGTCAATTAGGTTTTCATAGGGTTTTTATAATAGTCTAATAGCTAAACGAGTTATGAAGCCGTCAGAGTCAATTAGGTTTTCATAGGGTTTTTATAATAGTCTAATAGCTAAACGAGTTATGAAGCCGTCAGAGTCAATTAGGTTTTCATAGGGTTTTTATAATAGTCTAATAGCTAAAAGGGTTATGAAGCCGTCAGTCAATTAGGTTTTCATAGGGTTTTTGTAATAGTTTAATAGCTAACAGAGTTACGAAGCCGTCAGAGTCAATTAGGTTTTCATAGGGTTTTTATAATAGTCTAATAGATAGGGTTTTTGTAATAGTTTAATAGCTAAAAGAGTTATGAAGCCGTCAGAGTCAATTAGGTTTTCAACAAATAATTTGCAAATTCAAATTTCACCGTCTGATTGGCGTTATGTTTCGTCTAGGAACAACTATTCTGTGTTATTATTTATTTTAAATTTTTATGTCGATAAACATACCGCATACGTCTTGCAAACTGTAATTACGCATTTAAGCAATAAATAGAAATATTAAAAAAATATAAACAACAATCACATTAGGCATAAAATCAATCGCTTGACCAGGGAATGCTTGGCAAATGCGATTGCTTGATAAACAAACAGTTTATTTTCGTAATTATCCTGAAAGATAATTACAGTGTTCAGTGCAATACTATAAATGTAGCCGTAAAAGCTAATAACTGCAGCTGAAAAGTAGACAAATTAGATAATATATCATAGAGAAATATAAATATATTATTTTGATATCCATTTTAAAATTCTCGGTATCGATATCTGCTATTCAATGCCATGTCAAAATTCAAGACAACTCGTTGAAATATGTTTTATTGAAGATGATAAATATTTGGCGTACGTGACAAATGCCCTAGTTTTTACTTGTAAACTACACAATTTTCTAGTTCAAAAATATTTTTCTTTTAGATCTAGTGATTATACTAGATTATATATGTATAGGACGTTGTTTACAGTTAAACCAAAGTTTACTTAAGAATCATATTTTAATTCTGTAAACTTTAGTTAAAATTGTATTTTTATTTTTCTGCAGACTTTCATATGACATGTAATTAGGGTTTCCATAAAGGCTTTGAGAAATTCCGGACAAGTAAACTCAGAAATCCGGAAAAAATCCGTTCAAATGAAATCTGAAATCCGGATAAAGTCCGGACGTCGCAAAAAAGAAACTATAAATTTATTTATGTATTATTATAGGACGTAAATAACAAATCAACAAAATATAAACTAAAAAAACATTCACTTTCCAACCAAAAGTGAAAAGTTTGAGTAAGTAGAGTTGTAGCATCGTAGAGACTAAAATATTCAACAAAATAACTGAGAAATTAATTCAATTGTAACTGTAAAATATTTTACTAAGTTAAATTGTTTTTGCGGTCAGGCTTCCCGGACGCTTTTCCAAATCCAGGCCGAACTGCCTCGGACACTTTAAAAATACGGACATGTCCGGGGTAAATCCTGACGTATGGAAATCCTACAAAATCCTACATGTAATGGCAAAAAGCGCTGTCAATAAATAATTTTTGATAAATACAATGACAATGAAATGAAAAATACATCAAATATGCTTCTGCTTAATTTTTCAGGTATCTGTGAATATAACTATAACGTCAAGTTACAGGTCGAATCACACATCGAATCAACTTATTTCTCAATAAAAAAATGTAATATGACTCCATTGTGGCATTTGCTATAATTTTGTTGATAAAAAAATGACGGTTGAACAAGAAGTTGGAATTCACATTAGAAATTGAAGAACAGAAGAAGAAAAACAAAGTAAGATATGTTGCTTTCCTAGATCATATATACTTACGTGGATAAGTAACTCAGTATGGAAACTATCGCAAACATATCAACTACTTCCATTTATCTTCTTTTTTTTGTTGAACACGCGGTGCTTCTACTCTATCTGTCCTTGCGAGGACCTATCGTCCGCGCGCCAAATTTGAACATAATTTTAAAAATTTAATTTGCAAAATGCTTAAATTTGAACAATAAATTGAATGTTTACTGTCACAAAAATTAAATTAGGTAAAAAATACATTTAGCCACTCCGTACGAATATCAATATTCTTAGGAAATCTAACCAGAAAGCATGCATGTGGCTTAATATAAATAAAAGAATAACTGAATACTTTACTTGCCTATGAAAAGATAATTCGGGGCCCTTTATATTAGAACTTTCACATACTAAACACATTCTAGTCATTTTTACGAGTATTTAGAAAGTCCAACGAAAAAAAAAATAGAAATATAATAAAATTGCACAAACGTAAAATTAACTTCTCACTGAACACACTCGCATACTTGGCTATATAAAGGCTGGCGATAAAAGAGTAATTAATACAATTTTTGATTTAAAAAACGCAAAAAACAAGCATCGTTACACAATGGAAATAAGATTACCTATGACATATGATTATGACAATATGATGACAATGACAAGTTGGTTTCCATAACTATGTATGATTTGTACTTTCCTTTGTACTTTCTAAATCGTATAAAATTGTGATTATTTTGAAAATACGTGCAACTTTTAATGCGCATGCGCAAAGTAAGGTCCTCGAGAAAGACAAACCAATTGAACGTTTCATAAGTGCAATAGAGAAGGTTTGAAAATGGCATGTCATGATGTTGGAGAGATATTTTTAATGCTAAATTTATGGCGTTGATTTATCCAGGTAATAGCTAATATATGATCTAGGGTTGCTGCTCATGTCATTCGTACAAAAATTGACAGACGACACGCACTTAATAATTATTATATTGGAGACTATTTAACTCACATTGTACATTTACATTTATTTTTATTGATATTATGAATTTTTTGAATCTATGGAAATTATCCATAATGAAAACGTTTCTTCTCCATTTTCGTTGCTCGTTCCTAAATTATGAACGATTTTTAATGCCAAGGCATTAATAGTATCAAATCTTATTACCACTGCTGTTCCAAGCTGATCCGGTTTTGGTAAATTTCCTAAAAATATACTTGGAATAAATGGAAGTACATTAATATAATATAAACTGAGACGTAAGGTTCATTTACCACAACACCTGCAGTATCTAGCTATCAAAGTCCAAATAGTCTATATATTATAATTCGGACTATAATATATAGTTTATCTAACTAGAGAAAACACGACAGTCAATGCAATTTGCTAATTTAACATTTCCGATTGTAATTTGTGTCATTTTTGTCTCTTCTCTTTGGAGATACTCTGTTTATACCCAAGGACTGTATATATATATTCTAAAGGATTGTTCGATCGCGTCAAATCGCCGCTGTCGTAGTCGCCGTGGAATGCTACGTCACGCGCTGACCAGCGGTCCACAGTGCGGCGGATGGTTATTCTAGCGGGACAAAATCTCAAGAGTAATGTTTGGGACTTAAAATCTAAGAACGTAGCAAATGGTCTAATATATAGCAACTATATGGTTAAATTTATTTATTTATTAACAACTTAATTTATTAATAAATAAATACAAGATAATAAAACTATGATATTATTCGTACATGACACACAAAAACCGTATTGTAAACTATTGCCAAATACATAAAGTTATGATATCAAAAAACTCTTTAGCAGTTTTTTTTAATTAATTTGTAATCTTGTGACACCCTCTATAATTTATTTTAGTTTTTTTTTATTTTGAAAATAACAAATAAGATAGATATTTTAATTTTAATTTTAACACTCGGTAATTGTAAATTCATATATAGTAAGTATCTAAGAAAATTTTTTAAACTCAGTGCCTTTTGATGGAGTTGTTTTGTTTTTATACTATCCGATTGAAATGAATCTTTTTGGGCATTCACCTGTTAAGCTTGAACTCCCTGTGACTATGACTACCTGTGTTGGTAACTATTGGTAACTCAAAAGATCTACATCATTCAATATTTCGATATTTGAAAAAAAAGTGAAAGTTTGATATCTGCAGAACAAAGGCACGAAGGATTTTAACAAATAATATATGTACAGTAGAAAAGTATATACCTTTGGCAATCTTCAACATAATTTGGCTTTCTAATAAAATGTATAAGCACTTGTAAATATTTTGTTTCCGTATGATCTCTGCCTTGCTGAGCAGAAAACGATCAAATTTGGTTGATAAAAATGTATCGAAATACAAAGAATATTCATGCATTTTTGTATCAATTGGAATGTCTACTATTTATTCTTATCAGTACACATTTTTTGGCTTATTTCTAACCAAACGCTTTTGTCCCGCTAAATTTATCTTCCAACGCACTGTGCGCTCGTCCGTCAAATGCAAAAATAACTGTCACTGTCTAAAATCTTTAGCGCCAACTTCAACTCGGTCAGTAGATGACGTAAAAAAAGCTGACAGTGCAGGAAGATAGGAATCGAACTATCCTTATCTCTATAGTATCCTTGGTTTATACCACGGTAATTAAAATTCTCTAATGCAGTAATTTATATAAAATACTTGGGGAAGATTATACAGGGTGATCCGAATTGTATTCGGGAAACTTCGGCAGCGTATTCTGCAGATAAATATAAGTAAACAAGTTTGTACAAATGCATGCCTTAAAATGCTTCGTGTCGGAAATATAGGGTGTAGAAATTTCATTTTTATGTCGATACTTTTCAAATAATTTTTGAACTAACGACGATATTTGGATGAAAATTGGCATCTGGGTTTTTTTTGACATGGGAAATTTGATTTTGATGTCTATATGACATCTACTTCTAGGGGACGCCACCTACATATTTTTTAACTGGTTTGAAAAGTAACAACTTTTTGTGTCCATATCTGTATAAAACTACTGAGTAAAAGCACATACATTTTCGCCGTTTTTTACATAAAAAAGGTGTCTTGGTAAAAGCCGCTACTAGTAACGGTTCTCAAGATATTTGGAATTGAAATAATCAATACATGTCATCATTGAACATGCTGATAAGATAGTTATTAGACTTAAGAAGAAATTAGTACAAAAGTAGAAGTGAGTACAGATATGTTGTTGTTTTGGAAGTGTAGGCTAAAACTTCATTCAGAACGTCGAAATTAGTGGAATAAATTAGTGGTTTCAACTAGCGTAGAAGTTTGTTCCTTCAATTTGAATGTAAGCATTCAGAACGTCAAAATTAGTGGTAGACATTATCAATTAAGCTTCATTCAGAATCTCGCAATTAGTGGTATAAATTAGTGGTTTCATTTACACTTTATACTTTTTAGTTTATGATCATTCACAATGTGTAAACAGTAAACACAACTAAAATTTGATAAAATGACATTCCTCGCAAATTTTGAAGTATAATTAGTGGAAATGTTAAAAGTTTGGTAACTTTTTCCACTAATTGAAAATTCCAACCACTAATTTTGACGGTCTGAATGCTTACATTGATGAAAATGAAGCTTTAAGCTTCATTCAGAACCTCGCAATTAGTGGTTTCAATTACACTTTATACTTTCTAGTTTACGATCATTCACAATCTCTACAAAATAATAGAAAATCCTATCAACAGCTTGCGATAGTCAGTTGTATCTATAGAGAGAGCCTAATCTTTAGTTTATAAAACAATCAACTTTTGATTTCTAACCACAATTTCATTTGACGGATGATAATCAAAGGCCAAAATGACATTCCTCGCAAATTCTGAAGTATAATTAGTGGAAAAGTTAAGTTTGTTAACTTTTTCTACTAATTGAAAATGACTACCACTAATTTTGACGTCCTGAAATAAACTTCTACGCTAATTGAAACCACTAATTTATTCCACTAATTGCGAGGTTCTGAATGAAGTTTTAGTAGAAAAAGTTAACAAACTTTTAACTTTTTCACTAATTATACTGCAAAATTTGCGAGGAATGTCATTTTTGCCTTTGATTATCATTCGTCAGGTAAAATTGTGGTTAGAAATTAAAAGTTGAATGTTTAATAAGCTAAATATTAGCCTTTCTCTATGGATACATCAGACTATAGTCTGGCGAACAACAAAATCCTTAACAGTGATAGATGTGTCTGTCATTTTAATTTCAAAGTAATTTATTTTATTTTACAAAGAAATAAGTTGGTACAATTGGAACGCATAATTATTATATTTAAATTTTGAGTGACAAGTGATTTTGAGTAAATTGTGTTTTTAGACAATAAATAATATCTATTGTAAATGATCGTAAACTAAAAAGTATAAAGTGTAATGGAAACCACTAATTTGTTCCACTAATTGGGAGGTTCTAAACGAAGCTTAAGAAATATTTAATTGGTCTAATTAATTTAATTACTTATCCGTTATAATATTAGTCCAAATAAATACTCAATATGAATAATTCATATTGAGTATTTAGGTAATTATTACCTTCAATATCCCGTTCGTGAGGATCGAACATAAAATAATGACCTCCTTTAAAGAATAAGCTGATCCATTGCTCATTGGTACTCAAAATGCAAGTGCTTTCTTGTTGGAAAAAAGCTTCCAAAGTTGTACATAACTTGCTGGCAACCAGCGTTTCTGTTATGACTGGTTTATATATAGTAATGTGTATCTAAACAAATCAAAAAAAGTTATTTATATTTCTAGTTAATACAAATTTACAGGTATATAGGTTTCATTTGTTGAAAAGAGTCTGGGGTTTTCCTACTAGAAGAAAATATACAAAATAAAAAGTTATTTTTTATTTTGTATATATTTTGTATAAATTATATATACCTGCATATTTCCAACAAAAAATCTTCTTAAAATATTTTCCATTCCTAGTTTTGGATCCTTTGGGCCATATGCAATATACGAATCTATATATAATTGGTCGCCTGTATTTAAGGCAATATCTATATGTTTGTGGTTCCAATCTTCTATTGACATCAAATTGTGCATTACAACTAAAAATATTTTAAAGTTTTGAAAAATTGATAAATTACTAAATATCTCTACTACCAGAAATCAACAGAAGAATTCAGTTAACATGGTGTACTTAAATGAGAAATAAGAAACTCAATCTCATATTCAAATCTAGTATGCCTCTCTCTCTAAAGAAGAAAATATTCGACCAATATCTCCAACCAGGCATGACCTATGCATGCGAAACCTGGACACTTAAAACGGACATCATAAGAAAACTTCAAGTCGCACAACGCACAATGGAACGAAATATGCGGGGAGTAACCAAGAGAGACGTAAAAGAATAGAGTCGATACGATAAAAGCCCCAGGTAATAGATTGTAGCATTTTTTATTTCCTTTAATAAAATTGAATTTAAAAATCTATTTTTATTTAAATTTCTTAGTATTGGCGCCATCTATTTGCTAGATGCCAAAGATATCAAACTTCATTTATAACAGTTCACTTGTCTTGTTTATTAGCGCCATCTATTCGCTATATGCCAAACTTCCTTAACTTGGACCTGCATAGCCAACAAAATAGACAACAATGGGCCCAACTACAAAGAGAGTATGTGAGGGAGGCTACACCATAATTGGAAATGGTTGAATAAGCTGACAATGATGATGATAATGATGATGAAAGGGCTAATAAAGTTTATACAACCATTGCTTTAAGCAATATTGTTAGTTATATTTTTATTATAACGTACCTGACACTATACAGTTTGGTATATCTTGTTTGTTTCTGGACTCTGCAGAATAACTTGAGGAATTTTGACTCTTGTATCCTCTGAGCATCGCCTCTGCTCCTTTAAGATGGTATCCATTTCTACCAATCATTTCGAGTTTCTTTGCTTCTTATGTTTGCGTTCGCTCTCAGCCTTAAAATCACAGCATAATATACCGTGGGGTACATCGGAATGTGGGACATAGGAAATCCCATGTAAATTTAAAAAAGGTCTAATATTATCTCCCCAGATGATTTTTTTACTAAAAATGTATTACACTTTTTTGAAGAGGCGTTAAAGTTGTACTGTTGTCTAGAATTTCGTTTTGATTGGAATTTGATCGTTTTCTGCTCAGCAAGGCAGAGGTCATACGAAAACAAAATATTTAAAAGTGCTTATACATTTTATTCCAAAGCCAAATTATGTTGAAGATTGTCAAAGGTATGTACTTTTCTACTGTAATTAGTAGGAATATTATTTGTTAAAATCCTTCGTGCCTTTATTCTGCAAATATCAAACTTTTTTCAAATATTGATATATTGAATGATGTAGATCTTTTGAGTTACTAATAGTTAACAACACAGGTAGTCAGTCACAAGGAGTTCAAGCTTAACAGGTGAATACCCAAAAGTTTCATTTCAATCGGATAGTATAAAAACGTAACAAATACTTGTTAAAGGGTTAATTGAAGAGTATTCAAAAGAAGAATTGGGTTTTGCAAGTACTATGAGCTTTAGGGCTAGTGGTAGTAAGGAGTAAGGATGCTGCTGTAATTATTGAAGCCTTAACTCCATCGAAAGGCACTGAGTTTAAAAAATTAATAGCTGCCCATACACGGAAAGGCCCGGCCTTCGGACTTGGCCTTGAGGCCGGGGCTTTCACCCAAATTACCATAGCGGAAATATATCCGCGGACTTTGCCTTAGCGCAAACCTATGGTATTTTGGGTTAAAGGCCCGACCCAAACCAAGTACGAAAACTGGAACTCCGTGTATGAAGCAGCTAATGAATGACATCAGTAGTCAGTTCCAATTTTCCTCAAGACAAAAACGTCAAAATGATGTTCTAGTTAAATAAAGCATGACGATATGCTAAAGCCTTACTTTTTACTTTCTGCTAATTTATAATAAAACTAAATGATTATTACTAGTTTTAATAAAAGTTTAAAAAATTGTCTTAGATACTTACTATATATGAATTTACAATTACCGAGTATTAAAATTAAAATATCTTATTTATTATTTTCAAAATAAAATAAAATTTTTTAAAAGAAAATATACAGGGTGTCACAAGATTACAAAGTAATTAAAAAATAACTGCTAAAGAGTTTTTTGTAAGTATTTCAGCTGATATCATAATTTTATGTATTTGGCAATAGTTTACAGTACGGTTTTTGTGTGTCATGTACGAATAATATCATAGTTTTATTGTCTTGTATTTATTTATTTATTAATAAATTAAGTTGTTAATAAATAAATAAATTTAACCATAATATGGTTGCTATATGTATATTAGAGCATTTGCTACGTTCTTAGATTTTAAGTCCCAAACATCGCTCCTGAGATTTTGTTCCGCTAGAATAACCATCCACCGCACTGTAGAGCGCTGGTCCCTGCGTGACGTAAGCATCCACGGTGACTACGATTGCGGCGATTTGACGCGATCGAACAGTCCTTTAGAATATATACAGTCCTTGTAAAATACCAGCAAAAATATGACTTTGTCATTGTCAAATTCCATTGTCACATTTTCTGACTTGGAATGATCATCTACAAAAGAATTAGTTGAAATGAAAATAGGATTCGCGGTGTGACTTGTTTGCGGTTCATTACTCGATCACTCGCAGGCCTCGCTTATACCACATACATCCACAATAATTCAAGGGATAATAGAAATATTTGTAACACAAGGAACTTTATTAAGCTATACTAATTAATAAAATGTTTACATAATCCCCATTCAGAGCCAAACAATACCCCAAATGATTGTGAAATTCACGCCTCACAATACAACTGTTAAGGGGAGAATCTTTAGCATTCCACAGCGGTGTCGTTTTCAGTCCATCCAAATTTCTGTATTTAATACGCCCATAAAGGCGGTTTTTGTGTGTGCTCCACATAAAGAAGTCGTTAGGCGGCGAAAAATCATTTGGTCTTTTCCTACTGTATCCCCAATAAATGGAGTCAATGTATTTCTTTTCTTCAACATGAATAATATTAAAGTCATTGTTATTTTCTTCCTGTTCAATTATTTTTGTCTTCACAATTCCAAGAAATCTAGAATAGTCCATAGATCGTTAGGCGCATAGAGAAGGTTTTCGAATGTTCTCGTATGTACTAGTCCATTCTAGTGGGTCTCGATTCTTCTCGAACGAATGAATCATTGCGGTGTCTATGCGATGTTAAGGTCATCCGAGGGCGGGCCATATTGTGAGGTTAGGTCGAGTCCAAACCGGCTCGCAACAATATAATATACATACGTGAAGTAAACCGATCATTTATGAAATTCACTTAAATTAACTAAATTATATATTTTTCTTGCATTTTAGCTTTTATTTATTACTTGTCAAAGATTAGATGTCAAAGAATTTTAGATACGTTAATTGACCTGCTTCAGTAGCGTATCGGATGTTTGTGTTAATAAATACTTATTATAACTTATCTATTTTTATTAGAATTATATATTTTTATAACAATTTTAATAACTACTAACATTTATTCACAACGTAAAATAAAACAACAAATTATTGAGTCTACCCCACGTCTACCCTACACCATAGTTTTACATTTTTCAAATAAAATTAGAACGACACTGATAAACCGGAATTTAAGTCGGCCATATTTGAGGCCCATCGCGGTGTACCTAAGATTTTTGATATGCTCCTTCCTTAGTCTTCTTATTCAAAGCTTTAAGCAATATTGTTAGTTATATTTTTATTATGACGTACCTGACACTATACAGTTTGGTATATCTTGTTTGTTTCTGGACTCTGCAGAATAACTTGAGGAATTTTGACTCTTGTATCCTCTGAGCATGGCCTCTGCTCCTTTAAGATGGTAACCATTTCTACCAATCATTTCGAGTTTCTTTGCTTCTTTATGTTTGCGTTCGCTCTCAGCCTTAAAATCACAGCATAATATACCGTGTGGTGCATCGGAACGCGGGACATAGGAAATCCCATGTAAATTTCAAAAAGGTCAAAGATTATCTCCCAAGATGATTTTATACAAAAATTGTATTACATTTTTTTGAAGAGATGTACTGTGGTATAGAATTTCGTTTTATTTGTAATAGGCATTTAAAAGTTATTTGCAAAAATCTACCTTCAAGTTTCTAAAAATTTATAATACGGCCCAGAGAAATCTACAATTAAAATACCAGCAAAAATATGACTTTGTCATTGTCAAATTGGATGTCACATTTTTTATTTGTTTACTAGAATTTATGTGGTTTGAAAACAGTGGTTAATTTTTTTTCTGACTTGGAATGATCATCTACAAAAGAATCAGTTGAACTGAGAATAGTATTCGCGGTGTGACTTGTTTACTGTTCATTACTCGATCACTCGCAGGCCTCGCTTATACCACAAACATCCACAATGATTTAACAAATAGAAGAAATATTTGTAACTAAAGTAACTTTAACCTATAGTAATTAATAAAATATCTATATAATCCCCCATTCACAGCTCAACAATACCCCAAATGATTGTGAAATTCACGCCTCACGATACAACTGTTAAGGGGAGAATCTTTAGCATTCCACAGCGGTGTCGTTTTCAGTCCATCCAAATTTCTGTATTTAATATGCCCATAAAGGCGGTTTTTGTGCATGTTTTTGTGTGTGCTCCACATAAAGAAGTCGTTAGGCGGCGAAAAATCATTTGGTCTTTTCCTACTGTATCCCCAGTAAATGGAGTCAATGTATTTCTTTTTTTCAACATGAATAATATTAAAGTCATTGTTATTTTCTTCCTGTTCAATTATTTTTGTCTTCACAATTCCATGTACTTAATACCTTAGTGCCTTTAGTGTCAAACCTCCGGTTACTCTGGTTTATTCCTTAAACTGTTGTCTTATTCAGTATAGGCTTTCCGGAGACTGCGCTGCGAACATATCTAACACAGCGGGAATACTATTTCCAGAAAAATGTTGTTTAACCATCGTAACTTTTTCAGAAGTTGCAAAATTCATAATTATTTTATACAAAATTACTCTGTTTGGTACTTTTGCTGGTATAATAATATTGTAGCTTTTTCTGGGCTGTATTATAAATTTTACTAATTTGAAGGTAGACTTTTGCAAATAACTTTTAAATGACTATTCCAAATAAAATGAAATTCTACACAAAAGTACAACTTTAACGCCTCTTCAAAAAAGTATAATACAACTTTTGCATAAAATTATCTCGAGAGATATAATATAATATTTGATCATTTCAAAATTTACATCTGATTTCCTATGTTCCGTATTCCGATGCACCACACGGTATAAATTAATAATAAACCAAAAATTTATAATGACCTTATGAATATTTTATAGTGAATAATGAAAATTTGTAGTGAAGAATTGTTCTATTAAAATTATCGAATATGTCATACCAATTTTCTCAATTTTTTCTTTTGCTCCGAAACAGTTTGTTTTGAGCAACGTGGCAAGGTATTAACACTGCTTCGTGTAGGCGTTTTTTCAAGGGGCCGTTTCACCATTTTACCGCAGCGTACTACTATCTCGGCTGGAACTATGACAAATTCTCCATCTCGTTGAGCTGGGTCCAAAATACAGCCTAAATGTTACGGAAAGAAAATGTGATAATGATATGAAATCGAGGAATTGATTTAAATTTACATTGTTGTAGCTCTCAAATTGATATATTTGATTGAAAGTTTTTGACTAAACGGTGATGTCTAGTGTCAATTATAAATTGTTAAAGTTGTATTTGAGAATACGAGTACTCTCAAATAAATAAGAAACTTTTTAATATAAAAATAATCTTTAGAATAACACTTTTTATTTAACATTTCCTTTTTATTTTGATTACATTCTCCAGTTATATCATTTTCAAGAAATCTTGTAGTTTGTAGTAACTTGGCGACTGAACCTTCCATACCGGGTGTTTCTCAAAAGTGTCTCATCCGTATAACTTTTTAGCCGACCATACCAAAATAGGTATGGTAGGCTATTAAGATCGGCAAAAAAAAAGTTTTTTTTAATTTCACTCAAAATGAGTTATTTGGGTCATAAATGACCTAAATACAAAATAATTTCATGGTGTCTGTCTGTCTGTCTTTTAACCAAATTTGACACAAAAATACTGTGGCACCCGAGAATCTGGCCATTAGTTTTTGGTGGGGATGGGGGGTTGGTAAGGGGGCATGGGAGGGGGTTAAAAATTTTAAAAAATCGTAACTCCAAAATTACAGTAGCTAGCGAAACGCGGTTTTCAAATTAAGATTAGGAATAATATTTGCAACAAAATTTGTAATAACATCAAAATCAGTCAAAGTCGCAGTTTTCGAGATATTAACATATTTTAGTATGGGCGGCTATACGTGCCTCCCGGCGCCAATTTTTTATTTTTTCAGATAACAAACGAGATTCGGTACCATAGTAAGTATATGAGATAAATCAGGATTGATAAATCGTATTCAGTTTTTTTCGGTCACTTCTTGTTTTACCGGAAATGACTACAACTTTTGATTTTTAAATGACACCCTCGGTATTTTTTTACTTTATGTGATAGAAAATGACACTCAACTTTTGACATTTTCGCACATGGATTATTTAAAGTTGTAACATACGGTTCATAACAGATCCTAGACACTTAATGGTAACTTTATAGAACTACAAATTTAGTTTCTTCCGCATCGCCAGACGGCGCAAAAAACATTAAAGTACAGGTTTCTAATTTATATATGAAGATGACATGACAGTCTCTACGTTGACTACCGTCCATGGTCTAGTTTTGGTCTAGTTGACAAAATATTGGTGATCCGTCAAGTTATTTTTAAATCATTATTAAAATAATTATTAATTCAGATATTCTTGATTTGTCGGAAAGTTCGGTGATTTCAGTGATTTGGGGTTTATAGTTTGTGTTTTTATTAGTTATGTGCATTCTGATATTTACAGTCGATCATCATTTCCGGTGTTAGATACTAAACTTTTTTATTAAAGTAATTTTGACATTTTAGAAATTATATATTTATGAACCAAATAAAAAAATAGTTTAATCATAAATAGGTAAGTACTTAGTTGGTAATATATAGTATCTTTAGTAACAGTTAATTAGTTATTTGTTAAATCAAAAAAATAGGCGCTATGTGCTCTATTGTTGGTGTTTAAAATGTATGTATTCATAATTTTAATTTTGTTTTGACACTTCACTTTGTGACTAATGATCTAATAAAACATAAAATGTAGTAAAAAAGTCTATATTTATTATTTTATTTATATTATTTTATATTTTACAAGGAATAATTTTGCGCTTGAATAACGTTACCGTTTTAGTTAGCGTTTATATCAGTGTCCAATCTATCTATAGTAAATGGCATTAGTCTATGGTTCATAACGACAATTTGACTCGAAATACCAAGTGTGTGGTTCGTTAAATTATTCGTTAAAGAAATGCTTTTTCCAGATATGCTAATGAGCCACCCTTGTTCCGTTTGAAAAAGTTGAGGTATGATTTGAAATACGACTTGGCCATCTTTTAACCGGCCAGGACAAGACATGAAAAACATTAGACGATCAAATCTGTTTTGGCTCCTTGATTAAAAATTAGTGTTTTTAACATGCCCGTGGAACTCTAGATTAAAATTTAAAAAACTTTTTTTAAAGCGAAAATGTCAAAAGCTGACCATATAATTATATTCATAGTGTCATTTTCTATCGAATAAAGTAAAAAAATAGAAAGGGTGCCATTAAAAAATCAAAAGTTGTAGTAATTTCCGGTGACACAGGAAGTGACTAATTTATGTCATATACTAACATACCAAATCTCGCTTTTTTTTATCTGAAAAAATAAAAAGTTATACCGGGTGCGTCTCGAAAGTGGCTCACCCCTACAAAGACCCCTACATGTTAGTATATGACATAAATTAGGATTGATTGGACGCATTCAATTGTTTTTAGTAATTTCTTGTTTCACCGGAAATGACTACAACTTTTGATTTTAAAATGGCACCCTCTGTATATTTCTACTTTATTCGATAGAAAATGACACTCTGAATAGAATGACATATCATATGTCAACTTTTGACATTTTCGCTTAAAAACAAATCGTATTTTAAATTTCAATCTAGAGTGCCATGGTTGTGTTAAAAACAATAATTTTTAGTCAAGAAGCCCTTGGAAAAATAGTTTCGAGCGTTTAATGTTTTTCGTGTCTTATCCAAACCGGTTAAAAGAGGCCCAAATCGTATTTTTAATCATATCTCAATTTTTTCAAATGAAACAAGGGTGGCTCATTGGTAGATTTGGAAAAAGCATTTTTTTACGAATAATTTGGTACCACACACTTGGTATTTCGAGTCAAATTGTCGTTATGAAACGCATGTTACAATTTCAAATAAACCATTATGCGAAAATGTCAAAAGTTGACATATGATATGTCATTCTATTCAGAGTGTAATTTTTAATCGAATAAAGTAGAAATACACCGAGGGTGCCATTTAAAAATCAAAAGTTGTAGTCATTTCCGATGAAACAGGAAGTGACTAAAAACAATTATTGAATACGTCAATCAATCCTGATTTATGTCATATACCGTATGATTGAATAAAAACGGCGTCAACGATGGCTATGAAATGAAGATCGCTGTAATTTTATATGTAAATTTATATGGGAAATGTCATCGATCGTCATTTCCCAGCCAACTGGACGCCGTTTTTTTTTCGATCATACGGTATTAACATACCAAATCTCGTTTTTTTTATCTAAAAAATTCAAAAGTTATAAGAGTGAGCCACTTTTGAGAAACACCCGGTATATAATTATCGTCGATTTAGTATTCAGAATTTTTCAGATCGCGAACTCACATATGGCGAGTGAAATATTCCATGTTAATTATGCATTGATTTTGAAGTTTTTACTAGGTATGTTTTTGTATTGAAGACATCTTTTTTAATTGAAAAAGTGAGTGGGTTAAATTACAGAGTATTGATTACCTATAATGTGTTCAGCGGCCATTTTGCTATTTACAAAGGCCATTAAACAGGCAGTTCCGGTGAACAGAGGCATTCCGGTAGAACTCCTGGGGTTTGGATCAAAAACGAAAATTAGCGAATCTTCGCCTTCATCTTGTTTCTGCTCCCATAATGCCAAAGTAACTGGTTCGGTAACCAGAATACCATGAGTATTTTCCAGGAAAAAATCTTCTAAACCTAAAGATATTTTTTTTGAATGTTTACTCCTTTGAAATATAAGTATACAGGGTGGTCCAAATTCTATTCTGGAAACGTCGGCAGTATATTCCTGTAGAATATTAAATAAGTAAAAAAGTTCGAATAAATTTATGTCCTAAAATTGCTTCATTTTGGAGACACAGGGTTTAGAAGTATAATTTTTATTTCATTTTTTTCCAAATGATTTCTGAGCTAACGCCGATATTTAGATGAAAATTAGTGCCTGGGTGTTTTTTGCCATAAGAAATTCGATTTCGATGTCAATATGGCCCCTATTTGTAGGGGGCGCCATATTTTTAGTAAATTTAGCTGTTTTGAAGAGTAATAACTTTTCGTCCGTACCTGTATAAAAGTATTGAGTAAAAATACACGTTTCCGTCATTTTTTACGTAAAGTCGTTTTGGTAAAAATCGCTGCGAGTAATGGTTACTATAATAATATAATGGTTTATTATACAAAAATTATAGATGTTCACTGGATAGTTATTAGTCTGAGTCTGAAATAATAAATTTAAAATGTTTTTGTGCGAAAGATTCAACAGAAACTGTTTTATCGTATTTTTTCCAGAAACATTCATGATTAGCTAAAAAAATAAAAATTCCCAGATTTATCATTTCAGTCAAATACCTATCTATGGTCAACATGTTTATTTTTGTCAATAATGTCATGTATTGCTTATTTCGATTCCAAATATCTTGAAAACGGTTGTTCGTAGCAATTTTTACAAACAAATTTTTTCACTCAGTAGTTTAGAATAGGGCCGGACGAAAAGTTATGACTTTTTAAATCAATATTAAATCATGTAGGTGGCGCTCCCTACAAGTAGGAGTCATATTGACATCGAAATCAAATTTCTCATGCAGAAAAACGCCCAGACATCAGTTTTTATCTAAATATCGATGTTAGTTCAGAAATTATATGGAAAAAAATAAAATAAAAATTAAACTTCTACACCTTTTATCTCCGAAACGAAGCCTATTTTAGGACATAGATTTATAAAAACTTTTTCACTTATTTTTATCTGCAACATATGCTGCCGAAGTTTAAAATAAACGCCTTTATTGTCAAACAATTTTACAATTTGTAGACAAAAGTAAAGTAAACAAACAAAAGAGAATACAAAAGAAGTAAGTATACAAATTACATTGTGAGTCTTATTGTTTAAAATAAACATTTATATGTAAACATTTATAAAAAATGTCAAAGAATAAAAAAATAAAAATAATATTCAAAAATATTTAGTAAGTTTATAGTAAATATAGTAATAGCAAATATTAGACCCAATTAGACCAGTGTTTACAAGATCAAATTCGATTATCAAAATATAAGTCATTTACGGCGTAGAAAGCCTTGTCTAGTAAATAAGATATCAATGCTTTGCGAAATGAAGAAAATTATGTTATGGATTTGATTTCAAATGGCAGGTGCATTTTTTTCGAGTTGTATAATATTGAACTTTTAACTAACTCTGAGCGTGGGGTGGATAGATAAAGATCTTGCTCCGGCGTTCCTGAGTAGATAAGTGTGAGATGGCCTTTTTTGAGAAGCTGATACATGCTTACGTATTAGGCAAACGGATTCAAATATAAATAAAGAAGAGTTAATATTATATTTTTTTAAAAAAGTCCGGGCAATGAGTTCTGCTGTTTAGTCTCAGTGAATATCGAACAGCTCTCTTCTGGAGCTCGAAAATGCGGTCAAATTGAGTCGCAAAACACGTACCCCAGAATGGAAGGGCATATCTGAGGTGCGACTCAAAAAGTGCATAATAAACAGTTCTAGCCACTGACAAGTTAAGCTCCTTAGAAACAGATCTTAATGCAAAACAGGCAGAGCTTAATTTTTTCGACTAAGCGTCGATATGCATGTCCCATTTTAGAGAATTGTCTACAACAAGCCCTAAGAATTTTACAAATTTTACGACGTCAATGGTGGTGCTGTTAAGTACAAAAGGCCGCAGCGAGTTTTTATACGACGAAGCCTTAGTTTTAGAAATGCTGAGACTCAGGAGGTTCCGGAATACCATTCGGACCACCCTGTATAGACATTCATTATAAAAACGATGGTCGTTTACTGACCGATAAAATGAGAATTGTCGGCTCCTCACCTTCTCTCAAGTTTTTAGAACCACTGTGTTTCCCATCAATATACCCTTTTTGATCGGTGTTTCTAAATTCGCAGCTTACATTAATAACTCCCAATTTGAAATCGTTTCTAACTTTATAAATGTCCAGACTATCTTGCCACGGATTAAAATCAAAACCTAGTTCATTAACACTATCTTCATATAGTTCAGAACCTATAATATTCGTCATAAATTCTTGATTACTTCTGAAGAGTTGTGTAGTTCTTAGTTCTTACCGAGTATAACAATTTCATCTACTATAGGTCTTGACCAGTTTTCAGGTTTGTGTATTATTGACATTGTTAAGGCTACTATTGCTATAGGTGCACTCATTACGTTTGGCCCCTTTCCAAACCTTGGATCTTCTTGGCTAATAGTTCCTCTGAAAATAATAATTTTGGGGTATTAATTCTTATTTAATCCTAGAATACTAACCATTCGTCAATTTTACGAAAACTACCCAACTGATGAAGAATTGGAAACTATAGTTCCTATCAAATAAACTTTTATTCGCGTGATTATAACTTGACCGGCACAACGTTGCCCACTTTTACATATTTTCTATTAATCGAAATATTTTAGGAAACAAAAATAAAATAATTATAAATATATGAAGAGTTATTATTTACATCAACAAAACTTACCTTCTTAACAGCACTTAAGGGACAAAAGGGCCATTCCTACCGCTTTCCCGTTCAAAATATTCTAATAAAGTCGCAATGAGTTTTTTTATGGCTATTAAGCTATCTTGTACACTTCGCACTAAAAGAGGTTCTAAAAAGGACAATGTTCGACTGCAACGTCTGCTAGTAAACATTGGATTTAAAAGGCAACAGCGGATAAAAATCGTGCCCTATCACATATATTTATTTATTTTCCGTACAATTTCGACTGTTCGTCTAATTTTCTAAGTCGGTAGCGTATGTTACGAGAACGATTAGTTTATTGTGCACTAAGAAGCTGATGGAAATTATGTGTTTTTATGGGATGGATTTTTTTACTATATGGATTTTATGGGATTATCAACATGGCGTGTATAAGCGATACCAATTAAACTTTTAGTTGCATAATCGACGGTGCTATTTTTAAATTTATTGTTGCCAACCATAGACATATTCGGCGCTGGGCTGACTAACTGGAATTTAAATTTCCCGCTGGAGATTCAGGTGGTAGCTCTGCTGTAAAAAATGTCAAGTTGTCACACTTATTTATTTATTTTCTGACATTGTCATTCGTTTGGACCAATGACTAAAGAAAAGTACATATATCAGAAAAATAATTATCGAATTCAATAAGAAAACGCTAAAGAGGTGGAGCGGACTGTTTATTTACCTATGAAACGTAACTCCTGGCTCTCTCTTATCGCTGCTGCTTTTATACTTGAAAGCTGAGCAACTAATCACCATTGTAATAAAGTTTATACAAAGTTCTCTACACACAAACTATTAAAAATCTTAAAAAAAATTGATGGCTAAGGTCACAAATTCTGCTGCAGCCCGTATATTGGCGTTACATGTCCTTATATTAATCTTTAGTCATTGGTTGTGACACTTTAGTATTAGGTACGTTTTTTTTAAATGAATTGTGTTGTGATACTTTAAGCTTGAAAATGTTTACTAGCAGACTTAGCAGTCGAACACTATTCTTTTTAGAACCTCTTTTAGTGCGAAGTGTACAAGATGTGACAAGTGATACAAGTTTAATAGCCGTAAAAAACTCATCGCAACTTTATTAGAATATTTTTAACGGGTAAGCAATAGTAATGGCCCTTTATGTCCCTTAAGTGCTGTTAAGGAGGTGAGTTTTGTTAATGGAAATAATAACTGTTTGTATATTTATAATTAATTTATTGTTGTTTCCTAAAATATTTTGATTAAAAGAAAATATGTAAAAGTGGGCAACACACTGCCGGTCAAGCTTAATCACGTGATTAAAAGTTTATTTGATATGAACTATAGGTGATTTTATTTAAATTGTTTTTTGGCTTTCTACATAATCTTTAATGTTCTACTTATCTATTGAAATTTTCTTTGTATTTATATCTAATTTCAGATCTGGAATCTCACCTTATTATTAATTTTCCAGGGACAACTGACGCTAAACCTGCTGATTTGGATACTGCTTTTGGTGTCGGTATTAATTCTTTTGGAGCTCTCTCCCGTGGACACAAATTTCTACTTAATGTTACCTAAATTAATAGTAAAAAAATTGAACAATTCAATTTCTAAGACAGAATAATTATTATACCTGATGTATAAAAAACTGATTTAAACCAAGAACTGGTAAGTTTTGTAAAAACAATTTTGATAAATTTTTAAGACTTAAGTGTCTAGTTACACATCCAGTGCCAATTTTGGACTGAACTCCGTTAGGGCCTCTTTTTAGGCCATCAAACATATAATACATTTTTGCCCCTTTCCACACAGCAACATATAACCCTTAAAAATAGTTATTATTTCTTAAAAGAGTAACTGCTTTGATATAGAAAACTATGTTTTGTAAAAGAAAATCTTATATACACAACTTTTTTAAATACCTTTAGCAAACAAAATGCCATACGTGGCTTCTTCAAAAAACTTTTGTAATCCTCGCTGGACATCAAACAGGTCTTCGAAATTTTGTGCTTTAATATCGCCAACTACCAATTCTGGTTTGACACCCACTTCTACCATGAATTGGGCAAGACATATTTTCTTAGGTATATCGTTAATACTAAATTCTTCATGTTGCACAATCCAATCAATCTAAAGCAATAGAGTTAGTATAATGCCAAAAAAATATTAACAGATAGCGTTTTATGTATTTTGAAAAATATAAAAGGTGAATAATATACAAGGTGTCCCAGGCTGAGCGTGCATGTTGCGTGGTGAAGTTTTTAGAGAACTACAATATCTAGATCGGAGATTTTTTGCACATAATTGTTTCACAATGAGATCTATCGATTAAAATATTTTCAGTATGGCGGCACTTCCGGAAATACGGAAAGTTGACAGCAACTTTTCTATTTTAAATCGGTACCCGAATTTTTTATTATACATATATTTAAATTATCTGTAAAATTTGATAAATTTTGATATCAAACACTCTATAGCTAACATTAACCATCTTTGAGAAAAACATATTTAAAATGCTTGGAGGAAAACAACTGCCTGTCAAAAAAAAATATATAGCCTAAACGTCAAATTTAGTGATTACCACATTGTGACATAAAGAGAAGATATGTGGCTATCTATTTCAAAAATTAAATTGTTTGATTGTCATATAATATTGGCCGTAGCTGCCACGGAATCGAGAGATTAAAAAATTAACATAAATCATTTTTTTTAATGGAAACCCACTTTTTTTTTATTTTACTAGTGAAAAGGTTTTTTAATTCGTTACTTTTTAACTATACATGTTCCTATCCCCATAAGTTCTTAAGTAACTTTAAACTCTTAAAGCGTATATTTTTTTGATTTTTAACCAGTAGCGTATGACTTTAAACGTCAAGCGATGTAAAACTATATCTGGCCATGTCATATTGCCATTACTTAAATATCACTAAAATAGAGATATATTTTTATAAATACACTTTATAAAGTTTTAGCAGGCAGTATTTATAATATACGAAATTCAAATAATTAGTGTTTTGACAGAAGGACATAAACTATCTGATGGTTTGACACTTGAAGTTTCAAAGTTGTCAAAGGAAGCTAGATAATACCCTTGTATATAAACAAGGAAAATACCAAGAAAAATTTACGCTTTAAAGCTAAATCTTAAATAATTTAAAAACGATTTATTTTTGGTATAGGAACATGTATAGTCAAAAAGTAACGAATTAAAAAACCTTTTCACTAGTGAAATAAAAAAAGTGAGTTTCCATTTGAAAAAAATGATTTATGATAATTTTTTAATCTCTCGATTATATGACAATCAAACAATTTAATTTTTGAAATAGATAGCCACATGTTTTCTCTTTATGTCACAATGGCTGTGGTAATCACTAAATTTGACGTTTAGGCTATAGAGAAAAGACAGGCAGTTGTTTTCCTCCAAACATTTTAAATATTTTTTTTCTCAAAAACGGTTAATGTTAGGTATAGAGTATTTGATATCAAAATTCATAAAATTTTACAGAGAATTTAAATATATAATAAAAAATTGGGATACCCATTTAAAATAAGAAAGTTGTTGTCAACTTCCTGTATTTCCGGAAATGCCGCCATATTGAAAATATTTTTAATTGATAGATCTCGTTGCGAAACAATTATGGGCAAAAAATCTCCGATGTAGATCTTGTAGTTCTCTAGAAACTTCTAATGCACGCTCAGCCTGGGAGACCCTGTATATCCCAAACTTGCTTGTCATTCTTCAAAAAAAAAGATAATAGCAAAAATACCCCGCTGGCAAGCGAACCTTTGGGTCGGCGTTTACATGTATAGGAGTCGTTATGGCAATCTAGTAAGTCGGAGTGAGCAAAAATACGAAGTATTTATTACATAACTACTTAATCTAACGCTAGATTCCATGCGCTTGAGAAAATACTCGCCTTCTGTCTTAGCTCCGCGCGCACTGAATAGGTATCGGCGAGAGCGAGCGGCACGTAATTTTCAGTTTACGTTAAAATAAATGTAAGCCCGCGCACTGAATCAGATCGGTGCGCTTCGAGCTATCGGCGTTACTCGCGCCATCAGGCGAAATCAGAGAACGCATGGGAGGGGGCGAATAGTCTACGCCGAGCGACTGTTTTTAGTGGAGCGGTTTTACATTAAACATGTCCGATGAATTATTAATCGAAAGTGTACGAGACCATATCATACTTAATATGCGGTTTCTGATAAAAATTTCTTACAAGCACGTAACCTATATTGTTTACTACACTTATTCAATAAGTGAATTAGAAAACCTTCCGATTAAACCCATTTATTTCTCATCTCGTTTTGATTATCTCACATTATTTTGAAAATCGAATTTAAATATCGTCAAAAAACTTATCATATTATTTAATTTTTGGTTTGTTTTGACGTTAGTAATAACAGCTGATAAATAGTCATACTATGTTACTATATGTTGATCGCTCCGTAAAAGGTACAAATAGAGAAAATAATATTTATGTTTGAATAAAATATTTGTACATATATATCTACCGTATGATAGAAAAAAACGGCGTACAGTTGGATGGGAAATGACGATTGATGACATTTCCTATATAAATTTACATATAAAATGGCACCGACCTTCATTTCATGGCCATCGCTGATGCCGTTCCTTTTCGATAATACGGTACTATAAAAACTATTTATATTTTTTCTTTTTTTCAATTTTTTTTGACTTTTTGATTATATCTTAAGTTTTTAAAATCTTGGTTTTAAGTCAGTAGTGAATAAAACGAAACTTGTGTTTACATTTTGTTTAATGATTGACGTTTCGACCAATTTTAATTCGGTCTTCTTCAGAATCTATAATATACAATACAATTTTATCACTAACAATGTGTTTAATATATAATTTTTTCCTACCACAAACGTAGAAAATTATTTATACGTATATTATAGATTCTGAAGAAGACCGAATTAAAATTGGTCGAAACGTCAATCATTAAACAAAATGTAAACACAAGTTTCGTTTTATTTACTACTGACTTAAAACAAAGATTTTAAAAACATAAAATAAAAGCTATATATAAATGTTTGTAATGACACTTATTTAGATTAAAAAACTAAAAATAGAAGTTTTATTTGACTATTTTTTATATCTAGCTTTGTTTTTAAAGAACAAATTAAACCCTTTTGAATTATACCAAATTTGTTAAAATCGGTCAAGCTAAGAGTCATGTAGTATATTTTATCCCCATCTTCCACTCTATTTTATTAATTTTATGTGGTTTATTAAGATCTAAATATATTAATGTGTGTTTGGTTAAGATCTAAATAATATTAATTTCCATCATAAAGTATAAAATATAAAAAGTTGCATAAAAATATAAATAGTAATAATAGCGTGTTGACCGTACTCTTCGTACACATGAAAACCAGCACCCAAGACCAGAAATGCCGACCCTTAGTATATTTTATTATTTTCTATTTGTCCATTAAGGCCAATGACTTTGTTACCATCTTTGAGTGCCGCTATTATACTAATTTTTTGTTTTGAATGTGGTAGACAATGATTGAGTATTGAAACTAAAAGAATTTCGGACTTCCATTGCTTTGGATTATTTTTGATTAACATAAAAAAAAATAAATAAAGACGATGGAAGTCCAAAATTCTTTTAGTTTCAATGCTCAATCATTAGTTCTTTGTCTTGAGTGTGTTTTTTTCGATCTCTTTTGTTTTCCTTTTTTCTTTTTAGTTTTTATTTCATTATTATTTCTAATTATAAAATTAATAAAACGGCGTCAGAGATGGCTGATATAATAAATGATGATTGATAATAAAGGCCGCTGTCATTCTGAATGTAAGATAATAAGGGGAATGTCCCATCTGAGCCAACTTTTTTTCGATCATACGTTATATTACTCTCATTATTCCAATAATTATCAGCAATGTTTCTAGCAATAGTTTAATGGTGCTACTTTTTTTTATTTTTTTTAGTTATTATGCTTGCTACATTTATTTTACCTCATCTTCCTTCAAGTTGATTTTTGGATCGCCAAGTAACTGTAGCTTTCGAGATTTTTTCATATAGGTGTACAATTTATCGCCGTATACTAATATGGAGTCTGGAGTTGTTGAAACGAAACAGGTTATTTCGTAAGTATGGGCTACAGCTAAGGCTATGAGACTGGCTGTTAGCGTTTGCTTTCCTCTATTGCTATGAGGGAATAATTCGTGCGTCAAATCCAGAGTTGCTAACAAAAGAAATCAGTCGATGAAATAAAATTATATTTTACATTTCTTTATACAATAATTTATATTATAACAACATAATATAGTACTATTCCACCGGGTGCGTCTCAAAAGTGGCTCACCCCTATAACTTTTTATTTTTTCAGATAAAAAAATGTTAGTATATAAGATAAGTTTGATTGACGTATTTAATTGTTTTTGGTCCAGGAGGTGACCTGTTTCACTGGGAATGACTACAACTTTTGATTTTTAAATGGCACCCTCGGTATATTTCCATTTTATTCGATAGAAAATGACACTCTGCATAGAATGACATACCATATGTCAACTTTTGACATTTTCGCATATGGTTTATTTGAAATTGTAACATGCGGTTCATACCGACAATTTGACTCGAAATAGCAAGTGTGTGGTACCAAATTATTCGTAAAAAAATGCTTTTTCAAAATATGCTAATGAGCCACCCTTGTTCCATTTGAAAAATTGAGATATGATTAAAAATACGATTTGGGCATCTTTTAACGGGCAAGACACGAATAACATTAAACGATCAAATCTATTTTTGCAAGTCTCCTTGATTAAAAATTAGTGTTTCTAACACAGCCATGGCATTCTAGATTGAAATTTAAAATGCGATTTTTTAAAGCGAAAATGTCAAAAGTTGACATATGATATGTCGTTCTATTCAGAGTGTCATTTTCCATCGAATAAAGTAGAAATATAGGGAGGGTGTCATTTAAAATTCAAAAGTTTTTCAAAAAAAAAAAAATTCCGGTGTAACAGGAAGTGACCAAAAATCAATTGAATACCGTCAATCAATCCTGATTTATGCATGTCATATACTAATGTACCAAATCTGTAAAAAAATTATATAAAAAAATAAAAGTTATAGGGGTGGGCATTTTGACAAACACCCGGTATGCACTGACTGGTACGAGAATATACCTAGGCACTTCAATATACCTAGGCAGTTTCTTCTAGTTAGCCGATTTTAAACTGTAGCTTTTTTTGAATTAAAAACTCAATTTCTTATCTTTCTATTATACGAGAGATAACAAAATGTTTGAACATCCTACAGAATCGTTTAACAAAATAAAGAATTTAGAACAAACATTAAACCTAATAAACATACAGGTAGGCAGACAGGTATAAACTTGTGGCGTTTTAAAAAAATATTGAAAACTACATAAAACAAAATTGCTATTAAGTGTGTGCAAAATTTACCTCTTAAAATCCACTGGCCGCGATCAAATTCTTTAAAAAAATAATAATCTCCCTCGTAGGCATCCGTTCTTTCGTCTTCTTCATTATATTTTACTTTACATTTTAAACTATTTACTATCGCTACTCTTTTTAACGTAAAGCCGCTACCAGCTCTATCCAATGGAGGAATATTTTCGTAAAGATATTTTGCCAAGTCGTCCAGATTGGTGAACCAAACGACGCAAGCGCGTCCCGCTATTTCTTGTTGTAACCAATAGAATGGCGATCTTTTAGATTTTACACGATCTTCTTCTTTAAATGTTTCGAATATTCCTCTCTCTTCTGGCTGATCATCATACGCATCCATTTCGTCTCTTAAAACGAAACATTGTTTATAATTAAATATTTTATTAAATCTGGATTTCTTACTCATTCTCTTCTCCATAAGTGGCTGCAAAATCACCTTTTGAACCTGCTTTTATTGCGTCAACTTTGCCAGATGGTTGATTATCTTCATCTGGTTCGGGATCCCAGTCTTCTTTACCTAGGTTAATTTGGAGTACATTAGTATCACTAATTATTTCACTGTTATTTTTGAAATTTGAATGTTCAAATAGTAACAACATTGATAACATAACAACATAGTAACAGACAAAATACCTCTAAAATGAGGAATACGTCAGGGAGATACAATCTCTCCCACACTTGATCTGATTGAAACGTTGTGCAAGTTAAAAAAAGTTTGAACTGGCAAAATAGGGACAATGGCATAGTCTTAATAAGCGATGTTGACCACCGGGCTCCTCTGAGCATCAGGGCCCGAATTCTGGAACCAAAACGTTACGCTTTCAAAGCCGTAGGCGAAAGTACTCGATTAGCGGAACGTCAAGCAGCATTCGGGATTCGTCCCAGGATTCGGGAAAGGGGGGGGGGCTAGACACAAAACTTTACTCAAAGTACATACTCCGGAGTCGTTTCTGACATAATAAATGAATAATATAGTATTACATAACTGAACATAAAGGCAGGGGGCTTGCGCCCCCAGAGCACCCCCCATCGTGGATCCGCAACTGTATTCTGGTATTCTCGTTGCCGTGCGAATCGTTTTCTGGATACGCGTTGAGCACGTATTGGCAGCATTGCAATTTCTCAGGTATCTAATAGTCAAATGTGGATAAGACAATGAAAAAAAATGTCAATGTTAAGTGAATTTGTCAAAGCTTCAAACAGTTATAACATATAGGTTGAGCCCCCTACAAGTAGGAGTCATATTGACATCGAAATCCAGATTTCTCATGTAAAAAAACAACCAGACACTAATGTTTACCCAAATATCGACTATGGCTCAGAATAAACTTTTTTACTTATTTTTATCTGCAGAATATGCTCCCGAAAGTTTCCCGAATACATATCGGTCCAACCTGTATATTTACCTATGACTTCTCCATTGCTATCCCTAGGTCTTGAATCAAAAACATAGTATGCCTTGTCATCTCTCCAAAGAACAACCGTGTAGTGCTTTGCTTCGAGCAAAACTTCCTGATTGAAGTTTTCATCCGTTTGTTCCTCTTCAAACGCAGTTTTTAAAGCATCTTTGAGCAATTCTTTAATATTTCCTGAAATTTTTAAAATGTAATATGTATATAAGGAACAAGCTCAGGTAACAAACCCGAGGCAATCTCTGAGAACTCTAAGGCAAAATTGTTTGGACCTATATTAAAGTCATTTTTTACATTTTCTGATGTCACTTTTACTTCCACTTCTGGTTCTTCTTCACCTTCCTGTTGTGTTTGTTCTTCATTTTCTGTTTCTTCGCTATCGGCTATTTCTTTAGCTTTAAAATAAAATAATTATCTATGAATATTGTTTTTAAATTCGAATATGAATTGGAAATACACTGATTTTAATTCAACTTTACTATAGAGCTTTTAGACACGGTTTCAATTAATTTAATACGTAAAAATTTCAATACCAAAATATTTTATTTGATTAACAAATTGACGAAAATATGGAAAATGTTCCTATAAATATTTTTCTGGAAATGCACAATTATTGTTGTTTTTGTAATTATTTTAAATAAACTGTAATCAACTTTTTTTGAAATTTGTCAATGTTATTTCTAGCAAAAGTGGCGTTTATTAAACTATTTTTTGTGAAAGCGTTTCGAAATTGACAGTTTTTGATATTTATTTGAGATTCGAAATGACGAAATGACATTCTTTTAGGCACTAGTATCTAAAAGTGACACTGGTTTAGGCACTAGTGCCTAAAAGTAAAAAATGAAACGTTAGAAACAATGAAAGTATTTATTTATTATAAATCTTAAAGGTACAATTATTTAAATTATTAAAGTGAGTACAAAAGGCATCCAACTTTTCGTCTCTAAGAGAAATGCAAGTTGTAGGAGTCGGAATAAGTAAATTTCGTGTACTGGCAATACTGGTCGTAGCTTCTGCTTCTACGTGAACTGCTTTTAATTTCTTATTTGGCGTATCTTTATGTCCCATGATTCTTTTTGTTATTTCGGTTTACTGTTCAATTGAATTTTCAATGTAACCTTCAGCAACCGAGCTTGATCGCCAACCTCCATGTGGCTTTAAAACTGTTATGTCCGCTCCTGAATCTGCCAGCATTGTTGCAGAGCTGCGCCGGAAACAATGACCAGTGTATTCAATGGCGTTGGAGAGTCCAAGAAATGCCGCTATCTTTTTTGGCATACCCCCAATTGCATTAATTCCAGCTGGCAGGGTACAGCACTGATTTTTTTCGATACGTCAAGAAAAATCGCTAATGTCATAGATAAATGCAACAAGTTTAGATTGGAAAGCCCGTAAAAATTTTGGGTAGCGAAATTATTTTGGGTCGCGACCGTTATACGCGATTTGGCGCTGCTATAGCGGTCGCTAAGAACAACGACAAACAAAAACAGAAATAATTTTCTCTTGTCAAAGTCAGAGTCTTCAAAAATCATAATATAATCTTTCAAAATCTAAACCGCTCTCTTTAAAGAAATTCCGAAAAGTGTTTATAGCGTCCATTTTCAAAGTAATAATTGCTATCTTGTGAGTTTAATTCAAGTTTTATTTACTCCAACCGGTGATAATTGTGAAAAAGTGGCATTAAAATCTTAAAAAGCTGTGCTGTGAACAGTTTTGTAAATACATTCGATTTCTTTGCCTGATATCCGGAAGCTTTTCTTTTTAAAAATGCAATAAGGTTTGTGAATTTGCTAACATCTACGTTTCTGTTCAGGTAAATCATGGTGCGGAGCATCGAATATTTATTTACTCCTAAGAGTTGACAGCTTTAAGGTAGTGGATAACTTCAGGAAATAGGCCAGCAATACGTTTTCTGTGAAATTCTCAACATGTTTTTCTTTGACCCAGGTTTCAAAGTTTGAATCTGACAGAACTTTGTCATCTATGACCATAGATAAAAGAAAATAATCTTCTATTAAGATAGATATGAAACTTAATAGTAAAATTTTGGGTCAAAGCGCCCCTCCGTGTTCTTAGTAGAGACTACGTTTAACCCAGCGCCTTCGCCTTTTCTGCTGTAAATATTTTTTATGTTTATATTTGATTTCAAATGATTTAGTTTTAAAGTTACACTGATATATTAGTATATCAGAGTAACTTTAATAAAACATAAGAATATATATATTTTACAGTTTATTAAATATAAATTTTGACTACAAGGTAGAAAGTAAATCACAATATTTGACAAAACTTATAAGTATACCATTTTTACAGTTAATAAATAATAAAAAATTTAGATAGATAGAATATTAAAAAACATACCGGTATTTGCAGACGCAGGCCCAAATTCAATAAAAACCCAATTTTTTCCTGCGAAAATCGGGCTTTTTTCACAGAAAAGGTATTTTTTGATGTATCAACAATCATTGTCAAGTTGACAATATACAGGGTTTTTTCTAATTAGTCTAAAAAATTGTGGTGTAATTCCTCATGTCTTCTTAAAACAATTTTTATATAAACATTGGGTCTAAAGTACTTCCTTTCTGATCTAGAGGGTGTTAAAAATTAAAAAAAAATCGATATTTTGCTTAACATAAATGGTACACTACTGCTTTTTTAAAGAAAATATATTTTTTTCTTGACTGGCCATCCTTTTTCAACAAAATTGATCTTTTGAGTTTTTCTTGTTCATCAAACGGTTGCCGAGAAAAAAATAAATATACTTATTAAGAGCCCGCCTTAAGCCGTTTTCTAACGATTTTTTATTTTTTTAGATTAATTAGGAAACACCCTGTATATGCATATCACAGGCAACCAAATAAACTAGTAACCTCTAAAAAATATTTTTCCTACCACTAGCGACGTACTGTGTTTTTAGTGAGTACTAAATTGTTTTATCAAAATTTCATCATATAAGTTTCCAGGCAATGTCTATGACTTTGTCATTAAACAATGCATAAACAATGCCTTAGAAGCCGATTACCAGAACATTTTAAAACATGTTTAAAAATAAATAATAGTAATAGCGTGAAAATCCCAAATTATCCGCTTTCACAAAAAATCTTGTATGAAATTCGTTGCATTCTCGTTTGTTGCATTTTCGAAATTCGTTGCATTTCCAATTCGAGGCATTGTCCATTTTGCGCCCCGTGCCTAAAACACATTCATTTCGCAACTTGTTATATAAATAGCTATTTCATATTTCTTTATGAGCAATAACCCTACTAAATTACTAAAATTTAGCTATACTATTTCGAACTTTTTCAATAAAAAAATATGTTTAATGAGAGAAAAATAAGTACTTTTATGTGTGTTTGTTTGGAAATTGCATTTCTTAAATTAGGATATAGATAAATGAAACAAGTTTAGATTGGAAAGTGCCCATAAGGACAATGTAAACACTATTTGGCGCTATTTTTGCAACGGTCGCGACCCAAAACTTTCGAAAATTTCGGAGCGGTTCGGCTTTCTCCGGAATTATATCGCCAAATATTGTTTATTCAAATTTTTTATTATTTTCGTTTAATTTTATAAATAAAAGACATTGTGTTGCACACAAGAAACTTTATTTTATATAAGGACGCATGTATGAAATACCTATGAAACATTGGAAAGCGACTTTATGCCACGATCCACGATGGTTTTTGCAGTTCATAGTTCACAGCACAGCTTTTTAAGTTTTTAATGCCACTTTTTCACAATTATCACCGGTTGGAGTAAATAAAACTTGAATTAAACTCACAAGATAGCAATTATTACTTTGTAAAGGGACGCTATATAACCACTTTTCGGAATTTCTTTAATGAGAGCGGTTTAGATTTTGAAAGATTATTATGATTTTTGAAGATTCTGACTTTGACAAGAGAAAATTATTTCTGTTTTTGTTTGCCGTTGTTCTTAGCGACCGCTATAGCAGCGCCAGATCTCGTATAACGGTCGCGACCCAAAATAATTTCGCGACCCAAAATTTTTACGGGCTTTCCAATCTAAACTTGTTGCATTTATCTATGAATTAGGATTTTAATGGTAAACAACGTAACTACGTAAACGTAAAAATAAGGTAGCCAACGTTGTTTTTTAGTCAATTACAGCAAAGATAAACCGGCTTTTTTTAGAGAACCTAAACATTCCTTACAGACGGTTGATTAAATCAGTTTTGCCCCTTAATTTAGAAATTAGACAACATATTCCACATCTGTTCAGTAAAAGAATATCACAGTGTCATATATTTTCCGCTAGTCAAACTATAGCTATTATCGACAATATAAAACTTCTGGTGTAAATAATATCAATGAATTTAACAATAGCTGTGATTTAGGGTGCGTTTATGTTGGAGCGGCGATAAACGATAAGAGCAACGATAGTAGTGAAGCAAAAAATATTATTACATTAATTTATATGTAGGCGTTTATATTGGAGCAACGCGTCGAGACACGCTTGGCAGTTGAACAACGATAAGAGCAGCGCTAATTTACTGCTTTTATCGTTTATTGCAGCTCCAACATAAACGTACCCTTAGTTTCATAGGAGCACTGTTATTCAGGCATCGTTCATCGTTGCGTCATCATTCTTTGCCAAATATGAGTTTTAGGGTGTGTCTGAGATCAGTTCATATTTATGTTTATATTTTTTAATTTTTACATTGATCGATGCCCGTCAATAAAATTATAACTCCAAATCAAATGACGATGACAATTTCTGAAAAGAATATGCAGTAACTTGCGAAATGCCGTAATGACGTCATCAATCTCTTTCACCTGGTTGTTAAGTGATTGAGAAAGTTCGACAATATATGACGTGACGGTGAACGATGCTTTAACAAACTATACGAACTTGGAGGTGTCGCTTTTGCATCACCACCTGCTTTATTATTCGCTGGTTGTGTCCCTTCTTCATCTTCTTCGGTGTCTACTTCTACAGCCGATTCATCCATTTCACTCTGAATTTTAGCCATTGATTGGATGTAAAGATCGTCACCTTAAACAGTAAATTATTGTAAAAACAGCAAGCAAAGTAAAAAAGCAATTATTGTTAATGAGATATTTTTAATTGAATCTGTTAAAACTAAAGTTTGTGCAATTATATTACTATTTTTTTTCGTTGGACATTCTAAATATTCGTAAAAATAACTAGAAAGTGTTGGGTGTGTGAAAGTTCTAATATAAAGGTCCCCAATTATCTTTTCATAGGCAAGTAAAGTATTCAGTTGTTCTTTTATTTATATTAAATCACATGGCTGGTTAGATTTCCTAAGAATATTGTACGGAGTGGCTAAGTGTATTTTTTATACAATTTAATTTTTGTGACAGTAAACATTCAATTTATTGTTCAAATATATGCATTTTACAAATTAAATTTTTAAAAGTAATGTTCAAATTTGGCGCGTGGACGATAGATCCTAGACAAGGATAGATAGAGAAGCACCGCGTGTGTAACAAGAAAATAAGATTAATATAAGTCGTTGATATGTTTGCGACAGTTTCCATAGTGATTTACTTATCCACGTAAGTATATATCGTCCTACTGCTGCCAAAAGTCACTAACTCCGAACAACCAAATTCAATCACTAACTATGTTTTGAATCGGAGAATTGATTGCAAAATTCATTAACTACGATTTCTGGCTATTTATGTTTTATTTTAATACCGAATAGTTACTAACTATAACATCTTTATGCAATGCAATTCTTCTTTAGACGCATTTTTCTCGGAAGTAATAAAAAGTAAGTTAGTGACTTTTGGCAGCAATAGGACGATATGATCTAGAGTTACAACATCTCTCTGCTGTGTTGGAACGAACCTATTATTAACGAAAAATAGTGATCATCTTACCCTTATCTAATATTTCATCGAGATCGTTCTTAGTCCACTGAATGGAAGGCTTTAATTTATTGAAACTTATGGCGGTAAGGCACATCGGTACGGTTTGACGGCCTTTTCTGATTTCGTACTTTTCGTTGTTTTCACTCAACCAACTTCTTAAAATTGCCGAGTTATCCGTTAGTTTTACGTAGTTATTCAAAGGAGGTACCGCAGAACCGGCCGAGCCAGCATCATACAAATTTATGGTTACTTTAGTTACATTAAATAAATCTTCTGTATTGCAGTCTAAATTAGCTTCCGCAATTTGTACTAGGTCGTCCAAAGTGAGAAACCTGATTGTGCACGAAGTACCATAACCTAGAGAAAATTATAATATTTTGATACTGATTATTATTATATTATTTATTTATTTTACATGTGCCCTATTAAAAATTTTGCAAACCGAATTTAATAAAATAACGGCGAACTGTAATTAATTATCCGCTATGAATAAAACTGTATTTGCCAATAAGAAAGAGTAATTTTGTAAGTACTCTTATAAGCATTACCCATGATACAAAGAAAATAAGGTATTATATTGCGCAGTTTGGTCACTACGTCAGAGGTGCTATCGACACCATTGGTCGGCATACTCCGCGTGCCAATTTCAAATCGTCAACCTGATGACACATAATAAATGCGAAAATTACTTTTCCAATGTCACCCTCAATGATTTGACATAACTTTTAGGTTATGTCCTAATTCTTCCCTATTTTAGGTCTTTTTTTATTAGTGGTAATCTTTGAATAAGAAGACTAAGGAAGGAGCATATCAAAAATCTTAGGTTCACCGCGATGGGCCTCAAATATGGCCGACTTAAATTCCGGTTTATCTGTGCCGTTCTAATTTTATTTAAAAAATGTAAAACTATGATGTAGGGTAGACGTGGGGTAGACTCAATAATATGTTGTTTTATTTGACGTTGTGAATAAATGTTGGTAGTTATTAAAATTGTTACAAAAATATATAATTCTAATAAAAATAGATAAGTTATAATAATTATTAGGTAAATCAAATTGACGTATATCTAAATTCTTTGACATCTAATCTTTGACAAGTAGTAAATAAAAGCAAAAATGCAAGAAAAAATATATAATTAGTTAATTAATTTAAGTGAATTTCATAAATGATCGGTTTACTACACGTATGTATATTATGTAGTCACTTACTAGCTAAAAGTTGTTCCATTATTTCACTCGATTTTTGCCGAGATCTACTGCACGCTACACAACCAACTATTTTAGAGTCTTTTTCGATAAATCGCGATAGTGTCACTGTTAATTTAAGTTCTGCCACAATTTCCATCTAGATTTTCTACCCTTATACAACTATCAGTAGTAGAATAAATAATAAATAACATAAAATAAGCTCCGTAAAGACTGACAAATCCATAAAATTTCAAATCAAATTCAAATGTGTCAAATGAATCATCAAACAGAACTGTCAAGGATCCCCACCCTAGAGTGCTTTTTCCGCCCAGCATGCATGAATGCATGTATAGCATTATGCTCCTTCCTTAGTCTTCTTATTCAAAGGTGGTAATTGAACAATATGGATTTTTTCGTATGACGTAGTGACGTCACAGGTTATATGCGCGAACTGAACGAAATTAGAGCCGCTATCGATCATACCTTGTTTTCTTTGTATCATGAGCAATACCAATTAAACTGTTAGTTATGTAATCGAGGGCGTAATTTTTAAATTCATTGTTGCCAACCATGGATATAATCGGCGCCGTGCTGACTAACTGGAATTTAAATTTCCCGCTGGGGATTCAGGTGGTAGCTCTGCTGTAAAAAATGTCAAGTTGCCCCATTTATTTATTTATTTCCTGACATTATCATTCATTTTGACACTTTAGTTTTGCATTACGAGCTTTCGATTTAAATTAATTGTTGTGATACTTTAACCTTAAAAATGTACTTCATTCAGAACCTCCAAATTAGTGGAACAAATTAGTAGTTTCAATTAGCGTAGAAGTTTGTTAATTTTATTTCGATGTAAGCATTCAGAATGCCAAAATTAGTGATAGTCGTTTTCAATTAGTAGAAAAAGTTAACAATCTTTTAATTTGTCCACTAATTAAACTTCAAAATTTGCAAGGAATGTCATTTTGGCCTTTGATTTTCATCCGCCAAGAGAAATTGTGGTTGGAAATCAAAAGCTGATTGTTTTATAAGCTAAATATTATAGTCTTTCTCTACGGATTCAACTGATTACCGCAAGCTGTTGCTAGGATATTCCATTGTGTATGTACGTGAATGATCTTAAACTAAAAAGTATAAAGTGTAATTGAAGCCACTAATTTATTCCACCAATTGCGAGGTTCTGAATGAAGCTTTAGACAAGAGTAATTCGCTGTATTAAAAATGTATTCTTACCGGCGGCATATCCATCTTTATCTCTACTGTAAGGATCTAAATAATAAAAAACACCATCTTTCATCCAAATAGCTAATGATATATCTCTGGTAGTTATAATACCCATATCACTGTCTGCAAAAAAGTATTCCAGACCCTGTGAAATATAAAAAAAAAACATTACCTAAATAAACTACAAATAACATGTTTTTTTAGCTTATGAACAATGATTAAGATAAAACCTCAGATAAAACTTAATATAACTATAATTTCAGTCCTTTCCAGAAAAACAAAACAGTAATGAATTCATCTAACTTTAGATAGACAATATTAAAAGACGCTGTAATCGTAAGCCTCTCCAAATATACAGGGTGGTTCATCACATACGACACGGAGTATTGTAGCTAAACGATTAGATTTTTACAAATTGTAAGTTTTGAGTTCGTTGAAGGTCTATTAGAGCTACAATTTAAAAATATTTTTACAAGATACAGAGTGTCCCAAATAAGTAAAAAATATTAGAGTTGTATTTTTTTCAAATGGAACACCCTGTATATTATTCTATTTTTGGATTCTACGATTGAAATAAAGGTAAATATGATTAAGGTTTATCACACTTAAACATTACCGTTTTTGAAATATTTTCAATTTGATGAAATTGCAGTAAAAATTTTAAGGCTCTATTTCTCCTAGGGTATCAAAGTTTTTAATATTAAATATTTACTGAAGATTATTTATTGATAAGATATTGTGTTGCAATAATAAAAATTTTACTTCCTTATACAGAGTGTCCAAAAATTTATATTAAATAATTACTAGCTATAAACGGCAATAACTTGTTTAATTTAAATGGAACACCCTATGTATTTTACGTGAATCAGATGCACAATGTAATTGTCTATCAAATTGTATTATACCATTATTTACCCATCTCTTCAAGTTTTCGTAGAAAATGCATTTTCTTATAATTTAGACCACATTTATCATTATACCCATGGAATACTGACATTTCAGATTTTTTTATAGCACCATAAAATATGTACAAAATGTACAGATGGTAAATATTGCAAGCACATTGGCATACAAAAAAACTATTTAAATCTGTGTAAAAGATTATACCAATTAAATATACCACCATTATTTCCTACCAAAAACACCAAAACTTAAATTGTTTTAATTAATAAATTATTCTAAATAAATGTGGATTTGGCTCAGAAATCAATATAATAATAAGTTATGAAAATGAATGTGGCTGTTTTTATAAATAAGCATTCGTCAATAAATGAAATAAAATTTATAAGGTGTTACTTTTTACCACACTGTCTAATACACACACAAAATTCAGTTTCTTAGTATTTGGAGCAATTATTACTACAACATAAACAGTCAATTAATGTAGTTTAAATACTGGGATCATATTAATTGGTCCTCTGTAACAAAAAATATTTAAACAGTTTTTTTTAATTTTTTTAATTAAATAAGCGAACTATATCGACAATATTAGTATCTGTACCCTTTGAAAATTTGTTACATTTTTAAAAATAAGCTAAAATGTCAATATTCCATGGGTATAGTGATAAATGAAGTCTAAATTATAAGAAAATGCATTTTCTATGAAAACTTGAAGAAATGGGTAAAAAATGGAACAATACAATTTGATAGACAATTACATTGTGCATCTGATTCACGTAAAATATATAGGGTGTTCCATTTAAATTAAACAAGTTATTGCCGTTTAAAGCTAGTAATTATTTAATATAAATTTTTGGACACTCTGTATAAGGAAGTAAAATTTTTATTATTTCAACACAATATCTGATCAATAAATAATCTTCAGTAAATATTTAGTATAGATACCCTTGGAGAAATGAAGCCTTAATATTTTTACTGCAATTTCATAAAATTGAAAATATTTCAAAAACGGTAAGGTTTAAGTGTGATAAACCTCAATCAAATTTACCTTTATTTTAATCGTAGAATCTAAAAATAGAATAATATACAGGGAGTTCCATTTAAAAAAATACAACTATAATATTTTTTACACATTTGGGACACTCTGTATCTTGTAAAAATATTTTTAAATTGTAGCTCTAATAGATCTTCAACAAACCCAAAACTTACAATTTGTAAAAATCTAATCGTTTAGTTACAATACTCCGTGTCGTATGTGGTGAACAACCCTGTATGTAGAGTTAAAAATATATAAATATACATAATGACTGGAGTAACTGGTTAGAGTAAAATGAGACTTTCTTGAGTAGCATCGGGAAGGACAGAAACGGCAAATGAGCTGACTTTCTTCAGAAAAAGAAAGATATCCTTTTTTATTTACCGGGCTTCACATTACTATACGCTCCAAGGTAGCAAAACAGCTGCAAGCGCAACTGATTGCGCTGGACAGACCTTCTAGCCCAGAAAGACTACTACAAATGCCAATCGACGTCTGGTAATCTTTTTTTTTAATTAGATTGGATTTTGTCCCATTTTTAAAATATCCTCTATCAAAATTATTATATGGCAAATAATATTGCTCTAAATACCTTTTTTAAATTAACAGGATCATTTTTCTCTTTGGCGCAGATTAATCCATTAACAATGCATTCGTCCAATTCGTAACAGGCTTCTTTATCACGAATTTTGACAGAACCTTTCAGTTCGTTTAACATTAAACGAGGTTTAGTAAATAAGCCTTTTTTTTGAAGATATTCGACGGAAGATTTATAAAAACCATCGCCAGTCATTAGAACCTAAAGTAATATAATAATAGAAAGATATAACAAAGTCCAATACTGCCGCAATTCGGCTATTAGCGCTGACGTTATTTTGACATTTGCGTTTGTCGAACCCTTTCAAAGGTCGAACTTCGAGTTATGGCAACACAAAATAGTGTTGATTAATTTTGACGATTATGCTCAAGATTATACTTAGATTTTTAAAAATTTAGCCTTAACCTAATTTTCTGATTTTGTCAATAAAAGGAGCATCTATATTCATATTTTTTCTTTATTTTTATAAAAAAAAACTCACAGATTTCGCAATCGCTGCAACCATCAGAGACATTGGAAATGATAACACCACATATAAAAAAAACATAATTTAACGTTATGATTTTTTATGCAGATACCTTGAAATTAAGTAAATACCTAAATAAAAATATCCTTGAAAAATTTATTATTTTTGAACCTTGTTTTTAAAAATTCTTATTTTTTTTATTTTCTTGGGATTTAGGTTCGGGAAAACTCTGATTAAGTTTTAATTTGGTTTTTCATATCTTTACTTCATTTTTAAAGGAAAAACAAACGTTTCGGGCAACATTACAGCCTTCATTAGTGTAGAGTCATATCAAAAAAACAGTGTCGAACATAATCCATTTTTGTGGTTTTGTTTGTTTTCTTTATTTAATAAATGTTTTTATACTTTAATTAGAATAGTTTTTTTACATTTCCAATTACATATTGCTCGTTTGTCGCAGAATATAAATTCTTTAAATTTTTGAGATTAAGATTAAAATATATAATTGATTTAAATATAAAAAGGGCGCATCAAAGAATGCTGCACGAAGAAGGCGCCAGATACCCCAGGAACGGTCCTGTATATCAGGAGTTTTAATTAGTATCTAAAAGAAAGTGTATCTAAAAAAGAGTACAATTTAACCCAATAAAGAGTTATCTCAATTTTTATAAAAAATACAATATCTGAACTGATAAAATAACGTTCTGAAACTGTCAAATTACCGCACGGCATCTTCTCCATCTAAATACCGGTATGCGGTAACGTTAATAGCGCACAAACGCTTATTATGACACTTTAACTGTCATAATTGCCAAAATAACGCCTCCGTTAATACCGCATATCGTTGCCATATCTCTCTAATATAAATAATAAATCTGTTGTTTAGTATTGAATTTAAATATAAACAAATTACACAGTGTGGTCCGAATTGTATACGGGAACTTCAGCAGTATTATTCTGAAGATAAAAATAAGTAAAAAAGTTCGTAAAAATGTATGTCCTAAAATAGTTCGTTTCGGACATAAAGGGTATAGAAGTTCCATTTTTACCAGTTACACAAAAAAGGTCTCTTTGAGTAATCTCGTAAAAAATCGCTATGAGTAATGGTAAGATATTTGAGTTGAAATAGTCAATACATGTCATAATTGACAAAAATTATACATGTTGACTGGCTAGTTATTAGTCTGAAATAATAAATTAGAAACGTTTTTGTGTCAAAGGTTCAACAGAAATTGTCCCATATAACACACAATATCCGCAGGATATCCATAGAATGTCGGAATGTCCTATTACAAGATCATCCTATAAATATATCTATAGGATATCCTCTAGACATCCTGAAATCCTGTAGATGTCTCAGAATAGAATATCCTGTGGATATCTCTGTCGTATATCTAATGTACATCCAGCTGAGATATGCTCATGATAATAAAGTATCCTAACAATATGGTCTAGATATTTAGGAAAAATAAATAATTTACTACTTTTTATATTACATAAAATGCAATAAACCATACAGATAGATATATATTACGTCAAGGCAACTTGGTATCTTCTGGATAATCTGGATATTTAGGGGCTTGGCCACTCCCAGTAATACAGAGAATTTAAAACGCACGCGCAAAAAATTTCCCACAATCCATCTCGACAGTTGTTTGTTTTTGTGTCGTGTATTATTCAGTTCTTTGATTTAGTGAAATTCGAGGTGAATTCGGTCGTTTGTCGATGTTGAATGGGCTTAAGAATGACTGAAACTAACAAAACTGGTTGAGTTTGACTTAGTTTTTTCTTATACTCATAGTTCTAGCCTTTTTCTAGCAGAAGTTCTATCCTAACATCAACTAATGTCGAAAAACGACGAACGACTCAAGAGTCTCACAATGAAAATTTTGTGACAAAATTATAGGTGAAAATTTGTTGAAAAGCGCTTGTTCTTTATCCCTGAACCCATTTTCGTTTTTGATCTATTCGAACAGAAATCCTATTTTTGTGTTTAAATTGTGAGTTTCTGGAAGGTGTGTTGTTAGAAATTATACCTGTATCCTCTGTGTGCTAACTTTGATGTAAACTGTTGCTGCTAGACTCCATAAAGGGTAGTATAATCTGGTATAATACTATACGATCGAAAAAAACGGCGTCAGGGGTGGCTTGGAAATGAAGATTGCTGTTATTTTGTATGTAAAATTATATGGAAAATGTCATCGATCGTAATTTTCAAGCCAACTGAACGCCGTTTTTTTTCGATGGTACAGTATAAATTGAAAGCTCTTAACTCATACAAATAAACTTTTAAATTTTGACGCAAAATTCATTGACATAATATGTAGGTATATTTTAGAGCTGTTAATAAAAATATCCAATGAATAACGTCAAAATGTGGCCAAATAAAACTAAATTGCGAACGTTTTTACTATTAACTAAGGATGAAGTAAGTATTGTCAAATAACAGTCCTCATATAATGTCCTAAAAATATTCTATAGTGCTCTCAACATCATCCTTGTATTATCCTATAAATATCCCAAATAATCGTAAAATGTTTGCCTAGGGATGTCTTGAAGATGACTTTTTTTGTCCCATCTGGATATCCCATAAATATCCTCCTCTGGTTTTTGGATATCCCTAAGATATTTACTATATCCTTGGTGAATATCCTCAAGATATCTATAGGATTGTGTTGTGTTATATGGGGTTATATCGTATTTTTTCTAGAAAAATCATAATTATAGCTTAAAAAAGGAAAAAGTTCCCAAATTTACCGTTTCAGTCAAATATGACATGTATTAACTATTTCCATTCCAAATATCTTGAAAACGGTTGCTCGTAGCGATTTTTACCAGGAGACATTTTTTACGTAAAATATGTATTTTTCACTCAGTGGTTTAATTACAGGTGCAGAGAAGTTATTACACTTCAAATCAGTTAAAAAAATGTAGGTGGCACCTACTACAAGTAGCAGTCATATTGATATCGAAATCAAATTTGTCATGTCAAATAACATCCAGACACTAATTTTCGTCCAAATATTGACCTTAGTTCAGAAATTATTTGAAAAAAAAAACTGAAAAAAAATGAAATTTCTACACCCTGTATCTCCGAAACGAAGCGTTTTAGAACATAAAGTTATACGAAGTTTTTTGCTTATTTTTATCTGCAGAATATGCTGCCGTAGTTTCCCGAATACAATTCTGACTACCTTGTATTAATAAAATATAAATAATATTACTTCATCGACAGTATCGCTAGACCATTCTTGGATATTGAAAAGAAGTTGCATTGCAAGTGCAATCATAGCGTTTGCCGATCCCTGTATGTTTCTCGATTCAGGAGAGAATCTTATACTGGCTTGATTGAAAGTACCTCTGAGAATCCATTTTCCAAGCCCGATACCTAAGGGATAAAGTAGATTTGTTAGAATTTATAACATAATATGTTTTTGGATGTGTATGCAGCCTAAATCATACAGTATCCAGCAAATCGATTACTTAATTTAGTGGCGGACCCCCAGTATATTTTGTATATTTGATACCAATTAAGCTTTTAGTTACGTAATCGAGGACGTAATTTTTTAATTAATTGTTACCAACCATGGACATATTCGGCGCCGGGCTGACTAACTGGAATTTAAATTGCCCGGTGGAGATTCAGGTGGTAGCTCTGCTGTAAAAAATGTCGAGTTGCCACATTTATTTATTTATTCAATGATTTTGTCATTCGTTTTGACACTTTAGTTTTCTATTACGAGTTTTTGATTTAAATAAATAGTGTTGCGATATTTTAAGCTTAAAATTATTTACTAGCAGACCTTGCAGTGGAACATTGTTCTTTTTAGAACCTCTTTTAGGGCGAAGTGGTATAAGATCATCGCAACTGTATTAGAATATTTTGAACGGGAAAGCGGTAGTAATAGCCCTTTATGTCCCTTAAGTCCGGTTAAAGGTTGATTCTCACTCTACCTTCCATATCAGCTCTTCCGTTTCCCTTCCGTTTACATAAAATATTATATCATGTCAATGAATAGGACAATGCACACTATCCGTTCCGTTTCCCTTCCGTTCCATATCTTTTCCTTCCATACATTTTTTTGGCAGACGGACTGAAGCGTATCGGAAACAGCGTTGTCAAGTTCTTACATTTGTACCAGCTCTCTTAAAATTTTGCTGATATTTATTTATTCTTTCACCTCTTAATTAAATCTATTACCTTTTTCAAATGATACAACTTTTTTAAATAAAACTTTCGTAATGAATTATTGTACAATAAAAAGTATGTTACTGACACAGAACGGAAGCTTACGTATAGCGTAAATACTTTAAAAAATACGGAACGGATATGGAATAGATATGGAATGGGAACGGAAGGTATAGTGAGAATCAACCTCAAGAAGGTGAGTTTTGTTGATGTAAATAATAACTGTTTATATATTTTAATTAATTTATTTTTGTTTCTTGAAATATTTTGATTAAAAGAAAATATGTAAGAGTGGGCAACGCTGTGCCGACCAAGCTTAATCACGTGACTAAAAGGTTATTTGACATAAACTTAAAATGCGAGTTATAAATAGTATTAATGGATTTTCTGTTAAAGTAGTGGAAAATGAATTATCATCTCTTGCATTACGTCCTTGCAGTTACTTCCATCTTCCATGTATTGATATACGTGTTAACGCTTCGTCCTACGTAGTGTTGCACAAGAGTCTTGAAAAAGTCTTGCAAGACCAAGACAAGACTTTCAAAATTTCTTGTCTTGAATTTCAAACAAGACAAGACTTTAATATGCAAGAAATTTCAAGAGTCTTGCAAGATTTCTTGAAAGTTAGAAATGATTAAGTGATAATTGGGTCTTTGGGCAAGTTATGCGGGGCTTATACAACATTTTCATAGTCGTAATCACAATCATAGTCATAATCATAAAAGAACTATCCACTTCTTATAAACCTGTTGACATCTACCATGAACTTAGCCTTTAATTATGTTACCCAACTTCACTGATAGAAAAATTATGAGTATGAAAATATTCTATAAAGGTACATTAAAATTGCGTTGTGATTATGACGATGATTAAGACTATGATTATGATAACGACTTATGCAAATGTTGTATAAACCCGGTATTAATATTGACAAGTGTTAATTTTTTTTCTTTCATAGCCAGTGTTTTAGAGTTGAGAATGAAATAATAAAGTCGAGGCAACAAACCGTATATTGGTATTATTATTTGGTATTATACACAAAATTATATTGATATAATGGTATCATAAAAAAAAACTAACGGTAGTTGAAATTAATGGTGGGTTCGTGGAGCACGCTATTTGCGCTATTTGGTACTAGTTTTCATGCATGCAAATTGCTCCGCGAACAAAAAGTAGTATTAAATAGCGCAAATAGTACACTCTAGCATGACCTTTCCGTACACCCTGTGTCCAAACTTTTCCAACCAATCTTCCGTAATAAAAAAATAAAATAAATACCATAAAAAATAAAAGTAACAAATCCTGTTTCGTCCAGTTCGTTTGCGGTCCGTTAAGATTTTTTTTGCTAAAATTAGCATCGTTGTTGTTCAATTTTTCGTATTACATTTTGTATACGACGCGACGTTTTCTATGAAAGAAAATATAGAAATATTATTACCTTTTTGTTAGAATGTAAAATTTTTCAAGACAAGAAATTTCAAGAGTCTTGCAAGGCAAGACAAGACTTTGCCATTCAAGAAATCTGCAAGACAAGATTTTGAAAATTTCTTGTCTTGAATTTCAAGACAAGACAAGAAATTGATTTTCAAGACAAGAATTCTTGTCTTGTGCAACACTAGTCCTATGTAGGCGACAAAAGAGAGCGGGCGATGAGCTCGACGCGCGCGACATATTTGAATTGCCTTCGATGTCGCTTCAGTCGCGCGACTCTCCTACCTAGGACAGCCTCGTAAGGCTTCGTCCTACGTGGGAGACAAAAGAGAGCGAGCGACGCGTGCGACAACAGAGGGCGATGAGCGCAACTAGCGCGACATATTTAAATTGCCTGCGATGCCGCTTCAGTCGCGCGACTCTCCTACCTAGGACAGCTTCGTAAGAAAACGTTATTTGATAAATATGCGTCGCTCGCACCGCCCGAATCGCGCGCTTTTGTCTCCCAAGTAGGACGAAGCATAAGAAAACGTTGTTTGATAAATAAGCGTCGCTCGCACCGCCCGAATCGGGCGCCTTTGTTTCCCACGTAGGACGAAGCGTAACCTCTTATGTGCTCTTAAAAGACAATTACCTTTAAAGTTATTCCAGTCATCTGATATTTCTTCGTAGTCGTTGATTGCAACTTTGCTCAGATAAAATCTGTCATTGCGTTTGTTTTTTTCCGTATTATTTATATATAATTCTACCAAGTCGTTTAAATTGATGAACCACGTAACGCATGCCACTCCACAACCATCATCGATGTTTATTACATTGGACCCTCCCGTAGTGATCTTCTTAATGGCTAGGAAAGAGCAACTTTTGTTTAAATTTTATAATTTATTATTAACATTATTACAATTAATTAAAAATTAGTAGCAAGTGAATGGCCGTATTATTGTACAGGGTGTTTCAAAAAATATGTGCCATCTCTCGTGGGGAGATTATAGGTGTGTAGTTCGTGAACGAACTAGTTTTAAACTAGTCCGGTTTCTCAAAGAACTAGTTCCTCAGGACCTATTCCGGGATCGAGACTGTGACCGATATACAGAGTGAGTCTTAAATAAGTACAACTATTTTCAGGGCTGGTAGATCTCGATAAAAGAACCATATTTTCTTTTTACCATTTTTCGGTTAAGTCCAAAATAACCAATTATTTAAGTTTGAAAATTTAAAAAAAATTGATTTTTTTTTAAATTTGAGAGCCACCGGATTTTTTCTGTATTTGCATCTCTTTTATTGCCGTAACCATAGAGTAAAACCGTAACTATGGTAATATCTGAGATTAAGGAATTAAGGTCGATTTATAGATTGAAAACGGTGCGGTTCGACGTTGCGGTTGCGATTATTTCTATTGGCTATTACTAACGTTTTAAGGTCAACGTTCCTGTCGAAGTTAAAAGTTGGTTAACTTTTGATGTAAAACGTCAACCGCAACAACAACCGAAAAATTTATAATCAACAAAACATCCTGCGTATAAACGAACTTTTTACCGACCGTAACGTCTGGCATCGAACCGCAACGTTTTCAATCTATAAATTGACATTTACACCATGGGAAGATTTGCGGTGAACAGGCAGTTCTAAACAGTTTTCGAAAAATATACAGGGAAATTTAAAAGAAAATGCACGATTTTCAACATCTTGTTTTAGCGAAAAAAACCTCATAGATGTGTTCCTGTTACATATTTTAGTTTTAGTACTAAAAAAGTTTGGGCAAATTCACCAAGGAAGTGCATATGTGTTATCAATAGAATATTTTTCGACAAAAACATGTGTACCACTGATTTTTTTTCTTTTGACAGCAAAATTGTATAGGCCATTTAATGCCAATATTGCCAATTATAAGTTGTATCTTGATATTTTGTCGTTTTCGATCTCCTTGATGAGATGAACGCAATTTTATTAATCACATTTAATCAAATTAAAATAAAAATAAAATTAATAAATTATATATTTTATCTAATTTACTATTAAATATTATTATTATTACTATTAGTCCAACCTACAGCAAATTGAAATAACAAAAATAATGGTATTTGAAATAATTACAAAAGACCTAATTTTAAAAAGCTTTAACATCCTGTAACGTATATCCTGTGTATTTTTGTGTGTATGTTTTAACATTGCAAACTGTGTAACTATGCATTTCCATATCCATGTTTATAGAGACTTTTATTCATATTTTTTTATGAAGAATCAATGAGTACTAATTTAACACTTTCGCAAATTACTGATAATAACTTTTCTTAGAGGTTTCTATTAGACTTGGATCAAGGCGAACGAATAAAATTGCGTTTATCTCACCAAAGAGGCCAAAATCGACTAAATATCAAGAGACAACTGTTATTTAGCATTATTTCTCTAACAGCAGAAAAAAGACAGTGGCGTACATGCTTTTTTTAGAAAAATATCCCAGTGATAAGCCATATGCTCGTCCCTGGTGAATATGTCCACATTTTTTTTGCATTAAAATATGTCTCACTTATAACTTTTATCCTCAAAATTTCATTCGAATCGCGAAAAGTACTTAGAAAACTATAATAAATCGAAAAAATATTAAAGTTATACCCTATGTGGGTATGAAAAATAAATCTTATTTTTACGTGAGGAATCTCCCCACGAGAGATGACACAGGTTTCTTGAAACAGCCTGTATTTAAATGTTTTGGGATACAGGGACCCCTAATTATAATTTGAAATATTTGTCTTAATATTATTTAATTCTTAGATATTCATTCAATAAATGTATTTAAGAATAGGTATAAATAAAATTTATAACATATTAACAGTTACATGTTTGTATTAATCCACACAATCTCATTGTGTTATAAATTAGATTAATGATAAAGAATGTTTATTGTTATTATTACACGAGTCAACTATGATATGATAAATTCTTATCATCAGAGACAAAGTAATTAATTTTACGCTTGATATTTTCGATTTGTTTATGTATATAATCATATTTATTGTTTGTGTATGTATAATTCAATAAGTTTCATATCCTTGTCCTCAATAGTCCTGTAATTTATTTTAGCAGTGACTATTGCAGTTAATATTTATCTCGTGTTTATATTATAATTAAATTTATTATAAAGTAAGACTAATAAATTATTTCCATCTATCCAAAAACAGTATTATAGAAATTTATATATTATATTAATAAAGATTATAATATATTCAAACTGGGAGACAAAATACCCAAAATTAACAAAAAAAATCTTACACCGGGTGCGTCTTAAAAGCGACTCACCCCTATAACTTTTATATTTTTTTCAGATAAAGAAAAACTTTTTAGTTTTTGGTATGTTAGTATATGACATAAATTAGGATTGATTGACGTATTCAATTCTTTTCAGCCACTTCCTGTTTTACCGGAAATGACTACAACTTTTGATTTTTAAATGACACCTTCGATACTTTTCTACTTTATTCGATAGAAAATGACACGATTTTTAATATTTTCGCATAAAACAAAATTGTATTTTAAATTTCAATCTAGAGTGCTATGGCTGTGTTAAAAATACTATTTTTTTTATCAAGGAGCCTTGGAAAAATAGATTTGATTGTCTAATGTTTTAGAGCCTTGTCCTGGCCGGTTAAAAGATGCTCAAATCGCATTTTTAATATCATCTCAATGTATTCAAATGGAACGGGTGGCTCTTTAGCATATTTGGAAAAAAGCATTTTTACCAACAATTTGGTACCACCCATTTGATATTTCGAATCAAATTGTCGTTATAAATCGCATGTTGCAATTTCAAAAAAAAACATATTCGAAAATGTCAAAAGTTGACATATGATATTAATGTCATTCTACTCAGAGTGTCATTTTCTATCCAATAAAGTAACACAAGATCGAGCGTGCCATTTCAAAATCAAAAGTTGTACCTAGTAATTTTCGGTGAAACAGGAAGTGAGCGTAAACAATTGAATACGTCAATCAATCCTAATTTATGTCAAATACTAACATACCAAATCTCGATTTTTTATCTGAAAAAAAAAATAAAAAAGTTAAAGGGCTGAATATCACTTTTGAGACGCACCCGGTATATTAACATAATTTGTGTATCAATATTCAAGCATGATTTTAAATATTATAAAAAATTTCCATACCACTTAACTATTTATTTTCGGTTTGAATGACGCAAAACAAAGCGGATCAATGAAAATTAATGCCTAAAAGAGTATTTTTTTATTATATTGCAAAATTTTCTAAAAAATGTAACTATATTTTCAGAAAACCAGTCTTGTCAAGGATCTATATTGCGACTACAAAAAGTAAAGATTTGCATTCAAATCTTATAACTTAATTATGCGTTTTTTTGTTGGTTCAAGTTTATCTCTTTTTTTGAGAAACACCCTGTATACCGGGTCGTCTCAAAAATGGCCCACCCCTACAACTTTTTTATTTTTTCAGATAAAAAACGAGATTTGGTATGTTAGTATATGACATAAATTAGGATTGATTGACGTGTTCAATTGTTTTGGGCCACTTCCTGTTTCACCGGAAATTATGACAACTTTAGATTTTTAAATGGCATCCTCGGTATATTTTTATTTTATTCGATAGAAAATATCACTCTGAATAAAATGACATATCATATACCAACTTTTGATATTTTCGCTTAAAAAATCGTATTTTAAATTTCTATGTCGAGTGCCATATGGCTGTGTTAAAAACACTAATTTTAAATCAAGAGTTCTGGGAAAAATGGATTTGATTGTCTGATGTTTTTGTGCTTTGTTCTGGCCAGTTAAAAGATGCCCAAATCGTATTTTTAATTATATTATAATTTTTTCAAAGAAACAAGGGTGGCTCATCAGCGTATTTGGAAAAAGCATTTTTTAATGAATAATTTGGTACCATACGCTTGGTATTTTTTTTGTTTCGTTTCTTTGACCTGGTATACTATATATTTTTTTTCTTTTTATTCTTGGCTTTAGGTCGTTGGGGTTGCAAAGATTATTGCAATGGATTTTGTTCATTATTTTATTTTTATGACGACGCGACGTTTCGACAGTATATGTCTTTTTTAAGTCTCTGGAACGTAGATTTCTACAGAATTAAAATTGTTAAAAACTGGACAAAAGCACAATAACACATATTAAACATGAGTAGACATCGGCTATTGAAACGATGAATATGTTTTATACAAAACGGTCTGCGAGAAAAAAACGTGCTATACACTAAAGTGTGATGTCCCTAAACAATGAAAATAATAGTTTTAATATGTGTTATTGTGCTTTTGTCCAGTTTTTAACAATTTTAATTCTGTAGGAATCTACGTTCAAGAGACTTGAAAGACATATACCTACTGTCGAAACGCTGTCATAAAAATAAAGTTATGAACAAAATCCAGTAACATCTTTGGAACCCCAACGACCTAAAGCGAAGAATAAAGAGAAAAAAATTGGTCAAGTGCAAGTCGGACTCGCACACGAAGGGTTCCGTACCATTCATTATCTATACAACATTAGACACTATATTATTATAAACTTTTTTTCCTATTTAGCTGAAATTTTGAATGCGCGTATAAGTAATTTAAAAAAAATGAAGAAACACATTACTAAAAATTGTATTAATCAATAATAAATATGTAAAAAGTAAAAATAATTATGTAAAAATATGAAAAATTAAAAAAAAACGATTAAAAAAAAGTCGCCTTGACTAGGATTCGCACCTGCCTTACTACGGCTCCAACGTCATAGCAGCGTAAAGTCCTAACGCTTTAACCACGCGGCCACCGAGGACTTGAAAGATTCTATGTAAAATTCTTACTTAAAAGATAATGTTTAGTGAAAGTACTTTTTTATTTATAAACATTTATTTAATTTTGTTTTTAATATTTGTTCTTATAGCGGCAACATAGATACATTATCTGTAAAAATTTCAACTGTCTAGCAATAACGGTTCATAAGATAGACCTTTGTGACAGACGGACGGACAGCGAAGTCTTAGTAATAGGATTCCCGTTTTTACCCTTTGGGTACGGAACCCTAAAACCCATACAGCACACTTCGCCCCAGGGACGTACATTTTATGTCCATTTTACGTCGGTACGTCCCGGGACCAATTAGGGACGTACTATTTACGTACATTGTAGGACTTCACTACGGACGTACATGCGAGTACGTACTATGTACGTATCTTGAAAATTTTTGACAACGCATTACAAAATGTTATTTAATTTTAATATCATGACTGGATTATTTTGGTCAGATATACCCAATAATAATGAATGAACTGAATCAGTGGATCTTTTCTAGGCTAACGTTAATTCAAGTCACTCTAACCTACCTCTACTTCTTTTATTAATAAATCTAACCCGACCGCTATAAAATATGATTTCCTAAATTATCCAATGACCATAATGCATGACAGCCTTTGAAGAAATCTGATGGGTTAAAATGCAATATAATATGCAATCAAGCCTAACAGGAAAATTATGCAGTCCTATGTTTAAATTTCCCGTTAAGTTATTCGTTCACATTGGAGTCTTATCGGAATCGGAAGTCGGGCGGTTTCTAATGGCGTTTTCGATTGGCAGAGCTAGTGCGCACGTGCGCACTCAGTGTATTTCCATCTTTTATTAATCAACGTAAAAAATAAAAACAACAATACACCGAGTGCGCACCTACTCCGATCCAGATTTCGATTGTGTTGTGTAAGTGTAAGTGGGTGTCATGTGTCATGGTGGCCGTAGGTTGTTTGGCTTCCGCCTTGTTTTCTTTTGTCGTTGCCTTCGTTGCTCGTTGTTTCAAGGTAAGTTAAAGTGTAATAATATAATGTAGCGCAAAGATACTTCTAGCAAATATTACAAAAGGGCAAAAGTTCAAATTAAGCGGTTTGAAAGAGCTCTTCAAGAGGCTCCATGCCCTAATCAAAATAGACAGCCTGCTTCATTTAATCAGGCATCTTTCCTTCAATCTTGTAATGATCAACATACCACATCAGATGTTTCAGTTCTTGATTTACAGTCTGAAGATTATCTGCCACATCTTATCAATAGCGAAACTGAAACAGATAACCCTCGAGATAACTTATGTTGTGTATTTCAAAGTGGGGAATCATCAGATGAATTACATGACACTGCCATATCTAATGTGACTATTTCACCTAGCACAGTCACAACCTCGAATGATTGAGAATCGGCTCATTCAATTTTTTCAAAACAGAGGCAAGCATTAGATATTTGAATACTTAGTTTTCTTTTTGTATTTTTTAGTTAGAAGCAGTTCGAGAATAAAAAAAAAATAAAATATCCATCAACATCCAATAAAAGACGCTAGAGGAGCGCTAAGGGTGTACTTGCCGGACCGAAGCCAGACTCACGGGTGTATCAAGACATAAGGGATGACCCTGTACCTGAGTTTTTATATTAATAAATATTTTAAGCTGACTTCCATTGAATGATTTCTAATTAAATTCCTAGGTCGTATACGTCATTGAAAAATGTACGTCCATAGTACGTAAATTGTATGTCCATAGTACGTACATTTTTCTTGCAGTGCAGTGGCGAAAAACCCATAAGGATTTTTTTTTGGATAGATGAATCCGCCACATAGGTATAGACATTTTTTACGTACATTGTACGTACTTTCGATCATTTTACACCCAGTTTTGGTCCGGAACAAAACATAAAATGTACGTATATGCGACGTACATAGTACGTACTTTACCACATCCCACGGACGTACCGGGGACGTACAAAGCGTGGGAAAATGTACGTCTCTAGTACGTACATAGTACGTACATGTACGTACTTGTACGTACCAGGGACCTGACGTTCGTCCCAACATTACGTCCCAGGTACGTACATAGTAGGTATCGTGGCTGTATGGGAAAACACTTGGTATTTTGAGTCAAATTGTCGTTATGAACCGCATGTTACTATTTCAAATAAATCATATGCGAATATAGCAAAAGTTGACATATGATATGTTATTCTATGCTTTGTTGACATGTGTTGACATATGAGTGTTATTTTCTATCGAATAATGTAGAAATATACCGAAGGCGCCATATAAAAACCAAAGGTTGTAGTAATTTCCGGTGAAACAGGAAGTGATTGAAAACAATTGAATACATCAATCAATCCTAATTTATGTCATACACTAACATACAAAATCCCGTTTTTTATTTGAAAAAATAAAAAAGTAATAGGGGGGTGAGTCACTTTTGAACGCACATGGTATAGATGTAAAATCAAACTCAGAACAGTTTTTTCTGATAAGGTATTTTTTTAGTTATATTTTTTTATCGCGCAGTAAATAGAATACCTACCTTTTCCATTTTGATCTCTTTCATTCGGATCAAACATGTAGTAAAGTCCGTCCTCTATCCAGACAGCCAGAATTAGCGGACCAAGAATTATGCAACAGTCGTGTACGGTTAACATTTCATCCAAAGCCGGACCGAGATCCAAAACGTCATAATCTTGACTGTGCAGCTGACCGACCAGAGCGTACTCCTCGATGTTAGGGATGAAATATTTGCCCTCGTATTCCAGTCTTTTCGAGAAATTGGACAGACGCAAACTGTGCGTTCTTGGAATATTAATCATAGCATTTCTGTAATAAAAGTAATTAATTAATTTACTAATTTGAAAATGAAAGAGAGAAAATTTAGAATAATTATAGATTCTGTCATTACTTTAAATCATAATGTATTTTTTGTGAAAGCGTTTCGAAATTGACAGTTTTTGATATTTATTTGAGATTCGAAATTACATTGTTTTAGGCACTAGCATCTAAAAGTGACACTTGTTTAGGCACTAGTGCCTAAAAGTAAAAAATGAAACGTTAGAAACAATGAAAATATTTATTTATTATAAATCTTAAAAAGGGACAATTATTTAAGTTATTAAAGTGAATACAAGAGGCATCCAACTTTTCGTCTCTAAGAGAAATGCAAGTTGTAGGAGTCGGAATAAGTAAATTTCTTGTACTGGCAATGCTGGTAGCTTCTGCTTCTACGTAAGCTGCTTTTAATTTCTTATTTGGCGTATCTTTCTGTCCCATGATTCTTTTTGCTATTTCGGTTTTCTGTTCAATTGAATTTTCAATGTAACCTTCATCAACAATGTCGCTTTAAAACAACGCTTTAAAACTGTTATGTCCGCTCTTGAATCTGCCAGCATTCTTACAGAGCTGCGCCGGAAACAATGACCAGTGTATTCAATGGCGTTGGAGAGTCCAAGAAATTCCGCTATCTTTTTTGGCATACCCCCAATTATATTGATTCTAACTGGCAAGGTATACCATTGATTTTTTTCGATACGTCAAGAAAAATCGCTGATGTGTCACACTGAGTGGTCGAAGTTTTGCGTACTTACGAAATACATGTAAGAAATTGATACCATCTATTGGTCCCTCAGTAATTGTAAACACTCTTGGAAAATGATTTTTAGTATTTGGAATCTTCACACTAATAAATGACTGACAATCTTTAATGGCACGGTTAAAAACGCGATTTCTTCCCTCCTATATGTTCCAAATACTCCAACGATTAAGACAACTTTAGCTAACAGGAATTCTTTGTCATCGGCTTCTTTCATAAAGCGTTCAATTTCCAGTTTTGTAAATACTTTTGATTTCTTTGCCTGATATCCGGAAGCTTTTTTTTTAAAAATGCAATGTTTGTGAATTTGCTAATATCTACGTTTCTGTTCAGGTAAATCATGGTGCGGAGCATCGAATATTTCTCCACAGAGTTGACGGCTTTATGGTAGTGGATACCTTCAGGAAATAGGCTAGCAATACCTTTTCTGTGAAATTCTCAACATGTTTTTCTTTGACCCAGATTTGTCATACAGGTATGGAAGAAAAGTTATTACTCTTCAAACCAGTTAAAAATATGTAGGTGGCGCCCCATACAAGTAGGAGTCATATTGACATCAAAATCAAATTTTTCATGTCAAAAATCTCCCAGACAACAATTTTCATCCAAATATTGACGTTACTTCAGAAATTATTTGGAAACGATCGAAATAAAAATTCGAAATAAAAAAATACACTATATCTCCGAAACTAAGCATTTTAGGACATACATTTATATAAACATTTTTACTTATTTTTATCTGCAGAATATACTGCCGAAGTTTCCGGAATACAGTTCGGACCACCCTGTATAATACATCCATTCTCCCATTCTCACTCTAAGATCATATTATGTCTGACTCGTAGTCAGACATGTGATCAGGACATGAATCAGATATTTTTGTTTGATTCATGTGCTGATCCATACGTGCTAAAAATATAAAGTAATTGAAGTGGTAAAAAATATACAGTAAAAATACCTGAATAAAATGTCTCCATGCTCTAAAATGCTGTTTACGATTCTCGGAATCCAGTGTTTCGATTTGCACAACCTAAGCATAACGAGCGCCGACATAGCATTGCCCATAGATTGTCTTCCCTCATATTTGGAGAATTCTGGATTAGTTTGACAAGTATTTCCTCTTAAAATACCTACTCTTGATGGCACTAATTCTAGAATAGGTATAAAAACGATGAGTGATATGCTGCTAGGATAACAGAATAGCAAATTTGATATATCTATGATCCAGAAGAAATAAGCTGTTAAATATAAACTACTTGTTTGATAATCAAACTGCAATATGAAATGCATATCGTCAAAACCTGGTAACTTAAATTTGTCGATTTTTAGATATATATACTCGATACCAATTAAACTTTTAGTTACGTAATCGAGGGCGCGATTTTTAAATTCATTGTTACTAACCATGGACATATTCGGCGCCGAGCTGACTAACTGGAATTTAAATTTCCCGCTGGAAATTTAGATGGCAGCTCTGCTGTAAAAAATGTCAAGTTGACATATTTATTTATTTATTTCCTGAAATTTTCATTCGTTTTGACACTTTCGTTTTGTATTACGAGTTTCTGGTTTAAATTAATTATTGTGTTGTGATAACCTTAAATATGTTTACTAGTAGACCTAGCAGTCGAACATTGTTCTTTTTAGAACCTCTTTTAGTGCTAAGTGGTATAAGATAATATCTAAGCTTAAAATCCGTAAAAAGGAGGTCTGTTAAGGAGGTGAGTTTTGTTGATGTAAATAATAACTGTTTATATATTTGAAATTAATTTATTTTTGGTTCCAAAAATATTTTGATTAAAAGAAAATATGTAAAAGTGGGCAACGCTGTGCCGATCAAGCTTAATCACGTGACTAAAAGTTTATTTAATATGAACTACCTACATTGTTGGTGCCGTGACGTCCTTGTAGCTCCAAGTGAAGCTAGTGTCGTCCGCAAAAAGACATATTTTACCACTGATGTTTATACACTACTGGCAAAGGAATATTAGCAATAGGAGGTTTTCAATGCGATAAAAAAAGATGGTAAGGCTGCAAAATACACTGCAGTGCAACAGAGACGGATAAAGTGTCTTTTCCCTACCATCGTATAGGGGAAGTGATCATAGAAGTGATACGGCGAGAGAGCCCCTGCGAGAGGGGGCGCCGGGCGGGTCTTTAAGACGCTTGTGTGGGGGCTACCGCCTACTAATAGAACAGAATCGAAAAAATAGAAACAGGACGGACAGTGTTGCCATTCAATTAAATCGAAATTATGTTGGCTTGTCAAAATCCTAAATCTTCTAATCCCATTATCTTGCCTACTTAATGAAATATTAAATAAAGTACGAAACAATTTTACGAATGTTTTCTCTAGGCACATAACTTCTTTCTAAAACGAAAAGTAACATGCAAAACTTTGATATCATTTCTAAAATAGCAAGTGCAATTCTATGAAATGGCAATACTGTACGATCTTCCTAGCAGTCGCCCCGACACAGTCGGTCGGCGGCGGCGCTTCACAAAGCCGCGGCTGTGACAAAGGAATTAGGCCGAAAAAAACTTTATAAGGAGTAGACGAACAGGGTTGCCGGGTTTGTTAGATTATAATTCCATACGAGAACAAAATTCTCGGTAGATCTTCAACAAAAATTAAAAGTACAGAAACGAAATAAAATATAATATTTAAGTCCAAAATTAGCATTCCTATGTGTCGTAATAATAGATCACTCAAATAAAATACAAATATAATAAATATAACAAGAATTAGAAATAGCTAGGTATATTATTTGATATTAAAAAAAAATATTGAATTAAATAATATTAATATATTAATAAAAACATATAAAACTATAACAAGTAGGGATAGCAGTCACAAATTAGTGTAGCAGTCACTTTTTACCTTTGTACAAATTTTGATCAGTGATATCTAAAATTAATTTCATTTCAATGGGAAAGCTGTAGCAACTCTCAACTCTTTTTTCATATTAATAAATTTTTTTGACGGGAAAATCACTAAATATTGTCCGAATTTAGGTTGTTTCTTAACTTAAATTTTGTTTTTGTTTACATTTTTTGGGGGAAAATATGGGTTCAACTTTAGTAGATGAATGAAATAAAATCTTTTCAAAAGATATCAACTTCTTCGGGCATGCCGCCAATCCCGCGCCTAATAAGGAGTAATAAGGATTTTTAGGAATATCTCTGTAACTCTGCAACTAGACAGAACGATGACCTGTATGTCTGTTATTACTAAATAAAATTTAATGAAACAATAATAAAGTCAGATTATATAGATTCCAACGCGGCAGTCGCTTAATTTTTAGTCAAATAAGTCAGCTTTTTAAAAGTGCTTCTATTGTAAAAACTAAAGACGCAGTTGAATATATCGTTGGGTTTTTCTTTAAATCGGTAGATCGGTAGCTTACAGACGAAACCGGTAGACCTGGCAACTCTGTGATGAACTGACGGGAGTGGAATAGCGAGTGCGGAGGCGCGGGAAGGGAAATAATATAATGGCGATAAATAAAGGGCAGGGAGATGGGTATCATGAGTGGTTGGGAGGTGGCGGAATTTCCAAAATTTGTTATCTTATTGGAGTTTGTCTAAGTAGACAGTCGTAGTGGAAGTGGAAACGGGGAAGTTGTTGTCCATCTCTGTTTAAGCATAGACTTTTTATAGGCGTCTCATTCCAATGCATGTAATTCCTATGCCTAGAGATCCATTGCCGGGCCTGTATTAGCAATGTCGTTAATAAAAAGAAGAAAAAAAATAGGGCCTAGTACTGAGCCTTGGGGTACTCCACATTCTATTGGCTTGCTAGTAGACAACGTGGTATCCACCCTCACAAGTTGACTTCTGTTGCTCAGATACGACTTAAACCATTCGAGAGATGTTCCCCTGAACCCATAGTGCTGCAGTTTATTAATTAGGATCTTATGATTTACACAGTCGAACGCCTTAGAAAAATCACAGAAAATTGTTGCTGTAGAATGATGGCTACTTATGGTGTGCAATTCTAGCTCGCCTCCACGTGGTGCACCCTGGGTTACGCTAAAAAGCTAATGCGATTTGGCAGCCAGACCATCATATCTGATCTCCTGACATTTAAACACATGGAATCCAACAATTTCAATTGTCCTTCTGAGGACTGCTTGACAAGAGATCTCGGAGATATATACCGAATCTGCCAGATAAATATAGAAAGCATTAGTAAACCAAAATGCCAAACTCTCTCGAAAATTCTCAGAGAGTATAAAATTGACTTAGTGCTTGTCCAGGAATCTCATCTAGCGGATGAAGACCAAGCTCGATCCAGAGCTATAATCCCCGGCTATGACATAATTGGCATTACTTACCATCACATTTACGGCCTAATAACATATGCTCGCAACGATATTGAAGACGTAAAGTTAATATCTACTTCCAGCAAAGATGACATCTACTCGATCGCTGTTAAAATGGGCGAAACGCATATAATAAATATATACAAACCCCCCGCAACAGCATGGCCACGCCATATTCTCGATACCTTCCCCTGTCCAGCTATTTATGCAGGCGACTTTAACAGTCACCATACCAGCTGGAAATATAACCATAATAAAGCACTCGTCGAGTGGGCTGAAGTGCATAGACTCCACTTAGTATTTGATGCAAAGGACAGAGCATCTTTCAGATCTGCTGCGTGGAATAGAGAATTCAATGCGGACTTAACATTTGTGACTTGCGATGATAAAGGGCAACCGATCAATATAGCCAGAAAGGTACTTGATGATTTTCCCAAAAGCCAGCACCGTCCCATATTGCTTGAGGTGGGCACTCAAATACCTGTTATAAGATCGCTCCCCAGACCAAGATGGAACTTCAGAAAAGCCAATTGGAGTCAGTATAAGGAGGAACTTGAGAACTGCATAGGTAGAATTCCTCCCAAGTATAATAACTACCATAGGTTTACCGGACTTCTTAAATCAATTGCTAAAAAACATATACCTAGAGGTTACCGAAAAGAATATATTCCAGGCTGGAATTCACATAGCGAAAATCTGTACAAAAATTTCCTGCGCAGCAAAGACCCTGAAATTGGAGACGAACTTCTTCATTCTCTTGACGCAGCCCGCAGGACTAGGTGGATCGAAACAACTAGAAGTCTGAATTTTCAGCATTCCAGTAGAAAGGCTTGGAGTCTCCTTAAAAAGTTAGGTGCTAGTAATCCGGTGAAACGCGAGGACCCTGAAGTCAGCCCAAACCAGATCGCTAACAGAATAGTCTCACTATCTAGAGCTCCTAGAGACCGAGAGCACACAATGAAAATTAAAAGGGAACTACGCAATTTAAAGGCCAATAGCACCGAAGAATGCCACCTTTCTAGACCTTTCGATAGAGAAGAGCTAACGGAAGCCCTAACGAATATTAAAACGGGAAAAGCGCCGGGGTTTGATGGAATTCATAACGAATTTCTCATTAATACAGGACCAAATGTAAGACAATGGTTGGCAAATTTCTTTACCGATATATTAAATAATAGTGCGATCCCTAAAGACATGAAAAAAGTAAAAATAGTTTCTGTCCTAAAGCCTGGCAAACCTAAAGATAGCCCAGAAAGTTATAGACCCATTTCCCTTCTTAGCTCTTGCTATAAACTCCTAGAAAGGCTAATTTTGGAAAGAATAGTGGGAAAAGTAAACAACTGTGTGCCAGCATATCAAGCAGGATTTCGACCAAATCGTAGCTGTACAGACCAGGTAATGAGCCTTACAACACATATTGAGGCTGGTTTCCAAAGAGGACTGAAAACATCAGCAGTATTTGTTGACCTGACTGCTGCCTATGACACAGTGTGGCGGCACGGCTTGCTGTATAAGTTCCTGCGAATAGTTCGAAATATAAAATTAGCCAAGTTACTTAACACAATGCTGTGCGACAGACTTTTCCAAGTTAAAGACGTTACAAAACGGATTGCCACAAGGTTCCGTACTTGCTCCAGTTTTATTTAATTTATATATATAGGACATGCCAGTAACGCAGTCTAAAAAATTTGCTTACGCTGATGACTTAGCTTTGGTAGTGAGTAATAAAAGCATGGAAGCTACTGAACAGACCCTAACCAACGATTTGGAGATTTTGGGTGATTTTTATCGTAAATGGAGACTAACACCAAACCCCAGCAAAACAGAAAGCACCTGCTTCCACCTAAATAATAAACTAGCTAACAGGGAGCTAACAATATCATTTAATGGTGCTATTCTCCGACATAATCCAACTCCAAAATACCTAGGAATCACACTGGATAGAACTTTGTCCTACAAGGCGCATATAACCAACACCGCAGCAAAAGTACGGACAAGAAATAATATTATTGGAAAACTATGTGGCACAACATGGGGTGCGACAGCAGAAACCCTCCGAACATCGGCCCTAGGTCTTGTCTACAGCGCTGCAGAATATGGTGCACCTATCTGGCTAAATAGTAGACATGTGCACAAACTTGATACAGAGCTTAATAACACTATGCGCATTATTTCTAGCTGTATCAAGTCTACACCAACATATTGGCTCCCAACGTTGTCCTGTATTGCGCCACCACACTTAAGAAGGAAAGACGCATTACTCCGGGAATATAATAAATTGTCAGCCAACGAACTCCATCCTATACATGAGGATGTGACTGATGCATCCCTGTCTAGACTGAAGTCTCGCCGACTCGTAATTAAAACTGCTCGGGAATTGCAGGAAGATAATTTTGGGGTAATTCACAAATGGACCGAGATATGGTCTGAGTCCACTCCACCCAACATCCATCTGAATCTTCCTGTCAATTGTAAACCGAAGGGCTTTGAGGCATCTCGCCAAATATGGAAAACAGCCAACAGGATCCGTACAGGCCACGGCCGATGTGCCGACCTCCTGCATAAATGGGGAAAACTAGCGACTCCTCAACGTGATTGCGGATGCGCTTGTCAGACTATGGCGCACATTGTGTCCGAGAGATCGAAGGCCTGGATATAGCGCTGTAAAGTTTTTATATTAATATCTGTTTTGTTCTGTTTTTTATATGTTACTTTTTATATTTTATATATACATAATTGTTTTTTATCTATACCACTGTCAGTGTATATATTTTGTTTATAATTTTAAGTGTTTTACATATTTGTCTATATTTTTTTGGTTGAGTATATTTATACATATTACTTTTATAGTATCATGTGTTCGCCATACCATAAATAAGGTGGCTACTTAGGCTGGAGTAAACTTTATTAAGGAGGGAAAACATAGCGTCATTTGTGGACTTGTTGCTTAGAAATCCAAATTGATGTTCAGTAAGTATTTTGTACTTAAACAGAAAAGATACCAGCCTTCTCTTAACCAACCTTTGACCAAATGATCTTAGATAGCGTTGGAAGGAGTGCAATTGGGCTATAGTTAGAAGCTTGATCTTTGTCTCCCCCTTTATACAGAGGAATGATTATTGCCGTCTTAAGACATTTTGGAATGACATGTTTGTTAAAGTAGTTAGGTGATTAAGAGTGCTTTCTGGCAGATTCGAAAACATTTTTAAAGTTAGCCCGTCGGTCCCAGGTGAGGATTTGTTTTTGGTGGTATTAATTGTACTGCGAAGCTCTTATAAAATAAAATAAATAAAATAAAATAATCTTTATTACATGCACAAACAAAGAGTACATATAAAGGTGGAAAGTACCGTAAAGGGTATTTTAATAACCACCATGTCTCTTCTAAAACTACGGGCGAAAAAAAGAAACTGTGTAATTATCATTAGAGAGATATGAAAGTGGATCACGAGAAGGACATATGGTATTAGTTAACAAATCGCAAACCAAACCAAACCAAAGTAAGTATTGTCTTATACTAACCTGTGTAATAAGTCAATTTGGCATGCTCGCCTTTGAGATATGTCGGAACCGGAATCGGATACCGACAGACATCATTTTTTTGAATTGGACCTTCTGCGAGAAAGGATGGTCGTCTGCTGGCTGGAAACTCACCAGTTACATAGGGCGATAGTTCCATAATTTGAATTTCTTTCGGATCCTTCTCTTCTTTATCTGCCATCACGTATTTTTCCAGCGCTTCGTGTTTCACATTTGGTGGTGGTGGTACTAATAAATTACAAATAGAATAAAAAATGTCTATATCTATGTGGCGGATTCATCTCTCCAAAAATATCCTTTATTATGTTTTATTATTTTTTTTCTCGCAGTGCAATGGGGGCGAAATACCCATAAAGGATTTTTTTGGAGATACATATAGAATATATTTTTATTTCAATACTGCTTTGCTATATAGAACTAAATGACATATGTTTATACACCTTGCAATTTGCAGACCGACCAGGCCATAATTGCAAACGACAAAGATGACATGGAATATATGGTGCGGAAAATAATTGAAGAATATGCTAAATGGGATCTCACAGTAAATACAGAAAAAAAACGAAATACCTTCCAATTGGAGCCAATACAGAAAATCTTATTTTGGACAATAATATTGAAATCTGGGCATGTGAAAATTACAGGTACTTGGGTTCGATATTTACAGGAGATGGAACGGACGATATAGAAATAAACAACAGGGTAATACAGGCATGAAGAGTTCTCAGATGCATAAATGGCATTCTATGGAGCGCTGAAATTACAAAGAACAGGAAATATAATATATACGAGACACTAGTTAAAAGTATATTATTCTATGGATGTGAAACATGGCGACTCACTGAAAGGAATAAAAGGAAATTAGAGACAACAGAAATGGACGCGATTGGAAAAGCAATGAGAATTTCACGGAGGGATAAAATCAGAAATGAAGACATTAGACGACAGATGGAAATAGAGGAAACAATAGTAAATTATATAGAACAAAAACAATTAATATGGTACGGCCACGTTCAGAGAATGCACAATGAAAGAATTCCAAAACAAGTAATTCATTGGATACCACCTGGTAATCTGGTAAACGAAAGAGGGGACGTTCCAAAAAGACATGGATGGAAGGAATAAGAAGGTCGATGAGCGAGAAAAATCTGACAGAAGATCAATGGGAAAATCGCACAGTGTGGAAGTTAAGCATCGGACAACGTCCTAGGACGTTCTGACCCGAATTTATATAGTATATTATATACTACTTCGCTATTATGACATAATATAATACAATATATAGGTTTTTTAGAAATGTGATTATTATATGTCGAACAAAATTGTAATACAAAGTTTTAATATCAATCTGGTTTTGACACATAATAGTGAAACCATGAGCATTTTTTTGTACCTGACAATAATAATTGTCACGTCACTCGCGGACTAGGTCCAGCGCCCACGGTGTGACTGTTTGGTGACATAAGTTGCAAATCAGTTGCGGACTGTTTGCGCACACGAATCGATTCAATCGTGACTAGTTTACAAACTAGTCAAAATGCAACGCTAAAACGCAAACTGCTACCGCTGGAAATGGTCGCTAACAACAGATCTGCGACTGATTGCAAACTAGTCCCGTTTGAATCGATTCGTGTGCGGCTTCACATTATTATACGCTCCCGAGGTTGCAAACCAGTTGTAAGTTGTAAGCGTAACTGATTTGCAACTTTTGTCACAGTACAGTTGCACCGTGGGTGATGAGCCTTACACATATAAATAATTATTAATTACAATTAAATATTAATATTATTTAGAATATATTTGATTTATCCAGAGTAAATAAATAAATAAATAAAAAGATTAACAAAACCATATTAAAACTTACTATCATCTTCAATTACTTCGGAATAAAATTGATCTTGTGGTGCCAGTTCTTCAAACGTCTCTGGCGGTGTTGTATTGACATGAACTATCCTAGCGATACCGCACGGAATTACGTTAAACTTTGTGTATGGTTCTTTGACGACAGGAAAATTTTTATAAAGATAATTTGTTAGAGATTCCAGCTTTTTAAAGCGGCCAAGAAACGACAGCCCTGCACCTGGTAAATAAAAAAATATATTTCATATTTTCAAAATATCTAGGTACTTACTGTATTTTATTATACAGGGTGAGTCTTAAATTAGTGCAAATATTTAGTGAGGTGGTATATTTCTACCCTAGGAACACGTCTATGAGTTTTTTTCGTAAAAAAAAAGATGTTGAAAATCGTGTATTTTCTTTTAAAGTTTCCTGTATATTTCAGGAAACTTTTTAGAACTGCCCGTTCACCGCAAATTTTTTTTTAGTAATATATATTTTTCTAATTATTCAACCGAAAATAACATATTTCTTTAAAAACACTAAATTGCATTTTGCTTGGCTCCAATTAAAATGGACAAAACTGGGTTTTCCCGTATAGTCTTCAAATGATGTTGTTTTGGAATTTATGGATTTATATGAAAATAAGACCTTCATATGGATGGCTAAACATAAAGAACATAGAGATCGTATTTCAGTGTACAGTAAAAGAACTTAAAAAGAAAAAAGAATCGCTAGCAACGACAATTTCGGGACGACCGGTATCCATCGATGCGACTATAGTGTTTACTTGCCAAGGATACAATCACAGATCATACAGATTATAAACTTTGTTTTTTCTTTATAGTTTTTCGTGGTTCTAATTTTCGGAATCGGGTACTAGTTAGGTTACTAGTTTGCGCACCTAGCACGCCCACTTATGGCCTCTAAAATTGCGCATAGGGCCTGACCGGCATAGTTATTAGATAGATATCGGAAAACCGAATAGCGTCATGCAGTATTTACGCGTACCTTATCATGGTTACGATATGCGCTAGTCAATTTTTAACGCAACACCCGCTAATAACGTTACCGCCTGACGATTTGCGGATCAATTACACCAAGGGCTATTTCTAAATAACGTTTAAAAATTGCTTAAATGGGCATGTGTGGGTACATTTGACAACCGGGGCCGGCCGGCGAGATCTTTTATTTTAGGTTATGTTTCAATTGTTTTGAATTATTACTTTAGTTTTATTAGGTAATTTGATATTTAAGTAGCTGAGATTAGTTTTAATTAAATAAATATGGCCCAAAATATGGATTCCACCTCTTCCAATATTAAAGAACCTATAAAGAGGCTTAGGTTTACAGCAGATGACGACTTAGCCCTTCTAAGAGAATTTGTTTCTTGTTGTCCTAAACCCACTGGCAGACGTTGAACAATGAAGCACTGGAGATAAGCACTTTAGCCCTTTAGTTTTAAAATACCTAGTAAACAAAACAATTTCAAAGTTTTAAATTCAAAGTTAGGTTAAGTTTAAATAGCGGACGCGACGCGAACATAATTTTTTCCGATCCGATAACTATAAATGAAGAGAGTTAATACCACCTCACGTTATTCGGTTTAGCGATATCTCTCTATTACGCTGTTTATTGTAATTTTACGCGAGTTTATTTTTGCGCACAGGAAATTTTACTCGTTTGTACATCGTCATAAAAAACAATTTTCGTACCACGAATTAGGGATAAGATTTTTATCTGTATACATATAGTATACCTAATCTGTGATACAATGTTTGTGCTGGCGTACCTACTTGTTGAAATGGACACGTTGCGCGTCGTGTGAGCGCGAGCGCGAGCGCCACACTTGCCGATGTTGTTTACAAAGTGGGGACTGGTGGGGACACTTGCCAAGTACACAAATATTGGCGTACTTGCCAAGTAGACGAGTCGTGAGAGTGCGCCTTGAGATTTTGTTAGTTTTTTTAGATTTTGTTAGTTTGAAAAAATAATTATACTAGAATCGGGACTACTAGTGTCACCCTCTACTAGTGTCGCCCTACTAGCCCCCAAATGTCAACCAAGCAGATCCGAAACGAACTTTCCGACAAGTGATTTTATTTTTAACCTGAAATAATTTTAAATATTTACGTTATCGATATATCTAAAATAAATAGGTACCTGGAATACCAGTCCACAAGTTACCAACATCGTCGTGTTCTTCAGGATCGAAAAAGTAATATACTCCATCTTTTACCCAAATCGCGACATATTTTTCTTTTATATAAAATATACCAGAATCATGTTTCTTCAGAAATGGTTGTAATGTACTACTAATCATTTCTTTCGCTTTTTCTTCACTTGTTGATATCAGTTCCATCGATATCTTCTCGTTCGGGCTAACAAAAAGAGTGATTTTATCGTTGCCCAGGAAAAATGACGTGTGCACTTTTTCCGGCGGTATTTCTATTAGACACTTGTCTCCTTGCTGAGTACTGCGAACGTATATTTCGTCACCTCTTATAATAATTTCGTCTAGTATTTGCGGAGTCCAATCTGCCATTTTATAGAGGTTCGAATAAACACAGGCAATAGCTGAATTACATGCACCTAGAAAAAAATGCCTTTATATTTTTGAGGATATAAGCACAATATAAGATTAAATCTTGAATGAATATCCAATTTAGACATTCAGTTTTATTATTCTTATTCTCATGTTTTATACTGTCATTTCTTTCGGTAGTACATCTAGAGATTGAGTCTGGGAAGATTTCGACAGTCGATTACAGAAAAAAAGCAGATAATGTCCATACCAATCCATTTATTTAACTAAAAAAATGTCTAATATTTTTTAAGTTAACTATGGATGGGTTTTTATATCAATCCGTCTTGCGTCATCTCTTGTTGTTTTTAACCAGTTTTATTTGTTTATTTAAAAAATGAACAAACATATTTCAATATTAATAATAAATATACGGACGCCGATGTGTATGAACTCGACTTAAGATTTTTGAGAGTAGTTGTCAAATTCTTGCCAGGTTATAGTTATAATTTTGTGTCAAATTATGTCAAATAGAAATGATAAATATTTGAATTTTGGACTGTGTTATTACGTATGTTTCGTGTTTTTTAAAATTAAGTATAATATTTTGTTTTATTTTTGTTTTGTTTTGTTATTTATTCCTTTGCAATATTTTTTTTTTTTATTTTTCCATATATTTTTTTTTTGGTATGTGATGTAGCACACACACAGAATCTTTAACTTTGAGAAAGACAGATAGCCTGATCATAAAATTTTTAGTCGTATGATATCTTTGCCAAATTTATAAAAACTGTAATATAAACCTATAAGCAATACCAAATGTACTTTTAGTTATGTCACTGAGTGCGCGATTATTAAATTCATTGTTGCCAACCATGGACATATTCTGCACCGGGCTGACTAACTGGAATTGAAATTTCCCGCTGGGATTTAGGTGGTAGCTCAGCTGTAAAATGTCAAGCTGACTTTGAACGAGAAAGCGGTAGTAATGGCCCATTATGTCCCTTAAGTGTTGTCAAGAAGGTGAGTTTTGTTCATGCAAATAATAACTATTTATAATTAATTTATTTTTATTTCCGAAAATATCTTGATTATAAGAAAATATGTAATAGTCGGCAACGATGTGCCGGTCAAGGTTACGTGATTAAAAGTTTATTTGGTGTGATCTATATTTTTGTAAATATTAATTTGCTGCAAATATGAGTAGGCAAAATTTACGTTAGAACCAAAAGTCTTATTTTTATGGAAAAGTACTATTTTGTCAAAGATTTTTTAGAATCTAACAAAATGAAATAAAATGGATACCTTGGTATCCGTTAGATTTGAAACTAAATCTTTTGTGAAATTGACTGAAGTGACCAACTAGGATTCCTGCATCGTCGTGTATGTCAAATTTATTCCAGACCTTTTTCAGTGTGGAGATGGCTAATTTTTGCGATATGCCCTCCGGTTTTTTGTATTTGGGTTCTGGCTTTGGTGGCTTCTTCCTTTTTTCAGGCGGTATCCATTTTTTAGTCGGAACAGGAGGATAGTCGATCACAGGTTTGGGTTTTGGCTTGGCTTTGTATTTTTTCTTTGCAACACTAAAGTGAAATATAAAAAATTTTGTTTGAGATTTAGTAACGATTGTCTTACCCCATTTTTTATGATATTTTTATTTTAGTATACAAAGAATTTTGTACTACAATTTTGACTTTTATGGCTTAACAATTAAAATTATGACACTGACATAATTACAAATGTAGCAAAATTGATGAGTTTCAAATTCTGTGTTTCAAATTTTCAAATTTTGTATTGTGAAATAGCCAACTATGGAAAATCCAAGGTAGGGTTACTGAGATGTAGAACATAAAGCATATTTTTTTTAACAAGGACTATTTTAAAGTGAAGCAGATAAGAAAACGGAAGACGAAAAACTAGAAGAAAAATTTCATCCATTTATTCAACGCGATCGAAAATGGCCGGATCCCGTAAAGATTCAAAAGAAAAGGGATAGAATTGTGATTAATAAAAAACCGTTAGAAGTCATTCCAGAAAAGCATAGTATCGTTAGTGCTAAAATTATTCCGTCGGTGGGGTAAGTTATATTATACTTGGCTTCCCTGTAATAGGGGGATTAACACTAATAACCATTTTATGCAAATAATATACCGTATGATCGAAAAAAAACGGCGTCCAGTTGGCTTAGAAATGACGATCGATGACATTTCCCATATAATTTTACATTTAAAATGACAGCGATCTTCATTTCATAGCCATCGCTGACGCCGTTTTTATTCGATCATACGGTACTTATAGATGATAACTTAGTTAATAAAGGTAAATAATAAGAAAGTGACACCGCTGCCGGCACCGCGCCGCGCCGCCCTGTTCGCTTTACTGGTTGCCGGCTCTGGTTCTCGAACGGCGAAAAAAAAAAGCTATAGGTAGTTCTGCAAGAGTTGCTGTGGCTCCGTGACTGAGGCCATTGCTTCGTAAACGAGAGGTCGGTGGTTCAAATCTCACGCCGGACCATTTATTTTTTAAAAAAAGCTGTAAATATTTAATAGCAATGAAAATACGGATTGCGTTGGTTTCACTCTTTTTGCTGAGGTTAGATTGATTATTTGGTGGGGTTAGTTACGTTGGTTAATTGGTGGGGTTGATTGCGTTGGTTAGGGTAGCTACTTGGTGGATTTGGTTTGGTTTTTACTAATTTACATTTGTTTAGCGTTGGTTGGTGGCCGGCCGTAGCGCAAACAGTAGTGTGTCGATCTGCGGTGCGAGAGATGGGATGGCACTGGGTTCGATCCTCAGCCAGTACGGTCGCTTTATTTATTTTAATAAAAATATTGATTCATCTAAATAGAGCGACCAGCGAGCCGCCATCTCAAGGAAGGCAATGGCAAACCACCTTGAGTATATTTGCCTTGTAAGTACAGCCTCTCAAATAGTGCCGTTCGGATTCGGCGATAAACTGTAGGTCCCATGTACTTGTGAAACACTAATGACACACATCACAAGTATATGCGAGAGGTAGCCGACGCTCTGTATAGAGTGTAGCACTGTAAGAAGAAGCGTTGGTTAGTCTATGGGATAAGTTGTTGGCATTTTTAAGGACAAACTTGGTCGATTAAATCAGTCCTGAATAGCTTACAGTTTTTAAACAGAATTAACCGGTCTAATTTGTCCATAAAATCGTTAGTGATCTTTAGTTTCGTGTTATCAATTTTAACGCCACTGCAATCCTTGTTGGCATGCGAGGAAATGAATATATGCTTTAAAATTTGACGAACGTACGTCTTATTGGTTAGTTTACAGTTATTGGTCATAGATGGCTACACAATGCTACACATTTTTATGGTCAATGACTAAAGAATACAAGGACAAATAGCACCCGAGACCAAACTGTGACCATTCTTCCAAACAGTGCTGTGGCACATATTTTTCTTAACATAGCCGCTTGAAGCGATATTTATATTTTTGATAAATGTTTTCACTACGCCTGTGATGTATCTGGTGGTATCATACTAATTAATTACGAAAAAAACGCATTAAAATGTTAACAAAAGGTACAAAACTAGTATCGACGTATAGCACATATCAAGTACATATAATCAGAAAAATAATTATTGAATTCAATAAAAAAAACGCTAAAAAGGTCTAGTGGTCTGTTTATTTCCCTATAAATCGTAAATCCTGGCTCATTCTTATCATTGCGCCTTTTACACTTGAAAACTGATCAAATTACCATTGTAATACAGTTTATACAAAGTTCACTATACACAACCAAGTATTAAAAATCCCTACAATTGTTGCTGATGGCCAGCCGATGACTCATTCGTTATGTCCAAAAAAAATGGCGTCTAAGGTCACAAATTCTGCTGCAGCCCGTATATGGGCGTTCCATGTCCTTGTATTCTTTAGTCATTGTTTATGGTCAAGTTCTGTACAATCAAAAATTTTCTTGTGGCAACTCTGAGTCGAATGGCTTAAATTCTCACTTTTTAGGACTCGCTTAGATCTTCAATATGTTACCCAGCCATTATATGAAGAAGGACAACCGAGACCAAAGTACGTTGTTCGAAAAACAAAAAAGCAGAAAGAGTATATGGAGAAACACCGAGCGTACACTTACAAAAAGTTTTGTAAATATGAAACCGTTAAGATAGCCGAACCCATTCCTTCGAGAAAGCTTGCCAAACAAGTACTTTATTTCAAAATATTTATACATACTACAAAATTCAGTAATATACTGTCATATAACGAGTATTTCTCAAAAGTGTCTCACCTCTAAAACTTTTTTAATCCTTCAGATACAAAAATGAAATTTGGTATGTTAGTACTCGTATGTGACATAAATCCGGATTGATGGATGTATGCAATTAGTATCAAAGGGTATCAGTTACTTCCTGTTTCACGGGAAACGACTACAACTTTCGATTTTTAAATAATATTACCCTAGGTATCTTTTTACTTTATTGTATTTCTAATCGTAACTCAATTTTTCCAAATCGAACCAGGGTGCCTCTTTAGCATATTTGGAAAAAGCATTTTTTCTATACTTGGTTATTTCATAAAACACTGGAAATAGTAGAAGAATATATTATATATTTGGAACAACTAATATACAGCTCCGAATCTCCACCAGAAATCAACAGAAGAATTACGGTAGCATGGAGTACTTATGGAAGAAACTCAATCATATTCAAATCTAGAATGCAACTCTATTTAAACAAGAAAACATTCAACCAATGTGTACTACCAGTCATGACCTATGCATGCCAAACCTGGGCACTTAACGGACATCATAAGAAAACTGCACATCGCACAACATTCAATGGAACGAAAAAGAAACAGGTAAAGATGTCATCCACAGAGTCAAATCCCTCAAATGGCAATGGGCAGGACACCTGGCAAGTAGAACGAACCACAGATGGACCACAAAAATTACAGCATGGTTTCCACAAGGAATTAAGGGACCTAGAAGAAGACCGAATCTGAGATGGGACCATGATATTAGGAAATTAGCAGGGATAACTTGGGCCCGCATAGCTAACAATACACATAATTGGAAATGGTTGAATAAGCTGAAAATGATGATGATCATGACTTGGTATTTCGCGTCAAATTGTCGCTAAATTTTGTCGTGAAAAATTTAAAAAGCAATAGGGTGGTAATTTTTTCGGGGAAACAGGAAGTGACCGAAGTAATTGAATACGTATTTCAATCTTTTAGAAAGATTAAGACTGTATTCCGTTGCAAAACCAGGCGGAGTTTGATACGGAACGGTTTGGTAAAATACTGGAAATGTCAAATATTGCCGTTTTCTAAATTTCAATACCTTTATTATAAAATTTATTTTTTATGCGTTTTTAATGTACCTATTCTCTGCTTTTACGTTTGCTTCTTCTTTTCAATGGTGCTTAATATTGAAAAGTACTTTATTAATAAACTGTTAAACTCGTTAGACAGCTCAAGTGAAGATTTGCAGGTCCAATATTAAAACAGATCAATAATAAATAAACAAATCTAATCAACATTTATATTTTTATAGCTTAAAAACATTCACGATTACTGGATGTCTTGTTGTTCATGTTTTCTTTAAATGTTCCTGACTTTAAGAAACAATGGCTGCATGATAAGTTTAAATGGTCCTAAAAAGTAATTCTATTTAGTTAATGAAATTTATTTACCTTTACTGCCTACCTTCATTGCTTTTGGATGTAAATACAAAATATTATAACAAATTTTAGAAATTGAATGAGAATTTTTCTCGAACTTTTAATATTTGCTTTATTTCTGCCACATAAATGACATTAACTGACAAACAAAACCAGAAAAACCAGCCCATAGATAAAAGAAAATAATCTTCTATTAAGATAGATATGAAACTTAATAGTAAAATTTTGGGTCAAAGCGCCCCTCCGTGTTCTTAGTAGAGACTACGTTTAACCCAGCGCCTTCGCCTTTTCTGCTGTAAATATTTTTTATGTTTATATTTGATTTCAAAGGATTTAGTTTTAAAGTTACACTGATATATTAGTATATCAGAGTAACTTTAATAAAACATAAGAATATATATATTTTACAGTTTATTAAATATAAATTTTGACTACAAGGTAGAAAGTAAATCACAATATTTGATGAAACTTATAAGTACCTATACCATTTCTACAGTTAATTAATAATAAAATTATTTCTGACTATGATATTTAAAATTTAGATGGATAGAATATTAAAAAACATACCGGTATTTGCAGACGCAGGCCCAAATTCAATAAAAACCAAAATTTTTCCTGCAAAAATCGGGCTTTTTTCACAGAAAAGGTATTTTTTGATTTATCAACAATCATTGTCAAGTTGACAATATACAGAGTGTTTTCTAATTAGTCTAAAAAATTGTGGTGTGATTCCTCATGTGTTCTTAAAACAATTTTTATATAACCATTGGGTCTAAAGTACTTCCTTTCTAATCTACAGGGTGTTAAAAATTAAAAAAAAATCGATATTTTGCTTAACATAAATGGTACACTACTGATTTTTTAAAGAAAATATATTTTTTTCTTGGCTGGTCATTCTTTTTCAACAAAATTGATCTTTTGAGTTTTTCTTGTTCATCAAACAGTTGCCGAGAAAAAAATAAATATACTTATTAAGAGCCCGCCTTAAGCCGTTTTCTAACGATTTTTTTAGATTAATTAGGAAACACCCTGTATATGCATATTACAGGCAACCAAATAAACTAGTAACCTCTAAAAATTATTTTTCCTACCTCTAGCGACATACCGTGTTTTTAGTGAGTACTAAATTGTTTTATCAAAATTTCACCATATAAGTTTCCAGGCAATGAACCAGCCTTCCCGCGCTAGTTAGTTTGGTGACAATTATGATAGATATTTTTCCGGAACCGTGTTTCGTTGTAATCTTTGGTTGTAATAAAACTTTCAGAAAACCGATAGAAACGGAACATAAAACCATAACCAAGGTAAGCAACGGAATACAGCCTTAAAGAAACTATAAGGGTAAGCCACTTTTGAAAAACACTCGGTATCCATATATAAAATAAAAAAACTAATTGATAAAATAACCCAAATTTTATGGGTTTTAGTTTAATATTCCGTCACCCGAAGTGTCTCAAGCAAAAGTCACCCCAAGGCGGGTTACACCGACATCAAGTTGGTTGTACCCCGATCCACAAACAAGTGAAGAACTTCGATTAAAGAGTCCGAAGAGTGGAATTTTTATTAATGAATCCGAGGATCAAGAAGAACGAGAACTCGCCTTTTACGACAGTTTCGATTTAGTGTATAGAAGACTACCTAGGCCAGATATCCCGTAAAGCAACCATGTAAGTAAATTAAAAAGTGTGTTAAATTGTTTTATATATTTTAGAGGTGAGAGAAAACGCGAGAAGAAAGAAAAAAAGAAAGTTTCCAAGAAAGGGGGAAAAAAGAGGAAAATGCAGAAACCAAAAGAAAAAAAAGGTAAGCAATAATAAAAAAAAACAAGAGACGAGTAAAACCGTGTAGTCAGCTCTAGGCTTGGTGCATTTCAATTGATTTCAACAAATGCCGACCGCAGAGCTTCAATGGGAAAAAATCAGAAATTACGAGGATGGGCTGAAAAGTTTCCGACCTCAACGTGAAGATGCCAGCACTCGTAGATAAAAGCTAGTGTATTTTCATTGTTCATCTGTTGACAGTTATTCACCAAAGTTTCAACCATTTTGTATGCGCAGTTGTTATGTAATAGTCGTTTGAGTGGGTTGATGTCAGTGTTTTTGTGAAAATGGACAAAATCGAGTATCGAGCTGTCATTAAATATCTGGTTTTGAAAGGCAATACGCCTACACAAATTAAACATGAGTTGGATTCTGTATATGGAGACTCTGCACCATTATTTACCACAGTGAAATTTTGGGCAGCTGAATTTAAACGTGGCCGTAAGAGCTTGGGAGACGATGAACGTTCGGGACGTCCAAAAACTGCAACTTCCGACGATAACATCGCCAAAGTTCACCAAATGGTGCTAGACGACCGCCGAATTAAAGTGAGAGAGATAGCAGAGGCTATGAACATATCAAAAGAACGTGTTTGTCACATATTAAATCAAGATTTAGGCATCAGAAAGCTGTCCGCGCGTTGGGTGCCGCGTTTGCTTACGTTAGACCAAAAGTGTGTTCGTATGAAAATTTCCAACGCTATGTTGGCGCAGTTTAGGCGCAATAAATCCGAGTTTTGGTGTCGATTAATTACTGTAGATAGAACTTGGATACACCACTATACACCAGAAACAAAAATATAGTCCAAACAGTGGACGACAAAGCGAGAACCGGTTCCAAAAAAAGCAAAAACTGTTATTTCGGCTGGGAAAGTGATGGCGACTGTTTTTTGGGATAGTCATGGAGTTATTTTAATTCATTATCTTCAAAAAGGAAAAACCATCACAGGAGCATACTACGCATCATTACTTGACAAGCTAAAAGCAGAACTTACGGAAGAACGGCCACATTTACAGAAAAAGAAAATCCTGTTTCACCAAGATAACGCACCGTCTCACACCTCAGCGGTTGCCATGGCGAAAATCCACGAATTACAGTTTGAACTGCTTGACCATCCGCCTTACTCATCAGATCTAGCCCCTAGCGACTTCTTTATGTTCCCTCATTTAAAAATTGTGCTCGGAGGACAGAGATTTTCGTCAAATGAAGAGGCAATAACCTTCGTGAACCACTATTTTGCAGAGAAAAACGCCGAGTACTATTTGGACGGGATACAGAGATGGGTGCATCGCTGGGAAAAGTGTGTAGAGTTACAAGGGGACTATGTTGAAAAATAAAAAAAAATATTCAAAAAAAATGTCTTTTATCTTTGTTAGGTCGGAAACTTTTCAGACCACCCTCGTATCAGTACCTATTTCACGCCGCCGCGCCGTCATGTTGATCGCATTAAAATATAGTCCGTCTAGAAAGTATCCGGAATTTTATATTTTTCCTAATTTTAATATATTTTTTTTCTGTAACACTTGAAGACAACAGTAATCCATCACGTAGGTTATGCCGATAGTAGGCTGACCAAAATCGCATGGCAACACCATCTGTCAAATATTGTTGATTGTAAACCGGCTTAAGTTTTGAGAAATAATGTCGCAAGTAAAAAAAAGAGAAATGGTGGAATATTTGTATAGAAAAGGTGTTCGAAACGTTAAAAAATTAGTGCAATTGACTGAATTCGGAAAAAGTGCAGTATATGAGACAATAAAGAGGATAAAATTGGCACAGATATGAAGCATGGACCAGTTTCAGAAAGACCGCGTAAGATTTGCGAAAACAATTTAAACGCTTTAGTGGCATTAGAACGACAGAATCCGCGCCTAGGGTTTCGCAAATAAGCTAACAGATTTGTAAGTCAGCGAAAATTAAATGTGTGTCCAGAAACCGTCCGCATGTCACTGAAAAGACAAAGCTACATACCAAGGAAGCCAAAAAAAATTGCTGTCATAACACCTCTACAAAGGCAGCGAATGATGTTTTTTTATCAACGTCTATCTCAGGTGCTACACCTCTGTGTATAGTTGATGGAACAGTCAATAGTGCAAAATATTGTGATATTTTAAATGGTTTCCTTCTTGAAACGGCTCATGTTTTATATCCAGAGGGGTGGCGTTTTTAGCAGGATAATGCAAGATGCCATACGTCTGCCTCAACAAGCTTGGACTCAAGCTTGGATGCAAGAACACCATTTGGCAACAATTCCATAGCCAGCAGCTTCACAAGACCTTAGTCCCATTAAAAACATATGGGGATTAATGAAGATTGAAGTGGAATGAGCAGCTCCACGAAATAAACAAGATTTGATTCGCTCAGTTTTACAGGCCTGGACTACCGCCACTGAACATTATGGTGTGGACCTAGTTTCGGGTGTACCTGGACGTTTAGTTAAGTGTTTGGAGTTAAATGGACGTTGTAACTAAATAAAATTAATAATTTGTTATAATTTTTTTAACTGAAGTCTTAAAAATTTATATCGATAATTGTAATTTTGCTTTCTTTTTTCCGGATACTTTCTAGACTGACTATAATATTGAAATGGTTTTGTCATAATATTCAAGTATTTTAGTTTTTTTTGCTGGTGCAGTTATTGAGACTATAAAATACTTAGGTACGAAGTTTGTGTGATGTAATGCTGTTTTGGGTAGTAAAAAATAAGTGAAAAGAATTCGAACTAGGCGTTGTGTTGTGTTGAGACAATTTCAAATAATAATGTTAATAAAATTGCCGAAAAAATGTTAAAGCGTAAAGGGGGGAGCTTAATTAGCGCGTTGTTGGGTGCAATAACATTTAATAATTCAACTTTCCCGGATAATTCAACTCTCCCGAAACAACATTTTATAGCTTCATAGTTTCTCACACCGATTTGATTACAAGCAAAAATGGATTCAAGCAGTTCGACGAAACAAGTGAGTAAACAACGTGCTCGTTACATAATCAAAAAAAATTAAATAAACATAATACTATGAGAGGATAACATATAATTTGCAGTATCGGGGGGTATATTGGGATACTTTTTTTAATCAACTAGTGATTAAATGTTTTATGAATATCTTCTAAAATTATAATTATAAACCTTTAAAAAATTTCGTTATAGCCGAAATAGTTCCAATTATGCCCCACTAGCAAAACCGGTGATTAAAACTATGCTCCTGCCGTCGTTGACTCATCTAAAAAGTTGTTTTTAACTGGAATAATAAATTATAATACAAGTTAGACCTTCTGAAGTCTGAAGATATCAAAATATTTACTTTTTTATTTTTATTTTTAGAATTTTCGCAAATTATACTTCAACACTTTTAGAATAATTAAATAATACATTTTTCGTATTCTCACTATTTAAACCCGTGTATTTATAACTACTAGTTATTTACGATATTTTCCGAAGGTGGCATCACCGGCGGAGAATGCACCAAGCCTATATTTACTCTTAAAAATTGACGATTGTTGTATTTTTATCTGTAAAACAGTTCACTGAAATTTGGTACGCTATTATATTGACACCCTGTATGAATATTTCATTTTAGGATTGGCGCCTGAAACAGAATATATGGATGATGTAGAGAAAGAAATGGAAAGGGATTTAAAATATGGAAATTTTGGGGAAGGAGATGCAGGTCCAGTGGATTATTTAACAAAGCAATTTCGTCGCAAAGTATCCGTGGTAAGGTAACAGATAGATGGTAAGATAAAATATCTAGACTTTAGTGCTTTTTTGGCTTTTACTAAGTTTGGAAAATAATTATCCTCAGTTTTTTGTTGATAAAATTTTTAAAGAAAGGCTCAATAAATTTTTAAATAGCGAAAATCAAAACAACTAAGCTGAAAAAATAAAAAATATATCTCTCGGCCATTTGTCAACGGCTTGTCCCAACAACTACAAGGGTTGCATAAAAAATACGATATAAGTATCAGTCATAAAGCTTACAATACCTTAGCAAGCAACTTTTCAGCATTAAAAACAAAAATACCAAAAAACAATCGAAGTAATATATATAGTACAGACTGCAATCAAGTTATAGTATACAGGGTGGTCCGAACGGTATTCCGGAAACTTCGACAGCATATTCTGCGAATAAAAATAAGTAAAAAACTTCGTATAAATGTATGTCCTAAAATGCTTAGTTTGGGAGATACAGTGTGTAGAAGTTTTACTTTTATTTCGATTTTTTCCAAATAATTTCTGAAGTAACGTCAATATTTAGATGAAAATTAGTATCTGGGCGTTTTTTAATATGGGATATTTGATTTTGATGTCAATATGACTCTTACTTGTAAGGGGCGCCACCTACATATGTTTTAACTGGTTTGAAGAGTACTAACATTTTGTTCGTACCTGTATAAAACTATTGAGTAAAAAACTATACATAAGCGACGTTTTCTACGTAAAAAAGGTCTCTTAGTAAAATCGCTTCGGTTCTCGAGATATTTTGAATTGAAATTATCGATACTTGTCATCATTGACATAATTAAACATGTTGACTAAAGCTTGATTTTCATGCATCCGTTGTCCGACGATACGATGATACGATATTAATTTTATTGGTTGAATTTAAAGACTTCGATTGGTTAGAAACGGTTATCCAATCGAAGCCTTTAAATACAAACAACGAAATTAATATCGTATCAACGTATCGTCGGACAACGGATGCATGAAAATCAAGCTTAAATAGTTATTGGTCGTTAGACTGAAATCATAAATTTAAAATGATTTTATGCCAAAAGTTCAACAGAAACTGTTTTATCATCATTTTTTTGAAGAAAAAATTATAATTAATTTAAAAAAAATAAAAAGTTACCAAATTTATCATTTCAGTCAAATAACTATCTATTAATATACCTACTTAACATGCTTATTTTTTGTCAATATTGACATGTATTGACTATTTCGATTCCAAATATCTCGAGTACCATATGACTCATAGCGTTTTTTACTAAGAGACCTTTTTTGCGTAGAAAACGTTGCAAATGTATATTTTTTTACTCAATAGGTTTATACAGGTACGAACAAAAAGTTATTACTCTTCAAACCCTTTGAATAAGAAGACTAAGGAAGGAGCATATCAAAAATCTTAGGTACACCGCGATGGGCCTCAAATATGGCCGACTTAAATTCCGGTTTATCAGTGTCGTTCTAATTTTATTTAAAAAATGTAAAACTATGATGTAGGGTAGACGTGGGGTAGACTCAATAATTTCTTGTTTTATTTTACGGTGTGAATAAATGTTGGTAGTTATTAATATTGTTATAAATATATATAATTCTAATAAAAATAGATAAGTTATAATAAGTATTTATTAACACAAACATCCGATACGCTACTGAAGCAGGTAAGTCAAATTAACGTATCTAAATTCTTTGACATCTAATCTTTGACAAGTAATAAATAAAAGCTAAAATTCAAGAAAAATATATAATTTAGTTAATTTAAGTGAATTTCATAAATGATCGGTTTACTACACGTATGTATATTATAGTCACTTACTAGCGAAAAGTTGTTCCATTATTTCACTCAATTTTTGCCGAGATCTACCGCACGCTACACAACCAACTATTTTAGAGTCTTTTCGATAAATCGCGATAGTGTCACTGTTAATTTAAGTTCTGCCACAATTTCCATCTAGATTTACTACCTTTATACAACTATCAGTAGTAGAATAAATAATAAATAACATAAAATAAGCTCCGTAAAGACTGACAAATCCACAAAATTTCAAATCAAATTCAAATGTGTCAAATGAATCGTCAAACAGAACTGTCAAGTATCCCCACCCTAGAGTGCTTTTATGGTGCTTTTTCCGCCCACCATGCATGAATACATGGATAGCATTATGCTCCTTCCTTAGTCTTCTTATTCAAAGCTTCAAACCAGTTAACATATATCATGTCAAAAGACACCAATTTCCATCCAAATAATGACGTTACTTCAGAAATTATTTGGAAAAAATCGAAATAAAAATGAAACTTTAACACCCTGTATCTCCGAAACTAAGCATTTTAGGACATACTTTTATACGAACTTTTGTACTTATTTTTATCTGCAGAATATGCTGCCGAAGTTTCCGGAATACAGTTCGGACCATCCTGTATATTGGACAAACGTCATAGTACTTGAAAAACCGACTAAAAGGGCATAGGTACGACAAAAAAAAACAAACTGTTTTAAGAACGCATGAATTTAACAAGGGAATACAAATTTCATTTCAATAAAAACAAAATTTTAAAATCAGATTCTCACCAGAAAAGAGATTTATGAAATGATGGAAATACAAAAACATAAAAACGCCGTTAACGACAAAAAAAAATGTAAACAACCTGAATAAAATAATATATCGATACCACAGTCCATTACTGCAGTACCACACGTCTAGTCAGTAGAATATCTACGTAGAGTTTCAGTCCGTTATGCTATTTTGTTTATATGTATATATAGTTTGTGTATTTTGACACCTGGATTATGAATATGTAATTTAACTGTATCGACGTTTAAGGTAAGCTAATAAAAACTAGTCTATGTATGTATTTTACTTATACAGGGTGTCCCAGAAATAAGTGCAAATATTTTAAGGGGTGGTAGATCTGGTCAAAAGAAACATTTTTTATATTTACCATTTTTCAAATAAGTCCAAAATAATCGAGTTATTTTACTTTGAAAATTTAAACAAAAAATGATTTTTTGCTTAAATTTTGAGAACCACTGGATCTTTTCTGGATTTTCTTTCATGTAAATTTAATATACTACCTGAGTTGCCATATTATCAAGAAATTATGTTTTTTAACATAAAACTAAAAAAAATTCCAAAAATTTTTTCAAAAAATTCCAAAATTTCAAAAAAAAACTTTTGTAAAAAAAAACTCATAGGCGTGTTTCTGAGTCCGATATATACTACCAGTTAAAATATTTGCACTTATTTCTGGGATACCCTGTATAAAGAAGTTTTAGACTTTGAAAAAGACAAATAACTGTAGTCAGACAGTTCTTCACAAATGTTTTAAATTAAATTTTAACAATTTTTTGAACTACCTAGACCTTAAACCAGGTAACCTACCAGAAAAAATTTTATTATCTAAGGTCGAAATTAAAAAAAACAATAGATCTTCTTCTTCTTGTTTCACGATGACCACGCGCCTTTCGACGGCCAGTCAGAGTCTAAAAAAAATAATAGATATATGTATACTTTGAATCAGGAAAGAAGACGATTGCGTAATATCATAAATTATACGAAATATAAATGTACGTACGTCGGTGATAAGATCACGAGGTTACGACCGATGACATATTGAAGTTAGGTCAAGTTATTAGGGAATGACTAATCACAAACCAAACACATTTGAAATGGTAAATCGATTGTCTTTACTACAAAATAATATGATTATGCAATCGTCTTCTTTCCTGATTCAGAGTATATCAATAATACTATTATTAGGTTTGTTCCAACCTGCCGCAGAACCGTCACCGAACGATCACGCTCGTGCGCAGTAATTCAAATGTGTTCCAACCGAGATTTGGCGGTTATCGGACGATCCTATTTGCGTACCAACCTACCTTGGGATCGTTTAGTTACGATTTCAGATGTCAGAATGGTAATTTCGGTACATAGTCCAAATTTGCTGTCCTCCATTCGCGAACTTCGAGTTCCGGGCTTTACGCCCTGGGGCTACTCGAGAACGGTTCAGAAAGGAGCGATGTGCGATAGCCTGGTGCCTCCATGGCGCGGAACAGTTCTGGAGCTTTATGACTCAATTTGCTGTCCTCCATTCACGCAGTTGTGCAGCTCTGAACTGTTTAAGAACGCGATACTCTCACTCCATTCAACTGAGTCATAAAGTTACAGAACTGTTCCGCGCCATATGGAGGCACCAGTATATCGCGCACAGCTCCTTTCAGAACCGTTCTCGAGTAGCCCCAGGGCGTAAAGTCCGGAACTCGAAGTTCGCGAATGGAGGACAGCAATTGAATGGAGTGAGAGTATAGCGTTCTTGAGCAGTTCAGAGCTGCTCAACTGCATGAAAGGAGGACAGCAATTGAGAACTGTTTGGGTTGACTTGTGCATTAAAGCGTATTGGCAGGGATTATCGATTTTTAACAGCTGATTCTGGTCCGGCGCCGGCGTCCGCTTGATGCTTCTGTCTTGGTTATTTTTTACAAATTCGAATACCTACGTGTGCGTTATACTTTTGCTTGTGAGTTTGTGTGGAGTAAATCGTTCGGAAATTTTAATTAATTTTTTATTTTTAAAATAATAATGTTCAAAGATTTTACCACGGCAATGAAATAACAGGAAACTACGCATAACAGGATCATACAAGGGAGGATAGGTAAGTGAGTTAGTGAGTATACAGTGGAAACAAGTCTTACCAACAATTACTGGATTCTGATTCTCCATTTCAGAAATAATAATTATTATTATTGCGAATTGCAAACAAAAATAATATGGTTATGTTATGAAATTCTAAACAAAAACAAAAAACCGATCGATACATGCACGCTTGACACTTGACAGTCCCGAAAACAATCTACAAAGCGTTCCAAGGTTGTTACTTTTTGCACCGTCACGAAACTATTCGAAGTCCGCGCACGCTAACAAAGTGCAAGAAAACGATTCCAGTACGATTTCGAAACGATCCCGAAATGCTGGTTGGAACAAACCTATGATCACACAGATATCTATAATATTAATAGTAAGTTAGCTAGACTTTGTTTCCTTCATTATTTTGTAATGAGAGATAAAAAAACTTATAAAAATGAAATTCTGCAGCAAAGGGACTGTTTTTAATTTGATGCATTATTTTACATAATTAATTACTACTGTACTGAAATTGGCTCTATATTTTGACATAAGTATATTAATTTACTTCTAGATGTCTCAGTCTACTTCGTACCAAACAAAGGACTACTTTTCAGAAACAGAGTTACTCACAGAACCGTTTACCGCTCACAAGTACGCACAAAAATTTAGAAGAGAATCGGAGATCAAACGGTACGAACCGAAGAGGAGGAAATTTAGACGAGGAACATTGGAAAGTCATTCGTTTACAAATATTTACCAACCTGTACTCAAAGATTTTTATTTTGGATCAAGGCAGGGAACTATGCATCAAGGTAATAATTAGCAAAATAAATCTGCTATAGTTTTGATCATGTAATATTTTTCTTCACAATATGGTATACACAGTACGATAGTATGGATCCAAAAAACTACTATTTTTAATAAAAATAGGTTGGGTTCGATCATTGACATCTAAATAATTTAATTAGTGGTCATTGGGTCCGATTCATTGAATAGGTAGACTATGGAAAAATGATATTAACAAGATTGGCTAAACCCGTTAGACCCTATTAGTTTAAAAGTATATTTCTATTAAGAATATACAAGGTGACTCAATCCAAAAACGATAAAGCTTAAAGGTAGGTTCATATACCTACGCGGGAATTGCGAATATTGTTGTTATTGGTGGATTTCAAAAAAATACAGGAGCGGCAAAATTGAACAGAAAGTTGTTTTAATATTTTCTGAATTCGCATATTTTAAAACCTGGGAGCGGGAATGTTGACATTGATTTAATTTTTGCGAATATTCGCTGCGAATTTTCAGTTTCTAGGTTATAATATGTCACATCTCTTATCATTTATTTCTTGTTACGGTTACAATAATATAAACATTGGTTAAGATGGAAGAAAAGGTATGAAAAAATTGTGCATAATCATTGTTAGGTGCATAATTATTTAGGTATTTTTTACAATATAATTTAATTTTATTAAAATTTGTAGTACGAAGTTGTATGTTTTGACTGCAAACTGCTAATTTTTTTGGAAAATTTCAAAACCATTGGGAATCGAAATCCTTGATAGACATTCCATGGTAGTTTCTAATTTTTTTCTCATTTATTGCACTAAATTGTGATATGCTTTTTGTTGTATTCACTTTTTAAATATTTCTTTTTATATGTTCTAATTGTTTTATGTATTTTATTTTTGTCGTTTTTTATTATAAGTATACGGCAAGATTGTCTTCTACGCCAAAAGTAAGTAGTTTCATCCATTACAGAAAAATATATTTATAAAAATAAATAACAGTGATATATTATCGGGACGCGTTGTTTCTACCCTCGGTATTTTTTTATTTTATTCGATAGAAAATAATACTCTGAATAGAATGACATATCAACAATTTTTGACATTTTCGCATATTGATTTCGCATTTTTTATTTGAAATTATAATTTGCGGTTCGCAACGAAAATTTGACTCGAAATACCAAGTGTATGGTATTAAATTATTCGTAAAAAATGCTTTTTCCAAATGTGCTAATGAGCCACCCTCGTTCCATTTGAAAAAATTAAGATATGATAAAAAATACGATTTGAGCATTTTCTAACTGGCCAGGATAAGACACTAAAAACCTTAGACGATTAAATCTATTTTTTTCAAGGTTCCTTGATTAAGAATTAGTGTTTTTAACATAGCCATGGCACTCTAGATTGAATTATAATATATATACGATTTTTTATTAAGCGAGAATGTCAAAAGTTGACATATGATATGTCATTCTATTCAGAATGTCATTTTCTATCGAATAAGGTAAAAAAATACTTTAAATCGCACCCTCGCGATTTAAAAATCAAAAGTTGTAGTCATTTCCGGTGAAACTGGAAGTGACCAAAAACAATTGAATACGTCAATCAATCCTGATTTATGTCATATACTAGCATTCGAAATCTCGTTTTTTTTAATTTGTATACACCAAATGATAGCAAGAAATATTAATAATCATTTTTTTGTCTATAAATACAGGGTGGCGCCTCTCATACGCCGCGGAAGCTCCAAAGAGAACGGTAGTTTACATCGAAATGAAATTTTGGCAGCATATGTAGGTTAACTGAAAGCATTTTATAAAAATATATAGAATTATACAGGGTGTCCTCAAAAAAAGTTACACATCAAAGTTTTGTTTTTTCTAATGGAACACTCTATATATTAATTGATTTTCGGATTTTAGGAAAAAAATAAAGGGGAGTTTTATTAAAGAAGCATATACCTAAAATATAAGGATTTTGACATATTTCACATTTTGTGAAAATGAAGAGATAATTTTAAATTTCGATAACAGCTAGCTAAATGTTAGTTGACCTTGTATAGCCTGATATTTAATTACAGTAACCATTGTATGTTAAACCAAATTGAAATTTGACCCGAAAAGTTATACAGGGTGAGACGAAATTAATATTGAACATTAGTCACTTTTAAAAGCAAGTTACCATTTATTTTAAATGGAACACCCAGTATATTTTTCCGGTGTTCAATGGGGAATTTATATATCTTCAAAATATTATTAAGGTTGCCTACCCCTCAGACATAGATTTTCCCAGATATTTTAATTTTTATGATTTTGCGTCAGTAAATTTTTATTATTTGAAAAAAATCTAGGTGGCTGTGTGATATACCTTTTGTTAATTTAACAAACATTAAAGATTGTAGAGTAAAATGCTCAAGGGTAATAAAAAGATACACGTTTAAAACATATTTTAATTATTACAGAATTAAAACTAGATATAAACCTATAATTATGCGACAAAAATTAGCTAGATGAAATCAAATGCTCAAAATGCTTCCGTTCCAGTTAACTTCATAAAATGATTACCTTCTCAAAAGATTATTTTCATTTTAAGAGGCATATATGGAGTTCTAACTCGAAAAGCAGCTACAATAATTTCTCTTATATTGTCGACACTAGTTGGTCGAGTTTTGTAAACACTGTCTTTAACATATCCCCATAAAAGAAACCCAGATTAGATAAAATCAGGAGCATTTAAGTATTCTATTGATTGGTAAATGCACACTGCATTCACCAACTAATAGAATCATATCAATTCTCTATGATGTAGGATAAGTTTGCATTTTCGGTAGATTTCTGAGAAATTTTTTTGTTTTCACTGACACAAAGTGATAACTAGTTGTTAAAGTTGGACTAATTAGACAGCTATGTTGAAGTAACGTCAGACATATCACAGCATGATCACAGCCACCTAGATTTTATCAAATAATAAATATCTACTCAGATCAAATCATGTAAATGAAAATATTTAGGAAAATCTTTGTTTGAAGGGTAGGCCACCTTAATAGTATTTTGAAGAGACATGAATTCTCCATTGAATATCGGAATAATATACTGGGTGTTCCATTTAAAATAACAGAGTAACATGCTTTTAAAGGTAACCAAGGTTCAATATTAATTTTGTCTCACCCTGTATAACATTTTGGATCAAGTTTTAATTTGATTTAAAGGACAATAGTTAATTTAACTACATATTAGGCTATACCGGGTAAATTCAAATTTAGGGAGCCTTAATTGTAATTTAAAAATTGTTCTTTATTTCTAGAAAATGTTAAATATGTTAAAAAACTTACATTTTAGTCATATACTTCTCTTATAAAACTCACCTTTATTTTTCTCCCAGATTCCGAAAATCAATTAATATATAGGGTGTTCCATTACAAAAAACACAATTTTGATATGTAACTTTTTTTGAGCACACCCTGTAGAACTCTCTATATTTTTAAAAAGTACGAATATTAACCTATATATGCTAACAAAATTTCATTTCAATACAAACTGTCGTTCTCCTTGGAACCTCCGTGGCGTATGAGAGGCGCCACCCTGTAAATGTATAATTAAAATAAAAATCTGGATAAAATAATTAAGAAAGCACACTTCGCTTACAATTAGAGTTATAAAGGTATATACACAAAATACATCAAAAGAGTTGCAAAACAATATATAAAAATAAACCTATGTATATGCTAAAATGACAAATAAATGGAGATAAAAATAAAATTGTTCCTTCAAGTAACATTTTCAACATGTGTTTAAAAACACAAATATCCCTAGAATTAGTTGCGAATTTCGCTGTTATATGAACTACGTAAATAGGACGGTTTTAACTTGCGAAATTCGCAATTTGCATTTTGCAATTCGCGTGTATATGAACCTACCTTTTTAAGGCAGGACGATTCCTTAGTAAAAATAAAGAATAATTGCCATAGATTAAATTCTAATAAGGTTAGGTGATCTATTCTATTCAAAGGATTTTAATAATTGATTATATTTAGGAGACGAGCATTTGCCAGAAAATGCTCGTAACATGCAGGGACTTTGCATTCCCGTCGCTGCCTATTGTTTCTCGTTTTTAAAGCATCCAAACAAGTGGACAGCAGAAATGATTGACGAAATCTTGGATGTTGGCAGTACGTTATATTTATCGAGCTTGAGCCAGCTTCACTATCACAAATTTGGAAAGGAATTAAAGCCGGAAGATTTGGCAAAATATTGTTTAATTAGTAAGTGAATAGTATAAGATTGTTTGTTTGTTTATATCTCTTCTTCAATTAATGCTAGGGTTGCCAACTTAAAAAAAAAGACAAGACGGTAAAAAAGCGCTACAAGGGTAACATTTTTTGAAACCTCGTCCAAATGTCAATAATTCCCCTAAAAATTATGTAAATGTTTGGGGTTAATGATTTTTATCCATAGAGTAAAAAATGATATTTTTTTACTTTCTTAAAAATAACTTTTGCCTAAAACTTGTTAAAATAAAATAATTTTCTACCAAATTTTTTTAACACAAAAATATAAAATTAACCACTAACAAACATAAACAGTAAGCAAACATAAAAAAGCTAAACATGTTAATCGCATCTACAGTACAAGGTGATTCACGGCCATGGTATGTTACAGCGCTTTCAGATGGAGCGGACCGTCTGCGATGGAGCGTCCGCCACTTCGAGCAACAACCACAAATTACCTCAACTATAGTCTGTGAAGCGAATAACTTTGAATTTGACAGTTCCCGCAGGCTTTTCTAGTGTTAATTTTATTAGGTTAGCAACTTGTGGCTCTGCTGAAGCAATGCCGTCTCTAATAAAACAGCCTCACTTGACTATGGCTGAAATCGCATTCCATAGTCAATGTAGATAGTTTTAGTGTTAAGAATAATAATTTGAAAAAATATGTGGTCATTTTTTGACAAGTTTATATTAGTTTATTAATTGTAGTAAACATTTTTATGTGGTGTGTGGTGTGAATATTTTATATGTAGTTTTTTGGATTATATTCGACACTATTTTTTTCATATGACACAACACTGATGAAGGCTATAATGTTACCCGAAAATTTTTTTTTAAACCAAATAAAAATAATGAAAAACCAAATGAAAACTTAATCAGCGTTTTTCCCGAACCAAAATCCCAAGAAAATCAAAAATTTTAGAATAATTTTATATATAAAATGACAGCGATCTTTATTTCATAGCCATCGCTGACGTCTTTTTTTCTATGATATTGTATTAATTGCAAATATAATTTTTTCGAACATTGATACTTGCAAATATACATAGAAAGATTTTGTGAATGCAAATAATAATACACTATTAGTAGATATTGAATGTTTTTTTGTTAAATTAGATCGATTTTTCAAACCACAAAATTTAAAAATATATTTTTACATTTTATCCATTATCTGATATACCTATTCATTATTTTCCATATTGTAAACATTTGCTGTATTTGTGTCTATAGTTTATTTTACAAAGTATTTATTAATTATAAATAGAACATGTATTGTATTTATTAACTGTATATTATGTATATTTCATGTAAACTATATAATTTTTAAAATACAATGTTTATGAATGAACATGTATCAATAACAATGTATCATGAATACATGTTTTCGATGTATTCTACAACATATTTATTAATCCGTAGTATCTAACTAGCGTGACGTCATCAATCTCGTTCCAGAGCTGTTCTATTAGAGACGGCATTGGTCTGATATTTAGAAATGTCAAAAGCTGATGACATTTTACTTTTGGCAATTATGACAATTTGAGTTGATTTTTGCAAGAAGAGGAAGAACTGTCACTTGTTTTATTATTTTCCTTTTCTATTTCACGAAAGTAAAAAGAGTTACCTATCTGATTCGTTCAGGCACTCAGTTTAAAGAATATCAGTAACTTTTTTGACAGAGGGATTTTATATTTGCCATGTTGGTAAAAAATAACGGTCAAAATTCAAAGTTATTCATTTTATAGACTATACCATGAGTTTCTATGAACAATTATTTCACATGGGCGCGTATGCTCCGTCCGACGGCTTTCTTGAAAAAACACGACGGACGGTCCGCTCCATCTGAAAGCGCTGTTATGGAGAACCGTTGATAGGATTTTATTTAAAATTTCTTTTAATATTTTATTTGTTAAAAATTCATAAAATTTTATAGAGAATTTAAATATGTAATAAAAAATGGCAGTACCCATTTAAAATAAGAAAATTGCTGTCACTTTCCGGTATTTCCGGAAGTGCCGCCATATTGAAAATATTTTTAATCGATAAATCTCGTTGTGAAACTATGATGTGCAAAAAATCTCCGAGCTAGATGTTGTAGTTCTCTAGAAACTTCTAATGCACGCTAAGTCTGGGACACCCTGTATATCTTAAACTAGGATCATGTAAAGTGATCTGAAAGGATGCTAAAAATGCAATAACATTACAGGTTGTTCCATTTAAAAAAAATCATCCCGATCCACTCACACTTTTTTGAGCAACCCTACAGAAGTTAAAATAATTTCCTGGAATACATCCTCGTACATTCTTTAGGTTTACACTTAAACAAAATTTCCAGGTTTTTTATTTTAGGAGCTACAGATGCCCGACGCACTATTTTCGGACCCTGTAGGTTATTATAACAGAAATTATGAGATATGAAAGTATAGTCTGTAAACCGAATAACTTTGAATTTGACAGTTCCCGCGGGCTTTTCTAGTGTTAATTTTATTAGGTTAGCAACTTGCGGCCATGCTGATGCAAGGCCGTCTCTAATAGAACAGCCTCGGAGCGAGATTTATGACGTCACGCTAGTTAGATACTACGGATTAATAAATATGTTGTAGAATACATGGAAAACATAACTATTCCTCGTATTTTTGGTTTGTATTTTAAAAATGATATAGTTTACATGAAATATACATAATATGATAATATACAGTTAATAAATACAATATATATATATACCTATTTATAGTAATAAATCCTTTGGCAAATAAACTATGAACCATACAAATGCAGCAAATGTTTTACAATATAGCTGAAATCGTACTCCATAATCAATGTAGATAGTTTTAGTGTTAGAATAATAATTTAAAAAAATATGTGGTCATCTTTTGACAAGTTTATATTAGTTTATTAATTGCAGTAAACAGTATGTGGTGTGTGGTGTGAATATTTGATATGTAATTTTTTAGATCATATTCGACACTATTTTTTTCATATGACACAACACTGAAGGCTATAATATTAGCCGAAACGTTTTTTAAACCAAATAAAAATAATGAAAACCCAAATGAAAACTTAATCAGCGTTTCTCCCGAACCTAAATCCCAAGAAAATCAAAAATTTTAGAATAATTTTACATATAAAATGACAGCGATCTTTATTTCACAGCCATCGCTGACGCCTTTTTTTCTATGATATTGTATTATTTGCAAATATAATTTTTCGAACATTGATACTTGCAAAATATACATATAAATTTTGTGAATGCAAATAATAATACATCACTATTAGTAGATATTGAATGTTTTTGTTAAATTAGATCGATTTTCAAACCCCAAAATTTAAAATGTATTTTACATTTTACCCATACCCCCGTACCGATTCATTATTTGTATATTGTAAAACATTTGATGCATTTGTAAGGTTCATAGTTTATTTGCCAAAGTATTTATTACCATAAATAGGTATATATATTGTATTTATTAACTGTATATTATGTATATTTCATGTAAACCATGTCATTTTTAAAATACAAACCAAAAATACGAAGAATAATTATTTTTTCCATGTATTCTATAACATATTTATTAATCCGTAGTATCTAACTAGCGTGACGTCATAAATCTCGCTTCCTGGCTGTTCTATTAGAGACGGCATTGGTCTGATATTTAGAAATGTCAAAAGCTGATGACATTTTACTTTTTACATTATGACATTTCGTGTTGATTTTTGCAAGAAGAGGAAGAACTGTCACTTGTTTTATTATTTTCCTTTTCTATTTCAATGAAAGTAAAAGAGTTTACCTATCTGATTCAACAGGCACCAATTAAAGAATATCAGTAACTTTTTTGACAGAGGGATTTTATATTTGCCATGTTGGTAAAAACGGTCAAAATTCAAAGTTATTCATTTTATAGACTATAGTTTCCAAAAACTGTAATAATATCCCGGGTGTTCTATTTAAAATAAGAAATATGATACCACTTTTCAAATGATGCAGCGACATTGTAATGCTGAAAATATTTTAGATAGCTGGGGATAGCTTTTACAACCTTTATGTAAAAATCTAAATTTTCCAAAAAAAAATCACCGGTTCTCCATAAACGTCTAACGTACCATCGCCATGAATCACCCTATATATTGATTGTTCGTAAATATAGTTCATATCAAATAAACTTTTAGTCACGTGATTTGGTTTGGTGTTTGATTAAGCTTGACCGGCACAGCGTTGCCCACTTTTACTAATAATTTTTTTTAGGAAACAAAAATAAATTAATTATACATAACTATATAAACAGTTATTATTTATATCAACAAAACTGATCTCCTTAACAGTACTTAAGGGGCAATTACTACCGTTTTCCCGTTCAAAATATTCTAATAAAGTTGCGATGAGTTTTTTACGGCTATTAAGCTATCTTGTACACTTCGCATTAAACGAGGTTCTAAAAAGAACAAGGTTCGACTGCAAGGCCTGCTAGTAAAAATGTTTAAGCTTATCACAACACAAATCATTTAAACCAAAAACTCGTAATACAAGACTAAAGTGTCAAGACGAATGACAATGTCAATGGAAATAAATAAATAAATGTGGTAACTTGACATTTTACAGCAGATCTATCATCTGAATCCCCAGGGGGAAATTCAAATTCCAGTTGGTCAGCCCGGCGCCGAATATGTCCATGGTTGGCAACAATGAATTTAAAAATCGCGCCCTCGATTACGCAACTAATCGTTTAGTTGGTATCAAATATATATTTTATTTTACAGCACGGACTGTGCTATGCCCAACTTGAGAATATATGTTATTCTCAAGTTAGTAATATCCCAGTAACAGTTTTAAAAATATATTTCTGTTTTATAGGAGAAAAAAAGGTAAAGTTTACTGTTGAAGATCCCGAAGTATCTGGCTTAATAAAATCTTCAGACAAGACCGTCTTTAATTTGACGAAAGCTCTCAATGTGTTCTTTGCTCGACAAAAGGCTGGAATTCTCCAAACCCAGGATACAAATCTCATTATCTGGAAAGATAAATACTTTTATTTTTTCGATGGCAAACCTAGAACTAAAGATTTGCACTATTCCCCAAATGGTACAGCTCTAATGGCAACGCTCTATGATATATCTGCTATAGTAACTATTCTCTTGCAAAGGTCCGGTTTGCAAAATTGGCCCTTCGTGATTTACCCCATTAAGGTTTACAAGGTAATAAATCAAGTTTATATACTATTATTTTAATTATCTTATCTATTATTTTAATAGATATATTTTAAAATTAGTCATTATTACTTCAAATGATTCTAATCGTCTGTAGAAAAATATATACAGATTGTTAACTGGACGGTTACTTATTGGGGAACAGATTGGCAACACTGCCTACATTCCAAATGATAAGTAAAGGCGCGTGTTCACGGGTCGATTGTACTTGAGCGACGGTTGAATCGACAGGAGATCGAAATCAAATTGAACGTGTAAACCACGTTTCGACTTGGTCGTCCAATGAACCAATTCGATTCGATCAAAGTAGAAAGGGTTTCTACTTTTGCCGAACGACTTTGGCTGAATGTATATTGAACAGCCTAAGTCGAAAATGTTAACACCTTATCGGCTTGCCGTAACAGCTGTTTCGTGGCGATATTCGATGATTGTTTGGGGTTTTTTATACCCTAACCGCACAAAGCTCAACATTCTAATTCTAATAGTGTTTCTTGATTTTAAAATGTAAGATAATATTTTGTAAAGGTCATTAAACTGCTCGGTATGCATTCTTAAATGATTTTGATACGATTCCGGATCTTCTGCAACTAATTCTTTTAATAGAGAGTCTGATGCCCCGTACAAATATCGTCTGAGAATCCAAGGTCTAGTCCACCAACGTCGCGTCGCATCGTCGCCGTCAAGTTTTTTTTTCTGTATTTTTTGTAGCTCTTCTTGTAACATTGAACATATAATTTTTACCCCCACTGGACGCCATTTTGATTAATACGATCGAATCAATTATAGTCGAAATATGTAAACCTGTTTCATTCAATGCGTTTTCAATCTGTATCGAAACGATTCATATCGTTCAACCAAAATCGACCCGTGAACACGCGTCTCAAGCTAAGCTGCCGACGCGTTCCGTCGTCGCGTCGTCTTTCGACGAGCGGGCCGAGGTTGCCATATTTCAACCATAAAGTTCTTGCCGCGAGTAATTAACAAATTAACAACCTGTATAACGTTTTATTTAAACCCGAGTTTAAACCTTTTTCTAGTCTAAAAATCTTGTGGGTTGGTGGTATTACTACACTCACCGGCACGAAAAGCGGGCACCTTAAAATTTTTATGTAATTTACATTTTCCTCCATTGTGTAGTAGTGGACTGATTTTGATGATCCTTGAAGCAATTTGTAGTTAAATTATTTGACTTTTTAGTGTCTCTTTCTAGATTAAAAATGAATGTTCCAGTCTGTCAATTATAAGAGGGAAAACAAAATGTTGATATTTTGGTGAAAGTTTGAAACACCCTGCGGAATATGTTAACAAAGCAAAGAATCTAAAAAAAAATTATCATCTAGGTGCATCTTTTTTCGATAGTTTTTTTGGTTCATTTCAATAGCTTTATTTTTTTTGGAGATATTCGCTTTTAAACATTTTCTCGTAATTTTCACATGCCTTTTGGTTCTAGTCAGCAGACCATGGAGTAGTGTTATGATCTATGTAATGTCACTGTCATTGAAAAATCATATTATTATTGTTTGTTGGGCAGTTAGGTACTCAAAAAGAGATGGTTTTACGTCCAGAAGTTGATCTATACCATGTTCAATCAATGTAACAATAGTGAATACAACGTTACTTTGAATGTGGTAGACAATGATTCAGTATTAAAACTAAAAGAGTTTCGGCCTTCCATTGTCTTTATTTATTTTGCTTACTTAACGTTTCGGTCAGAAGTATCACCGTTATCAAGTGCGAACTAAACTAAATCCTAAAACTAAGTGGATACAACTTCTGAACTTAAAAGTATCTCTGCTTAAGTAACTCCCAACAAACAATAATAATATGACAGTGACATTAGAAAAACAATAAACTCTATTACATAGGTGTGTTGATGAGGACTAAAAATAAAGGCGTGCTTTTAATGCTAAAAATGTTGTAAATCGTTACTGTCTTCTTCAAAAGCGAATATCTTTAATAAAAATAAAGCTATTGAAATGAACCAAAGAACAAACTATCGAGAAAAGAAATACCTAGATGATGCATTGATTTTTAAATTCCTTGCTTTCTTAATATACACACAACCAAACTTATATGGAATCACTCTTTATTTCTGACTAAATTTCTTACAAGGATAAAAATTGATATACAACTTTAAGATAAGGCTTTTTGTTGTAAATAAACATGATAATACAGAATAAACGACTGCTGCTATTTATTTTCTTTTGAATTTTGTGTTCAGTAGTAAAATCACGATTGTCCGGTAATTTTCACTTGATTGGCCTTATATTGGATTAACAGATGTATAGAGGGGAAGAATAATTATTGCTCTCATTGAAAACATATCCAAGGTACTTGGAATTAGGAACCCACAAGGACAGGCCCAGCCAAAGTCGTCAAAGAGTCACAATTGAACAAAAAGACTGACTTGCTCATCCCGAGCTACAAAAACGACTTCTGGCAGCTACAGGTGTGAACGTTTCAGTTGAAACCATAAGAAAAAGGTTTCGTGCTCGAGGGTTTTATAGCAGAAGAGAGTTACCCCCAGTTATCTCGACAAAATCCCGCAGTTATCTCGACAAAATAAAATTGACCGGCTAAATTGATGCCTTCAACATCAAAATTGGAAAATTAGAATTGGTAAAATGTTTTTTTTTTCGGATGAGACCTGAATTGGCCTAAGGTCAGATGTCCATCGAATTCGGGTTCCCAGAGCTCCAGGAAGACGAGCGAGACTCCAGGCTGCCAAATCTGTACCAAGATATAAAGGAGGAACTGCAGTGTTCTGGGGAGGTATTATGCTGGAACCAAAAACTCCATTGTTACCACTTCAACAAACTTTAACGGGTCGGATGTATGTTGATTTAGTACTAGAACCAATCGTTTGTCTTTGAAGAGCTGCATTTGGGGATAATTTGAACTTCATGCACGATAGTGCACCTCCCCATACCAGCAGAGTGACTAGAGGTTGTCTTGAAAGGTGTCATAGTTTTGGACTGGCCTGCATGTTCACCAGATCTAAACCCTATCGAACACTTGTGGAACCAACTCAAAAGGAGGGTTAGAGCTTGTCGAAACAATCCAACAAATCTCGCACAGCTTATTGATGCAGCATCAGCAGAATGGGAAAACATACCCCAAAACAAGGTTGATAATTTAATAAGAAGCATACCATTGCGTATAGAAGCTTGCATAAGAGCTAAAGGTGGCAACAAGGATCATTAAAATTATCACTTTTCTTTTTGTTTTTGCTTTTTGCCCATTAAAAATTTAAATCTTAATTTCGTTCCAAAAACCCAAAAATTACCATGGTGTCTATTTTGGGAACTGATTATTTTTATTACTATATGGATTATTTTTCATTAAAAGTCATTGGTAAGGACTGTGGACACAAAATTTTCATACGTCTCAAAAATTATGAAAAATAATAGATAATACCATATAAGTTTGGTTGTGGGTATTTCACAGGGTGTTTCAAAGTTTTTCCAAAATCTCAACTTTTTTTATTTGTACTTGTTCTGTGATTTTGTTTTCTCTCGTATAATTGACAGATGCGAACTATCATTTTTAATTTAGAAAGATATTCTAAAAAGTCAAATAATCTAGCTACAAATTAATTTAATTCATAAGCGAATATGATTTAAGATTCTTGGAAAAGATGACGAGGATGATGAAGACAAACACCTTGGAATGGAGGCTCGTAGCAACTACAACATATTGAACGAAAGTAAGGCCGTTCTTTTGGGATCGTACGATTTAGGAGATAAGTGTTTTGGTTTCACTAGAAACAAACAGAGTCTACCTATGGCAGTGGTTTGTCTGGTAAGCATATAAAAATTAAACGGACAGCAAAACATATCTGCTTGATTTTCTGACAATGAATTTTAAGGTTTATTCGAGGATTACACCTCCTAGTGCCTGGCATAAGCAAACCGTGGAAAAAATAATGACAATTGGTAACCAGCTATACGTTGAATGCATGCAGTGCGAATCCATAAAGGAAATGGCGTTAAATGTAATCCCGGCATTTTTTACAGTTGGACCTTATATTGGTAAATTTTTTTACATGATTAAAACATTGTAAAAAATATCTATACACAAAGATATTATATCATATAGGCTTGGTGCATTCTCCGCCGGTGCTGCCACCATCGGAGAATATCGTAAACAATCGATATATACAAATACACAGGTTTAAGTAGCGAGTATACGGAAACTTTATTATTTAATTATTCTAAAAGTGTTAGGAAGTATAATTTCTGAAAATTCTAAAAATAAAAATAAAGAAGAAATTTTTCGATATCTGTAGAAGGTCTAACTTGTATTATAATTTATTATTCCAGTTAAAAAATTTTTTTAGATGAGTTACCTACTAGTTAGATGAGTTGAACTACGGTAGCGAGCATAGTTTGCGAGCAGGGCATAATTGGGGCATAATTTCGGCTTATAATGAAAAAGGTACATAATTATAATTTTAGAAGATGTTCATAAATAATTTAATCCCTAGTTCATTAAAAAAAATATGCCATTAATATTGCAAATTATATTTTATCCTCTTATAGTATATGTCTATATACTTTTTTGATTATGTAACGACCACTTTGTTTACTCACTTGTTTCGTCGAACTGCTTGAATCCATTTTTGCTATTGATCAAATCGGTGTGAGAAACTATGAAGCTATAAAATAATTTCGGGAGAGTTGAATATTATCCAGGAAAGTTGAGTTATTGAATGTTATTGCACCTAACATCGTCTTAATTATGCTCTCCTTTAAGCTCCGCGTGCACTGCATCGGATCGGGCCGGCGAGAAACGGCGAAGGCGATGACTCGACTATCGTAGATAGGTAGAGGTAGGAATCTGGCCTCTACAGGCCGAAATGTTTTAGTGGACGCCGGCGCCGTCTATATGTACGATGGTCGCAGTCGCTTTTGCTGGTCGGTCCGATCCGATGCAGTGCGCGCGGAGCCTTACGCGTTAAAATCTTTTCGGCAATTTTATTAACATGCCTAGTTCGAATTTTTAGTGAAAATTTATTTTTACTACCCGAAATAGCGTTACATCACACAAACCTCGTACCTGAGTGTTTTATAGTCTCAATAACTGCATTAAAAACGGTTTTAAATTGGAATTTTTAAAATCAGTTGAAATGCACCAAGCCTATAGAATGATTTTACTTGGAATTCTAGACATGTTGGTTTAATATAAATAACCTATGTCTATACTGGGTACATAGAGTGTTAGACACTCTGTTTCAAATTTGGCTCTCGGAGGGATTTGGCTCTCGGGTGTCTTAAATTGGGGCCAAGTTGCCTGTTAGTCCAATGATCATCCATCAGTTCGATCCGTTTATTAATTGAACTTATTTAAAAAAGGCGTCCATTATCATGCGTCCATCTCAAAGAAACTTGGTTTATAAGTTAAAAACAGAAGAAAAACTACTTCTTCTTGGTCTCAACATTGAATGTTGAGATCGAGACTTGAGTTATTTTTCTTCTGTTTTTAACTTAAATTGAACTTATGTTTATCATTTCCGAAAATATCAGACAGTTGACAAATGCAACACTGATATGTAAATTATTTCTAGTTGAAATCTATATCTATACAAACCGATTAGTCGATGTGATGTATGAGAAATGCAATTGCCAGCTGAAATGCTCCTTCGAAGAATTTTTTCAAACTAATACTAATGCCTTGCTGCAAATTGGTCCTGCATTTTTGGCGGTTTGGAGGCAGCGAAATATGTTCTTCTGCTTCGATCCATATTCCAGAGGAATGGAAGGTAACCTAAACTTGATATGAATAGGAAACACTAATGTTGAATTACAATATACTTTTATTTAGGATATTCATGTAGAGATGGATATGCTTGCGTGTCGATGCATGCTAATTTAGAATCATTGGTAGATGTAATTACCCATAATTTTGAAAATAAGGATTCAGTATTTAATCTACATGCTTTAAAAGTCTGCAAAATACACAGAGATCCGGTAAGAACATTTAAGTTTGATTTGGAAACAAATAAATATTTTCGAATCATATTTTATTCTATATTTTTCAATATACCGGGCGCGTCTCGAATGTGGCTCACCCCTATAACTTTTTTGCGAATTTTTGAAACATTTTTTTACTAATAATTTGGTACTACACACTTGTATATTGAGTCAAACTGTCGTTATGAACCGCATATTACAATTTCAAATAAACCATATGCGAAAAGGTCAAAAGTTGACTTATTATATGTCATTCTATTCAGAGTGTCATTTTCTATCTAATAAAGTAGAAATATATAGAGAGTACCATTTAAAAATCAAAAGTTGTAGTCATTTCCGGTGGAACAGTATGTGACTAAAAACAATTGAATACGTAAATCAATTTTAATTTATTTTATACAGGTTGTTAACTGGACAGTTACTTATAGGGGAACAGAATGGCAACACTGCCTATTGAAAACGCATGCACTTATAGGGTTTTCTGCCGAATCGTCCCGTCGTCGCGTCGTCTATCGACGAGCGGGCCGAGGTTGCCATATTTCAACCATAAAGCTCTTGCCGCGAGTAAAACAAATTAACAACCTGTGTACTAACATACCAAATCTCGTTTTTATCTGAAAAATAAGAAAGTTATAGAGGTGAGCCACTTTTGAGACGCACCCGGTATATCTATCATACCAAACGGACTTTTAGTCACGTGATTAAGCCTGACCGGCACAGCGTTGCCCACTTTTATAAATTTTCTTTTAATCAAAATATTTTAGGAAACCAAAATCAATTAATTATAAATATATAAACAGTTACTATTTACATCAACAATACCCAAGAACGGTAAACTAATAGGATTGCTCATCCTCATAAGACGTACGTTCGCCTCCTCCCGCGCTTCAGCTGACAGTTGTGACGTCATTGTAGCCCTTGTCAAAGCCTTCGTGGCCTTGTCATGATAGTGTGTATTATTAGTTGCCTATGGTAAACTTATAAAAATAACAGCTGAGAAATTTTGAGTTAATTATTTTGTCAATTTTAAATGTGAAAAAGGTGTCTTTAAAATTTTTAGAGCTATAGAATGTATAAATACGTTCATTTTGTGTTGTGGATTGTGACAAAGTGCTTACTAAGTGCCCACGATTTTGTTTATTAATTAAGCAAAATATGGAAGTACTCTAAAAAGAATGCTTGCAAAAGGTGATGCTGGGAACTGCTGTTCTTAAAAATGCATTATCCGAGTATTTAATAAGATGTATACAGTTAATTTTCTATACTGCATACATATAAGGTGTTTAAATAAATAAACTAAAAAATGAACGTTTTGCATTCGGCAACCAATAGTGCACGTGTGTGTATTATTGGTTGCCGGATAAGGACTAATAACCATGACAAGGGCTACAATGACGTCACAAAGCGAGTAGTTTTCGCATGCACCTGGCGGACACTTTTGGCTGAATGAGCAGTCCTATTAGGTTAACTGTTCTTGAACAATACCCACCTCAACAGCACTTGCGGGACATAAATGGCAATTACTACCACTTTCCTGTTCAAAACATTCTAATGAGGTTGCGATGAGTTTTTGCAACGACTGTTAAGCTATCTTGTTCACTTCGCACTAAAAGAGGATTTAAAAAGAACAAGGTTCGACTACAAGATCTGCTAGTAAAAAATTTAAATTATCACACCACAATTCATTTAAACCAAAAACGAGTAATACAAAACTAAAGTGTCAAAACGAATGACAATGTCTGAAAATAAATAAATGTGGCAACTTGATATTTTTACAACAGATTTTTTTTTACACCTGAATCCCCAGCGGGTAATTTAAATTTCAGTTAGTCAGCCCGGCGCCGAATATGTCCAAGGTTGGCAATAATAAATTTAAAAACCACGCCCTCGATTACGTAACTAAAAGTTTAATAACTTAACTTAAAGTTATAGTTTAACGTTTTTAGTTTAATAACTTAACTTATAATTTCACGTCTTGTTGCAATGAACTTTTAGATATTTAGTAAACAATAATTGTAAAGTCTGTCTAACGAAAGGATCCCTGACTGTGATTTAATAAAAAAAATTCTGTAATTTTTTGGATGTCATCTGTCAAAAATCTCCCTAACTCGTTGGACAGACCTTATTTATAAACCTCGATGTATTTGAAACACGTTATTATTGTTTAGGTACAATCTGAACGATTTCCAAAACATATCCCTCTAGACGAATTTCCTGCTGATGAGTTCAAAATTTTCAAAATGAGGAAAAGTAGAAAACCGGCTACAGAAAAACCTGTTACTGTTGACTATTCTGCCTTGGCGATGAGGAGCCTGTTGATGGGAGAAACGCCAGATCCTTCTGTTTTTGAAATAGGTACTTAATGGGTTAATATAGGTACTATATGTATTTACCTATTAGCATAGGTACTTGAGATAGGTACTATAAAAACTGACTTAGCAGACTTGATCTGTTACATTGTATAGGTTACAGTGAAAGTCGGAAATTCAGTGATTGTTAATATTCACTTGGAAATGCTGGCAATTACGTATTGGGCCAGTGAATGTGATATTTTAAAGAGATTTGTCGACTTTTCCTAGTAATTTCTAACATTCACTATAATGAAAGTAACATTTACTAAAGGTTGTCAGTAAAAGTTATATTCTATTGTACAAGGCGATTGTGGTGAGGGAGAATGTTGGTGGAAGTTAGAATAAATAAAACTTTTAAGAATATTGGATCACCTCAATATTCAAGCTGATCCACATATCTTAAAATTACAATTTACTTCTTTTAGGTATACTTTTACTTCTCTAGGTATATTTATTAAAATTTATAGATAATAACGACATATTCTAACCATTTTAAATATTAAAAAGGAAAACATAGTAAACATTTTAAAGTTCATTCTTCATCGTGGACAAAATAAAATATGCCCGAATTTTCTCCAACGGGAATTATTCGTTTTCTCAAACCCTCTACTTCGAGCATATCAAAACGTTTAATAAATTCATATAGTCGTGAAACGAATAACTTTGAATTTGATAGTTCCTGCGGGCTTTTCTAGTGTTAATTTTATTAGGTTAGCAACTTGCGGCCATGCTGACGCAATGCCGTCTCTAGTAGAACAGCCTCGAGGGAGATTTTTGACGTCACACTAGTTAGATACTACGGATTAATAAATATGTTTTAGAATATATGGAAAACATAATTATTCCTCGTATTTTTGGTTTGTTTTTTAAAAATGATATAGTTTACATGAAATATACATAATATACAGTTAATAAATACAATATATATACCTATTTATAATAATGAATAGGTATGCCTACAACTAATGAATAAGTACATAAGATAAGGGGTAAAATGTAAAATATATTTAAAATTTTGGGGTTTGAAAATCGATCTAATTTAAGAAAAAACATTCAATATCTACAAATAGTGATGTATTATTATTTGCATTCACAAAATTTATCCTAAGAAAATCAAAAATTTTAGAATAATTTTACATATAAAATAACAGCGATCTTTATTTCATGGCCATCACTGACGCCATTTTTTCTATGATATTGTATTATTTGCAAATATAATTTTTCGAACATTGATACTTGCAAAATATACATATAAATTTTGTGAATGCAATTAATAATACATCACTATTAGTAGATATTGAATGTTTTTTGTTAGATTAGATCGACAACCCCAAAATTTAAAATATATTTTACATTTTACCCATTATCTTATGTACCTATTCATTATTTGTACATTGTAAAACATTTGCTGCATTTGTGTGGTTCATAGTTTATTTGCCAAAGTATTTATTACTATAAATAGGTATATATATATATATATGTATATATATATATATATATATATATATATATATTGTATTTAACTGTATATTACGTATATTTCATGTAAACTATATCATTTTAAAAATACAAACCAAAAATACGAGGAATAATTATGTTTTCCATGTATTCTACAACATATTCATTAATCCGTAGTATCTAACTAGCGTGACGTCATAAATCTCGCTCCGAGGCTGTTCTATTAGAGACGGCATTGGTCTGATATTTAGAAATGTCAAAAGCTGATGACATTTTACCTTTAGAATTATTACATTTTGTGTTGATTTTTGCAAGAAGAGGAAGAACTGTCACTTGTTTTATTCTTTTCCTTTTCTATTTCACGAAAGTAAAAAGAGTTACCTATCTGATTCGTTCAGGCATTCAATTTAAAGAATATCAGTAACTTTTTGACAGAGGGATTTTATATTTACCATGTTGGTAAAAAATAACGGTCAAAATTCAAAGTTATTCATTTTATAGACTATAGTCACTTGGTTCCTTAATATCTTTTTCTCTTGTATGTTTGTTTCTTAATATATTTTTCTCTTGCATGCTTAACTTTAGCTATGACTTCATTATATTGCTCGTTATATTGCAAAAATGGAAAACAAGCACTATTACATTCTTGCGAGTGCCTGGTTTATCTTAAATTTTCACAGAAAATTTCTTCCATATGGAAAATACCGCACAGCACAATAATTTACGACGATAACAAAACAATTATCCTTAACCACAAAAAACAAAGCGAATTTACGCCAGATGTCTGTCTAAGTTGCCAACGTTTAGCCCAATTTAATGTTGTTCTTATATTGCCTCTTATTCAACTTATATATCCTTATTTATCCTTATATTTTACAACATGTGGCAACAGCGCTAACTGAATCAAACTCACTGCCAGCGTCCAGAGAATGCTAGCATTCACTATTATAGTAAAAGTTCGTTTTAAAAATAGCTGTTGAACTTTTACTGGCGTAGGCTTAGCAAATCAGTAAATGTGAGCTTTTACTAATTATTGTTAACAATCACCGATTTCCAACTTTTACTGTAACATAAAATATCATCACAAAAAAATCACCAATAAAACAAATATTATTAGAAAGCAATAAATCTTATTTAAGATTTTTTTAACTGTCAAAGGCACTGGATCTTAAAACTTTTTGATCATACAGACTGTTAACATCCAAGTAATGTAATTTTAGGTTCTACTGTGGAAAGTTTAGGTTTGGAACAGATTCCACCGTTATTGCATCCTGGCAAAACTCTTCCGTACCATTTATTACAGAATAAGCCTAATATATCAAGAGATGTTATAGCTGATTTAGATTCACCTAGTTTGTCAGATACACAGGTTTAAATTTGTAGTATTTTTTAAAGTTATTTCTATATCACGGTTTTTTTTATATATTTTTGAAACTAGTATTTTATTAGTCCTGTTGTTTTGACAACAATATAAGAAAAAAAATTATGAACTTGTTTTCTCCAAAAAATCATTCCCAAAGTACATTTTTCAAACAGATTGTACCACCCAGACCGTCACAAGGAAAAGAGGCCGCGACAGTACCTTTTATGGATTTGGATTCATTTGAACTGACTCAAGAAGAAATCGAGCTAGAAGAGATGGCAATAGAAGGATCACCAGATAAATATGAAGGAAGTAATATTAAGTAACCATAGCATAAATATCTCAGTTTTACAGAAAAGTTAATATTTTATTAAAGTGGAAGAATTCGAAAAGGAATACGAACTAGAAGGTGACATGGAACAAGAAATGGAAGACCAGGGAGGTGAAGATTTTTATTATACAGAGGACAGAGATGCACAAGTTAGAACAGAATCATTATTACCAGTTGTAACGTCTGGAGAAGTAAGTAAAACGAATTGTGGGATGATTTTTGAAATTTGTTTTGAAATTTTCAGAGTATATTAAATTTTTATTAACTTACCTTGTCATATTTTTCTTGCATAATGAAATCCATCCATTTAAAATATTTTCAAAATGACGACACTTCCGGAAATATCGATACTTTATAGAATTTTTTTTATTTCAAAAATTGATGTTTTCATTTCTTCTGGCAGATTTAAATTGTCTCTAAATTTTAATGAATTGTGAGATCTATATTTTTTCCTTTGTATTTTTTGAGATATATTTTCCTATAATTATTATTCTTTTTTTAGGAAAAAATACATTTTTGGTGCAAATTTTAGAGTGTTCCAGAGAACTTAAATCTGTAACAAAAAATGGGGCTACATTATACAGGGTGGCACCTCTCATACGACGTTCTAAGGAGAACGGTAGTTTATATCGAAATTAAATTTTGGGGCCATATGTAGATTAATTAAAAGTATTGTATAAAAATATGTGGAGTTCTAGAGGGCGTCTCCAAAAAAAGTTACGCATCGAACTTGGGGGTTTTCTAAGGCAACACCCTATATATTAATTGATTTCCAGATTCTAGGGAAAAAATAAATGTGGGTTTTATTAAAGAAGCATATGTCTAAAATATGAGGTTTTTGACATATTTCACATTTTGTAAAAATGAATAATAAATTTTAAATTTCAATAACAGCTACCTAAATTGTGATTTACCCTATATAGTCTGATATTTAGTTAAAGTAACCATTGTATGTTAAACCAAATTAAAATTTAACCCGAAAGGTATACAGGGTGAGACAAAATTAATATTTTAAATTTAAATGAAACACCCAGTATATTATTCCGTTATTTAACGGAAAATTTATGCCTTTTCAAAATACTATTAAGGTGGTATTAGTATACTAGGTGGTCTAAGTTACATCAGGTATATCACAGCCATCTAGATGTTATGAAATAATAAAGATCTACTGACACTCAATTATTAAAATAAAAATATCTAGGAAAATCTTTATTGGAGGGGTAGACAACCTTAATAGTATGTTGAAGAGACATGAATTCCCGACTGAAATATTGGAATAATATACTGGATGTTCCATTTAAAATATAGTAGTAACTAGATTTTAAAGGCGACCAATATTTAGAACATATTTTTATTATTTCGGGCAGTATATTCTATGATACCAGTCCCCCATTTCTCTACTCATGTCATACTGACGTTCTGAAAAATTTATTTGCGACTTTGTCAAAAGCAAAGTTGTTTTATACAATGTCACAATAACCTTAACATGTTAAAATACTTGACACATAAATATACACTGCCCAAATATTATTCTAAAAAAATGTGTAAAGAGTCTATCTCTGCAATAGTTATTTTAATGACATATTAGGCTATAATAGGTTACCAATTTAGATAGCTTTAATTGAAATTTAAAATTTGTTCTTCATTTTTAGAAATTGTTAAATATGTCACAAAATCTTTAAATTTGAGTCACATACTTCTCTAATGCAACTCGCCTTTATTTTACACTTAGAATCTGAAAATCAATTAATATATAGGGTGTTCCATTACAAAAAACACAACTAGGATATGTATTTTTTTTTGAAAACATTTTGTTCGACTCTCTATATTTTAAAAAAAGCTCTAGATCAATCTACATACTGTCGTTCTCTTTGGAGCCTCTGTGTCGTATGAGAGTCGTATGCGCCGTCCTGGATGAAAAAAGAAAGTTGCTATCAACTTCGATTACCAGAAAGCTCAACTCTAGATACCGTAGTTCTATAGAAATTCTAATTCAATCTCAACATGGAACGCCATGTATAAGATCATTTGTTTTATTCTCAATAATTCTATAGGTCTGATCTGTAATAAGTAAGTACATCTATAAATTGTAAATCCTGGTTTTTAGATGAATACAGAGCTAACATTCTTCTCAATAAAGAAAGAAGTTTTGTACCCCACTCTTTTAAGAGGAAAGCAGCGAATGAAAACTAGACCCTTTAAAAGCGAAAACAAGTGGGAAGATCTATTCGTACCTCTAGTACCAGATGTGACCAAATCTGAAGAACTGCGCAAGGAAACCAACTTTGTCAATTTACCCGACGACACTCAAGTATTCAGTAGCGGCATCTATATAAATACTTCTTTAATGTTTATTTGCTTTTAGATTATCAGAGGAACTAAGAACATCGCAGATTTTGGGGAAGAAACAGAGTTTATGGCTCCGTTTATTTGCGTCATGGCGGATGTGGTAGCTAAAAAGTATTCAATCTTATCCTGGAACTCCGATATAGTGGATTATGTTCTCAAATGCGGGACAGAGCTTTATAAAGCTTCTAAATTCAGATACGATCAAGTAAATAATTTAAATATTAAGCTATAATATCCTTATTCTAAAACAGCGTATACACTATGCGAGAAACAATTCGAAACATGTCAAAACATGTTTGCCTCGACCTACTTTCGATTCTTAAAAGCACCTGTAAACTACTCGTGAGGAGAGCGATGGGGATTTTTTTTGGGCTTTTTTGTTGCCTCGTTCAATTTTGATTTGTTTTGAGCTATTTCCAAAACGTGCCGGTATCTGTATCCAAGACAAAGGTTTTTTTCCATAAATCTCAGTGAAATAAGTAAACCTATACGTTTCTTAAATAGCTGTTGTTACGATGATATTTCGTTAATTACATCTCGTTTTATGTTATATTGATATATATATATATATATATATATATATATATATATATATATATATATATATATATATATATATATATTTATTCCACAAAATTAATATGTCAACACGCGATTATTATATATATTTATAGTAGATATTTAGGAACAAAAGACTTTCACTTAAATTGCAGGAATATAATTACAATATTTTTATGATCTAATTTTATTATAATTAATTAGTATATAAAATTGTATATGATATATTTGTTTATGGCTTTAATTGATTGATATAACAGTAGTATTGTTTGATGCGTAATACATTAGTTTGTGGTAACACTGGTAACATTATCAATATATTCGCTTGGGAAAATTATTAATTGATCCGATGTCAACAAAAGTATAGTTCACGGACATTATTTAAAAGCAACGTTCTTTTATTGTTCTTAAAAGAAATCTGTAAACGATATAGTACGAGAGCTAGCAACGTCGGAAAAACAAGTATTTTAAGACGTCTGGCTCTTTGATATATCTTTTACTATGCTCTCTAGAACAGCACGATAAATATAAACCCGTGTTATAAAAATTAGTTCCCACGTTTCCTGAACTTAATCGAGACGCGCCGTGATTAGGTGTTTGTTTTTTGTTGTTAATCTGGGTTAACAATAAAAAACAAACAACCAATCCCGGCGCGCGGGGGGTCTCGGGAGCCTTATATTTATCGTACTATTTCCCGAAATGTTTTGCGAAATGTTTCACGAAATGTTGGGCTGTTTGAGGATATATTAATATAAAATAATATTAGTTATATTAAGTTAATTTTGCTAAAATCCTGCTCTAAATCCTAATTTTTGGCATAAAAAGTCATAGCGATTGAACAGCTAATTTTCTTCGTTGAATTTAACGATTTCGATAGAATAGAAAATCCCGAGGTTTTTAAATTTATTGCTATTTCATGCGTCCGTTCATCGGATAATGTTTATGTGTCGCTTGTGACTTATCTAAATCATGAATTAAAAAAAAAATAACAAAAAAATTAATATAATAAAAACTTATTTATAACTAAACAAAGCCAGCGATAAATTGGGCCTCAAAATGAATTTAGCAAAAACTAAAGTAATATACAACGAACTAGTGGACAGAAAAGACATTCTAATAAATAACATAACACATGAAATAGTAGAAGAATATATATACCGTGCTGGCAACTGTTACTTTTGGGTCGGCATTTACATGTGTGGAAGTAAATCGCATAGGGATCTTATTAAGTCGGAGTGAGAGAAACGCGACGGTGTGCTGTTGCGGCGTTGCCGGTACGCCTTTCCCTATCAAGTCAAGTAAAATCACAATCGCAAACCGCTTATTTTTAAAAGACTTTTTTTTCAAGAGATAACTACTGTAACTAAAATCATTAGACATGTTTTTGAGCATCTGAAATGGAATTATTAGGATATCGTTAGGGTGTCATTTTTTTATAATGAGAAAACGTCAGTAATCGCGATAATTTAAAAACTCAACTTTTTAACACATAACAGGCCATAACTCAAGAACCACTTTAGATATTGAACCTTTTTTATTTTCAAGATCGGATATTTTACAATATGTTTACAGTTTCAGTTTCAAGTTTTTTCCATTCAAAAATTGTAAACAATCCATCCATTTACTTTTAGAGCATAGTAATTTTCAGTAATCGTGTAATTTTTTTATTCATAAAGATTTTCACATACTGTCTACAAAGAAAATACAGCAGAAATATTAACAAAGTTCTTGAAAAAACTACAATCTATTATTTCTAATAGATTTCGAGATATCGATTTTTGAATTCAGAGTTCTAATAGCGCGACCACTATCGAACACCCACTCAATTCCATTTATTTTTACCAAAAATGCAAGTGTTTCTAGCTTGCACTTAAAAAAATTCAAGCTATAGGGAAAATTACAACGACTCGTTAATAAATAAACAAATTAAGTGTCATGAGACGTAATTAAATCGTGAAGCTGAACGCATGAAGTACACCTTTCCCTAGAACTGTAAGTACTGACAGAGGTATTGATTGGGTCGACCGGTCACCTGCGACAAATCTGCTGTATGCCCTTCCACGTCTCTTAGCGATGTGCACAGTTTCTTGGTTTATTTCATACGTTTGGCAACGTGTTTACTGTCCTCTCTTTGTTCAGTACATTATAAACGCATTGTACTCTTCTTACATACGGAAATCTTGACCCAAGACTAACCTTTGCCAGCCCTTAGTATTTGGGACAACTAATACACCAGCTCGGGATCTATACTACCAAAAGTCAACAGAAGAATTAAGTTAGCATGGGGTATGGAAGAAACTCAATCATATTCAAATCTAGAATGCCACTTTATCTAAAGAAGAAAATATTTGACCAATGTGTACTACCAGTCAGGAACTAATATGCATGCGAAACCTGGTCACTTACGGGCATTATAATGAAAATGCAGATTGCACAACGCTCAATGGAACGAAATATGCTGGGAATAACCAAGAGAGACCGTAAAAGAATAGAGTGGATACGACAAAAGACCAGGTAATAGATGTTATCCACAGATTATGAAAAATCCCTCAAGTGGTAATGGGCAGGACAACTGGCAAGAAGGACGGACTGAACCTGAGATGGAACCATGATATTAGGAAATTAGCAGGGATAACTTGGACCCGCATAGCCAACAATGAGAGTATCTAAATATGTGAGGGATACACCATAATTGGAAATGGTTGAATAAGCTGAGAATGTACTAATAGTGTGCCCGTTTTTGATTTGACCAAATTATATTTTGAAATTTCTTATATTCGTTTTTATTTCAGGTATCAAAATTAGAAATCCCCCAAATATCTCTTGGAAAAATGAAGTACGCTTGTCTAGTGGAATACGTATTCGATTCTTACACCAGAGAAAATATATTAGAATTGGCAATTGGTAAAATTTTATTTGTTAGATCTGACATGGGCGTTCTTGTTACACCTACCTACGCGTGTGCATTGATCTATAAGAATCACTTGTATTATATGTACGACGGTTTTGGAAATAACGAGGTTGGCTTAAGCGAAGGTTTATCTGATGACGGCACCGCTTGTTTTTCTAGATTTAAGGTAATATATTCTTGGATAAAAAACGTTAGCCACTAATTAAATCCATGTACAGGGTGGGTCAAATTCGACGCTTTTAAATGGAAACACCCTTTTCTATAGGAGATAGACAAAAACTAATATCGTTGTCTTGAGCTCAATTTTTGTCAAAAACATGATGGTGAAAACCGCATATCGATATCTGTTACCGTTTCGGAGTTACGGGGTGTTTTTCAAAATTATGCATTTTTAACAAATCGCTGTAACTTTTTTGCTATGGAAAATTTTGTATTTTTATGAATACATTTCCAAAGAACCTTTTTACATAGAATTTAATGGTTTAAGTATAATTTTTTTAAAATAAATAATTTAAGAATTATCAACAGAAAATTTGATTTTTTATATGGGACACCCTGTATATTTTTAATTTATTGAAAGGAATTTAAAATTACCTTTCCAACAATATAACATACTTGATATTTTGCTCGATTCCTCTTCGAGATATAGAGTATATAAAAATTCGGCCATTTTAAATAAGTAGGCTTTGAACGGCACCGGCTGTAATGCAAAAAAATTCTAGCTGTGAGCATCAATTAAAACGAAAATAATATTTGCTATGAGAGATGCAGAATTTTATAATAATTAATAAATATATTTAACCAACATCAAAACATTTAAACTATATTTAATAACAATAAAAATAAATAGCAAACCAAAACATGAGATTTTGCTATAGGTGTTCGATATATCGACCGTCTTCTGTTATGGACAGACGGGGCAGTTTTTGAACATTTCTCGCGGATTTCATTAACTCGTGGGGGTGAAAGATACCCTCTCATAACTGCTAAGTATTTCTAATTCTTGTCTAGATTATACCGAAGAATAAGGAACCTTTATTCTTCCGCAAATATATCGATAGGATTAGATCCATGGGCACTAAGTCAGACGGCCTCGACGGCCAACGGCTGGGCTCTTGGTTAGCTATTCAATTATTCTTTAAATTGGCTGCAAAAGTTTGCTGATAACTTCAGCGTTCAGAGGCGGTGCGTCGTCTTGCTCGAAAAATATGTTTTCGAGATCCATTAAGGGTATATCATCAATAAGGGGTCCAAAGCCTACTGGTTAAAAGTGGCGAATTTTTAAAAATTCTGTATTTCGAAGGGGATTATAACAAAATATCAAGTGTGCTATATTTTTGGAAAGGTAATTTTAAATTCTTTTCAGTTAATTAAAAATATAGAGGGTGTCCCAAATAAAAAGTAAATTTGTCTGTTGATAACTCTGAAATTATTAATTTAAAAAAAAATATACTTAAACCATTAAATTCTACTTAAAAAGGTGCTTTGGAAATGTTTTAATAGAAATACAAAATTTTCCACAGTAAAAAAGTTACAGCGATTTATTAAAAATGCACATTTTTGAAAAACACCCCGTAACTCCGAAACGGTAACAGATATTGATGTGCGGTTTTCACCATCGTGTTTTTGTTGAAAATTGATCTCCAGACACCGATATTAGTTTTCGTTTATCTCCTATAGAAAAGGGCGTTTCCATTTAAAAGCATCGAATTTGACCCACCCTGTACAGGATGGCGCCTCTCATACGCCGCGGAAGCTCCAAGGACAACGGTAGTTTATATCGAAATGAAATTTTGGCAGCATATGTAGATTAACTGAAAGCATTTTATAAAAATATATAGAATTATACAGGGTGTCTCCAAAAAAAGTTACACATCAAAGTTGTGTTTTTTGTAATGGAACACCCTATATATTAATTGATTTTCGGATTCTAGGAAAAAAATAACGGTGAGTTTTATTAAAGAGGCATACACCTAAAATCTAAGGATTTTGACATAGGTATTTCACATTTTGTGAAAATGAAGAGTAAATTTTAAATTTCGATAACAGCTACCTAAATTGTAGTTGACCTTGTATAGCCTGATATTTAATTACAGTAACCATTATTAAACCAAATTGAAATTTGACCCGAAAAGTTATACAGGGTGAGACAAAATTAATATGGAACATTAGTCATTTTTAAAAGGAAGTTACTCCTTTATTTTAAAAGGAACTCCCAGTATATTTTTCCGGTGTTCAATGGGGAATTTATATATCTTCAAAATATTATTAACCCCTCAGACATTTTCCTAGATAGTTTAATTTTTATGATTTTGCGTCAGTAGATCTTTATTATTTGAAAAAATCTAGGGGTGGCTGTATGATAGGGTAAGTCCGGTATAGATGCCCCACTTTTCTTTTGGGGCTAATAATACATATTGGTAATTCATTTTAAATGAAACTAATGATGCAATCCTAAACTATCTTTAATAATAATTCATAATAGGACTAAGATTATAATATAATGAGTAAGTATATGTAATAGTAAGAGAACAATAAAAAAATAGAAAATTTCCCATCTCTCCCTACGTTGCGGGAGAGATGGCCTTCCAACATGGGAGAAATGTCCGGCAAAAAAATACATATACATATTAGTTAAATATCTGAGGTTATTTATTATTTTTTTAACTACTATCCAAAAGTTGAGGATGGCCCTATGATTGCTTTTTCTGTGTTGTTGTTTGCCTCCCTACGTCTCAAAGTCCTTGCAGGAATTCCATAAGCATGCATTATGCTTTTATGCCCATTTGGTCGGTATTAATGGCTTGCAAAGCAGCAGCCAATGATTTTTCAAACCACATAAGGTTTTAAAATGCAGCGACATATGATTAATTTTTTGAAGTTATGATACTTCACGAAGCAGGTATTTTAATATAAAATGGCATGAAATACCAAAAACTTACATAATAATACGTTATTCCCACGCGACCTCCGACAGTAAAAAAATATGTACTTAAATAAAAACAGTTCTTTGTAAAAACTAGCCTATTATTTTATTGACATTCAAATTATGTCTGACTATAATAGCAGCAGGTAAACTACTGCCGTATCTAGCGGGAAGCAACTGATAAGTCACATGATTAGAAATTTACACGCTGTGGCCATCTCACCCGGTGGGGCATCTCTACCGGACTTACCCTATATCTTTTGTTAATTTAAGAAAAATTAAAGACTGTGGAGTAAAATACTAAACACCGGTAATAAAAAGATACGCGTTTAAAACATAATTTAATTATTACAGAATTAAAACTAGATATAAACCTATAATTATGTGACAAAAATGACCTAGATGAAATCAAATGCTCAAAATGCTGCCTTTCCTGTTAACTGCGTAAAATGATTGTCTTTTCAAATGGATCTTTTCATTTTAAAAGGCATATGTGGAGTTCTACATCGAAAAGCAGCTACAATAATTTTTCTCATGTTGCCGACAATAGTTGGTCGAGTTTTGTAAACACTTCGAGTCGAGTTGTTGTAAACACGTCTTTAACATCACCAACTAATAGAATCATATCAATTTTCTCTGATGTAGGGTAAGTTTGCATTTTCGGCAAATTTCTGACAATTTTTTTTTTGTTTTAACTGACACAAAATGGTAACTAGTTGCTAAAGTTGGACCAAATAGAGAGCTATATTAAAGTAACGTCAGACATATTCAGACTCACCATTTTTTTTCTCCCAGAATCCAAAAATCAATTAATATATAGAATGTTCCATTATAAAAAACACAATTTTGATATGTAACTTTTTTTGGGAATACCCTGTAGAACGCTCTATATTTTTAAAAGTGCTTTGAATTGACCTACATATGCTCACAAAATTTAATTTCAATACAAACTGTCGTTTTCCTTGGAGCCTCCGCGGCGTATGAGAGGCGCCACCCTGTACAGGGTGGGTCAAATTCGACGCTTTTAAAGGGAAACACCTTTTTCTAAAGGAGATAGACGAAAACTAACATCGGTGTCTGGAGCTCAATTTTCATCAAAAACGTGATGGTGAAAACCGCACATCAATATCTGTTACCGTTTCGGAGTTACGGGGTGTTTTTCAAAAAATGCATTTTTAACAAATCGCTGTAACTTTTTTGCTATGGAAAATTTTGTATTTCTTTGAAAACATTTCCAAAGCACCTTTTTACGTAGAATTTAATGGTGTAAGTATAATTTTTCTAAAATTAATAATTTAAGGTTTATCAACAAAAAAAATGATTTTTTATTTGGGACACCCTCTATATATTTAATTAATTGAAAAGAATTTAAAATTACCTTTCCAAAAATATAGCACACTTGATATTTTGTTACAATCCCCTTCGAAATACAGAATTTTTAAAAGTTCGCCACTTTCAACTAGTAGGCTTTGGACCCCTTATTGATGATATGCCCTTAATGGAACTCGAAAACATATTTTTCCAGCAAGACGACGCACCGCCTCTGAACACTGAAGTTATCAGCAAATTTTTGCAGCCAATTTCAAAAATAATTAGATAGGTAACCAAGATCCCAACCGCTGGCCGTCGAGACCGTCTGACTTAGTGCCCATGGATCCTGTGGATATATTTGCGGAAGAATAAGGTTCTTATATTCTTCCGTATAATCTAGACAAGAATTAAAAATACTTAGCAGTTATGAGAGGGTATCTTTCACCCCCACCGAGTTAACGAATTCCGTGAGAAATTTTCAAAAACTGCCCCGTCTGTCCATAACAGAAGACGGTCGATATGTCGAACACTGTAGCAAAATCTCATGTCTTGGTTTGCTATTTATTTTTATTGTTATTAGATATAGTTTAAATGTGTTGATGTTGGTTAAATATATTTTAAATTGTTATAAAATTCTGCATCTCTCATAGCAAATATTATTTTCGTTTTAATTGATGCTCACAGCTAGAATTTTTTTGCATTACAGCCGGAGCCGTTCAAAGCCTACTTATTTAAAGCGGGCGAATTTTTATATAATCTATATCTCGAAGAGGAATCGAGCAAAATATCAAGTGTGTTATATTTCCAAAAATATTAGGTAATATTAAATTCTTTTCAATAAATAAAAAATATACAGGGTGTCCCATATAAAAAATCTAATTTTCTGTTGATAATTCTTAAATTATTAATTTTAAAAAAATTATACTTAA